TAAATTATTTTTTATTTAAATTGAGGTTTTGCGCTCTTTTGGGGACCCAACATATGTGGGTAATTCATATCAACTTAAGATTAAGTCATTGATAAAAAGGGATTTATGTTATTTCAACATTAGTCGATGTCCCTGTAGCTCAATGGTAGAGCTCCTGTATGTGGTGGGCGAAAGCGCCTAGCAATAATACAAGGAGGACTTTAAACTCTCTATATCATAAAAACCTGAACAGGCTCAGCCGATAACATATTTAAGTTTGTCATAAACACCATACGCTTAAATAATTGTAAAACAACTTTATTTTCCCCAGGATAAAGCCAAGCACTTAATAGTAAATATATTTAAATATTCGAATCATTTTTTTACATTTTGCTTATCCTGTAAGGAGCAATGATAGGTTCCCCAGTCTTGAGGTGTTGAACTTTAGATCTAGACATTCTTGGCATTGATAAACGTTTTAGAATTTCAATTTCCTCATCAGCAATAATATTGCGAAATATAACAGCCAAAGGCTCGAATCGAATAATTTCGACTTTAATTGGGGCTAAACGAAGGAATGGGCGGTCCATTTTGTAATAACAATAAAGTTGAGATATTTGTGTTATATTCTAAAAATTAAGGCACTACTTTCATTCCCCCCCCCCATAAACCCCGCCCCTTTTCTTCTCCCTTCCTTGCCCTATGGAGTAAAGAAGATAAAAAGTTGAGGAATTTTAACCCAAAAATCACCTTATAAGAAAAGGAAGCGATAAAAAAAGGGGGCGGGGCTTATGGGGGATGAAAGTAGTACTAAAAATCAAATGAAAGGTATCTTAAAAATAATTTCAATTAACAAACAATTTCCTTCTCGCCACGACAAAGTTCTTCAAAAACTTGATAATCAATAGGATCTATGTAAGAATCGTTTAATGATCTATAATTATTTAATGGAGGTATATTTAAACGAAAATCTTCTTCAACAACTCCATTAGCTAATAATTCTTGTTCATATAATTTTGAATTATTTGTGGCATTTGGATATAAAGGATCTTTTTTTTTAAATATTTTTAAAATTAATTAATTCTCAATTACCTAATTCAATTAATTTATCATTAATAATTAAAGCTCTCTTTAAATTTCCTTGTTTATATAAGGAAATTGACAAAATATTTAAAATATCAGATTTGTTGATTTCTGTAAATTCTTTTTCGAGTAAATAATAACGTTCATTTGCTTCTTCCATCCATAATATTGAGTGATGATAATCCTTTTTTTAATTAATTATTTTTTTTAAATATAAAATCTAACCTCTTCATTATATGCAGCCAAACCTATTTCATAACAATCTTTTGCTTAATTAAATATTTTATATAATTTAAAATCAAAAAATATTTACCATCCATTTGTTTGTTTATATTAATATCCTCAACAATTCCATTAGCCAAATCTTTAGTTTTTAATTTGTAAGTATCATGTAAACGTAATAATCCTTGAATTGCTCCATTTAAATCAACCTTTTTTAAAATATTATTTTATTAGAGATAAAAGGGAGATGGGAAGCCTTCATTTTAAGACTTCCATTCTTCACTTCGATTTTGGGTTGTCTCTAATTTAAAAATTAATTATCAAAATTTAAAACTCTCCCCTCAATATCGTCTTTTAATTTAAAAATAAGAAAATCCCCACCTCATTAGGAAAACGAGTTTCTCTTTGATTTGAAGTATTTTTTAAATAATTTTCAGCCAAATCTGATTGAATTTCTTTTTTAATTTCTTTCCAAGTTTTTGTTAATTTTTTGATTACTCTAAGGGCAATTAAAGGATTTAAAACACTTTTTGGTTCTAATTCAAATAATTCACTTTCTTCTTTTAAATATTTATTTGCTATACTAAAAATTAGAATAATTTTTATAAAATAATTATTATATTGGTATCTTTTAAAAGACCTTCATTATTCATGAATAGGGTTGCCGTTTTCGAGTCGGGCCGACGGTCGAGGCATTTTTTTTCGGGCTTGTTTTTATCGAGTCGGGCCGGTACGAGTCTTTTTCGGGCCTTACTTTATCGAGTCGGGCCGATACGAGTCTTTTTCGGGCCAAACTTTATCGAGTCGGGCCGGAACGAGTCACTTTCGGGCCTAACTTTATCGAGTCGGGCATCGAGACATTTTCGAGTCTTTTTTTAAAAGATTTATTTAAAAATAATTAGTGGATTTGGAGGGATATCTGTGAATTAAAAGGTATATCGATGGATCTGGAGGGTAAAGGAAGGGCTGAAGAGAATTTAAATGGATATCAGTGGATTTGAGGGATTAAGGTGATTTAAATTATCGGAGGATTGGTGTGAGATATTGCTAGATTTGGTTTTATTAAAGGAGATCAGATGATTAAGGGGATCAGGATCGCGTTAATCATATTGTGCGTTAATCACCAAATCCCTTAATAAAATCCCAGTGTACCATGATTGGTCTATTCGTATTTAGATAAGGGCTTACTGGAAAGTCAGGAAACCAGATTTCTTCTATTTTTAGCGCCGCAGGCGAAAATTTTGAGAATTTTGGACCCCCTGGATAAGCCCTTGACTTAATCTCTCAAACCGCCTTATATTCCCAGATTACACCTTATATCCCGGATGGTGGACTGCGGATTGCGTAAGATTGTGTTTAGCTTGTGGACTGAAGACTACGACTGCGTATTTTAAAGTTAAAATTGCTGACTGCAGAAAATTGTGGACTCTCAAAACTGATTGAGTTTAAAAAGTTCAAATGATGATGGGATCCCGCGGAATATATCCTATAAATCCCAGTAATCCAGCTTATCGATTAAAGCCAGTAAGTTCGAGATGTGAAGCAAAGTATGGAGCTAAAAATTTTTCATTTCAGCGCCGCAGGCAAAAATTTTGTGATATTCGGAAGGCTAAGGACCAAATTTCTTCCTTTTTCAGCGCCGCAGGCGAAAATTTTTCGAATTTTGGAAGGCCAAGGAGCCAGATTTCTCCCATTTTTGTCCACAAATCTGGTAAAAATATTATCGAGTCTTGTTCGAGTCGGGCCGACTTTTTCCGAGACAATTTTTTTCGGGCCTGTTTTTATCGAGTCGGGCCGGTACGAGTCACTTTCGGTCCTAACTTTATCGAGTCGGGCCGTTACGAGTCTTTTTCGGGCCCAACTTTATCGAGTCGGGCCGGTACGAGACTTTTTCGGGCCAAACATCGAGGCATGACTCGATCTTTCGGTCCGAGTCGGTCCATTTTGGCAACCCTATTCATGAATCTTACCACACCTTCTCTTCTTATAGCCAAAAACCCAAACAATTCACGCAATACGTGTTCCGCATTTGCGGGAAGCTCTGCTAGCAACCCCTAATCATTCAACCACTAAGCTTTTTGATTTGCACAAGGATCTGATCCAATTCCGATCACGGTCCCGGCTCGGGATAGGGATTTTTATTTGGTCCCGGAATCAGCAAAATCGGGATCGCGATTCACAAAACCGGGATAATCCCGCCCGATCCCAACCGGGATCCTACTCAATTCTATACAGATTAACTCATTTAATTGATTTTAGCATTCCCATTTACTAACCATGATTACTTCATTTTTAAATTTTAATTAAATCTTTTAATTAAAGTTGTGATACATAACTCCACTAATTTTAAAAACTACCTTTTTAATTTTTCTAAACGTTTATTTTCCAATAAAATATAATTTTCTATAATTTTTGGAATTTCTTTTTCTACATGTACTAATTGTTGTAATTCTGCAGAAGATGTAAATAAATCTTGGGAATTAATTAATTTAATTAAAATAAATAATAAATTAATTATCAGTAAATACATAAATAAATTAACTATTTTTAAAATATTCCGAAATCTTAAATTATTTAATTTCAAATTTTTATTTTTAATTTTTAATAAAATATTTAAAAGCTTTGTTGTCATTTATTTGTGTTCTCACTAAAAATAACTAATAAAAATTTATATATTTATGTGTTGGATTCGTGATATTTTTATTTTAAATTTTTTGCTTATATTTTTGGTTTTTAAGTTATAAAATTAGTAAAAACAGTAATTTTAGTTTAATATTTTAAAAAATTAATTTTTAGTATTCAGTGATGTCACGGATTGAGAAAAAAGTCGGTACGGGTTTTCAAAATTTTCTTCGGATTGCGTTTCGGATAACCCGTGACATCACTAGTAGGATGGATTATAAGTAAACGAGACCTACATCAATATTACATACCTAACTATCTAAATATAATTCCATTAGCGGGCTTTTTGTGTTAGTGTTAAATCCCCAAAATAATACATATTATTCTTTTCTTATGTAAATATTTAAATGTTTCTCTTAACTTTTAATCGTAAAATTAAATGATTTTAGACTACATATTTTTTTCTAAAAATATTTAAAAAAAAATAGCTCACATAGCGTTTTGTAAATTTAAAAACTTTTTAATTGAATGTCTTTTAAAGAATTGTTTTATTTTTAAAATTTTACTTCCTGCTATTTTTACTTTATGAAACTTTTTTCGACTCTTATCCAAATTAGTAATCGGCAAATGGCCATTTTCGGTCCCGATTTTTTCAAAGTTTTACAGGTACGGTATCTTTATCGGTATACCGGTAAACCGATAAAGACAATGGGTAAGTAGAGAAAAAATATAATTCTATTCTCGTAGATTGTATGGTTGTTAAATGCAAAACCGGGAGGCCCAGCAATTATTTATAGGTTCTGTAATCATTGGAAAAGTTGAATTTTCTTAATAATTTTATTGTAATCTAAATACAGACTAAATAGTAAAAAAACAATCAAAACTTAATTTTCTAAAGTTGATTTCAAAATATCACTAAATTAGAAATGGTTATTCCTGAAGCCAAATAAATGGCGCCTAAATGTTCAAATAAAGCCCCTAATTCTTTTGAAACCTACTGAACTTTTTGATTTCATTTGGCGCCATCATTTTAACCAATTTTTGAATTTTTCTTAAATAAAATATAATTTATTTATAATTTATATATTATAAATTTATATATTATAATAAACTCTACAAAAAATGTAAAAACAAACAAAAATGCAATATACAATTAAAACAATTTTAAAAAATTTCTTTCCTTTAGAAGTAAACTTTCTCAATTTGTCTAAACGTGCTTCAATGTCATCAAATCTTTCATTATTTTGCCTCTCCATTTCATTCATTCTTTGATTTGTTGCTATTTCGAATTGATCTAATCTTATTGTTAAATCATTGAGACGTTCTTGAGTAAAGATTCCTTTCTTCTTTTCTAAAGTCAAAATTAAAATTGCTGCAATCTGTAAATATTGAAAATAATGTCGAAAATTGTTCTTGATTGAATGGCCCACAATCTATTTTTCAATACCCCCAAAAGATTGTCATTCAATTGGAGGGCCATTCAATTAGAACAAAATATGGTAGTAAATTTTTAAGTTTAACAACTAAATTAAGGGTTCTAGGTACTTTTGTCGTTCCCTATCCTCTTTACAAAATTCTTTATATGTATATATTAGTCGGAATACCTTTTTGGGAGCTCACCATTTATGAGTAATTAAGACTTTACTAAAGAAAATCAGGGGGAATAGTAAGTTAATGGTGATAAGAGTTCGAAAGATCTTGGTCACCAAATCCGAGTAACAATTTGGCTGTGGCCTATTAGTATTGTTGAAAGGGTTATTATTGGTGTTCTTTTCTGTTTTATTGATATACTTGTATAGAATTTTTGTTTGTTAGCCCTTGATCAAGTTATTTAATTTTATTTTCGCATTGATTTTTAAATATTCCCAAGTCTGTCACAAAATGCTTGACAGTCATTTCCTCACCTTCCTCTTTTTAAAAACATCTCCAACAATTATAGTTAAAATTCTAGAAGAAACCAACAAATTTTTAGAATATTTCTTTAATTGTTTAAATATTTTTGTTGTTGATTCTTCTTCTAATATATTTAACTCTAATTCATTTGGAGGTATATTTAATGATTTAAATATGTCTACAAGAAGTTCATTTGGAATTGTTTTCCCCTTCTTTTTATTTAAATTCATTTGTAAAATTTTCTAAATAAACTTAAAAATTCTTTTTAAAATTATTTAATTTAAACAAAATAAGACGTCTAAACAAACTTCTATTAAAGTAAAAATGTCAATATTACATTCTGTCACTAAAATTTGATGAAATAAAAAAGGTGCGAAAATACAGGTATAATGAAGCTGTGCCACATTTGGCAAAATGTTAGGTCAAAGGACAAAAGAAACAAAATTTTCTAAAAGGCTTTGTAATTTTCTATTAGTGCTCAAATATTTTATATTTATTCTCACAAATTAATTTTGTATTTGAAAAAATGTTGTCAGTCGAACATAATTTATCTATTTTATCTCTTAACCTAAGTACATTTGATCTCATTTTTGAATACCCCTTTCGAAAAAGCGTATTTAAAACTGAGAAGTAGGGTTGCCGTTTTCGAGTCGGGCCGACGGTTGAGGCATTTTTTTTCGGGCTTGTTTTTATCGAGTCGGGCCGATACGAGTCTTTTTCGGGCCTAACTTTATCGAGTCGGGCCGGAACGAGTCACTTTCAGGCCTGACTTTATCGAGTCGGGCATCGAGACATTTTCGAGTCTTTTTTTAAAAGATTTATTTAAAAATAATTAGTGGATTTGGAGGGATATCTGTGAATTAAAAAGTATATCGATGGATCTGGAAGGTAAAGGAAGGGCTGAAGAGAATTGAAATGGATATCAGTGGATTTGAAGGATTAAGGTGATTTAAATTATCGGAGGATTGGTGTGAGATATTGCTAGATTTGGTTTTATTAAAGGAGATCAGATGATTAAGGGGATCAGGATCGCATATCAGATAATTAAGGTGCTATATTGTAATAGGATTTAAAAGGATTGAAGAGATTTAATGGATATCGGAGATTTGAAGGATAACGCAAGATTTAAGTGATATCGTGCGTTAATCACCAAATCCCTTAATAAAATCCCAGTGTACCATGATTGAACTATTCGTATTTAGATAAGGGCTTACTGGAAAGTCAGGAAACCAGATTTCTTCCATTTTTAGCGCCGCAGGCGAAAACTTTGAGAATTTTGGACCCCCTGGATACGCCCTTGACTTAATCACCCAAACCGCCTTATATTCCCAGATTACACCTTATATCCCGGATGGTGGACTGCGGATTGCGTAAGATTGTGTGTTTTTGACTTGTGGACTGAAGATTACGACTGCGTATTTTAAAGTTAAAATTGCGGACTGCGGAAAATCGTGGACTCTCAAAACTGATTGAGTTTCAAAAGTTCAAATGATGATGGGATCCCGCGGAATATATCCTATAAATCCCAGTAATCCAGTTTATTGATTAAAGCCAGTAAGTTCGAGATGTGAAGCAAAGTATGGAGCTAAAAATTTTTCATTTCAGCGCCGCAGGCAAAAATTTTGTGATATTCGGAAGGCTAAGGACCAAATTTCTTCCTTTTTCAGCGCCGCAGGCGAAAATTTTTCGAATTTTGGAAGGCCAAGGAGCCAGATTTCTCCCATTTTTGTCCACAAATCTGGTAAAAATATTATCGAGTCTTGTTCGAGTCGGGTCGACTTTTTCCGAGACAATTTTTTTCGGGCCTGTTTTTATCGAGTCGGGCCGGTACGAGTCACTTTCGGCCTAACTTTATCGAGTCGGGCCGTTACGAGTCTTTTTCGGGCCCAACTTTATCGAATCGGGCCGGTACGAGACTTTCGGGCCAAACATCGAGGCATGACTCGATCTTTCGGTCCGAGTCGGTCCATTTTGGCAACCCTACTGAGAAGTGAGGCTAAACCCTTAGTAGGGGATGGTACCTGATTGATTATCAGATGAACTTTCTTATGTAGTATGTACTCTAACCCCTCGTCTCTTTAATCATCTCTCTTACTAACGGATCTTAGAAAGGCGATTAAACAAAGAACTGAAAGAGAAACTCCACGGAAATAGTGAAAATTTCACAATAAAAGAAGGGCTACCTGTCTAGTACAAAATTTCATCCCGACACCATCACCCCAGGTACTTTCCTTTGTTGGAAGGGGATGATATACCGTATTGTCTCTAATAGAAGCCCATCCCCAATAGAAGCCCATGCCCTATTAGAAGCCCACTCAATAGGGGGTATTGAAAAATAAAGGCCCATGCCCCAATAGAAGCCCATGCCCTATTAGAAGCCCATCTGATTTTTGACAACCTGTTTTTCTATTACTCGTATTTCCAGTCTCCAAAAATGAGTATAGAAGGATTAGAATGGAATATCGAGAGATTTGGATGAGTTAATTAGAATTTAAGATGAATTAAGGAGAATTTGGAGAAAAATAGATGCGGGTTTAAGAAGGTATCTAAGGAATTGTGGTATAGAGACTATTGTATGATTGAGTGGGATATCGTTGGCTATCAACGAATTAATAGGTATATTCAGAGATTGAATATTGAGAGATTTGGTTGAATCCTCAAGAATTCAACTCTGTCCGTGCATACCGTATAACCTGTATTAATTGCCCTCCCTCAAATTATTACCCCACTTCCATTAATTACCCTATCCAACGATGGATTGAAACAATAATTACTCCCCAACAAATGCCTTAAAACACATTCATATTTCAAACCTCATATAATTACCCTCCCTCGATTAATTACTCCCTCCTCCAAAAGGTCGAAACAATAATTACCCAGGGTAGTTATTAAAGGATATACGGTATACATTCTTCCTTGCATATACCCCGGTCCACCCAAAAAGTTCAATATCGAGGGATCCCTAGATCGATAGAGTAAAAATAATCCTTCCATATTTTTCCATTGAGGATATGGAAGGATTATGAGGGATTAAGAAATTTAGGAGTTTAAAAAGGAGATTAAGTGTACTAGAAGGAGATTAAGTGTACTAACAACTTGTAAAAACATATCAAAATCGAAAAGTGATATCTAAATTCGAGGTCCGATTGTAATTATTTTCCAGTAAAACATTTGTAATTTATTTATAACATTTAATTTTTATCCTACAATATCCATACAAACAAACAAAGAAGAAACAAACAAACAATAAAAACAGCTAACAACAAATATTTAACTTTGGAAATTTTCTTTTTTACAATTCTTAATTCATCTAAATTTGCTTCAATGTCATGAAATCCTCCTATTTGATTAGCATTTTCTTCAGTTAATTCTTCTAATTGAGCTATTCTTTCTGTCAAATCATTTAATTGTTCTCGAATAAAAATATTTTTCTTCTTTTCTAAAGTCGAAATTAAAATAGCTGCAATCTGCAAAAAATGTTGAGAAAATTAGTTTTTTAATTGGGTGGGGGCTAACCCTAGGAATTCAAATCGCAAAACAGACAAATCGAGGAACAGACAATTCACGGAATTACCAAAATAAGGAATATTTAATTCCGTGACTTGTCCGTTCCGTGAGTTAGCATGACATTATTTAATTACAGAAAATAATTTCCTCACCTTCCTCTTTTTAAAAACTTCTCCAACAATTATAGTTAAAATTCTAGAAGAAACCAACAAATTTTTAGAATATTTCTTTAATTGTTTAAATATTTTTGTTGTTGATTCTTCTTCTAATATATTTAACTCTAATTCATTTGGAGGTATATTTAATGATTTAAATATGTCTACAAGAAGTTCATTTGGAATTGTTTTCCCCTTCTTCTTTTGTTTATTTAAATTCATTTGTAAAATTTTCTAAAAAATATTAAAAATCATCGCAGAAAAGAAAAGTTTATTTTATTTTCGCGCACTAATTAAAACTTTTAGGGAGTTAAAAGGGGAGAGGTGTATGAAAGTAATTAATGGGGGTTATGGTAATTAAATTAGGTATTCTGAAACTGCCTTTTATAGTAAAATCTTTAATTCAAATGTCGAGATCCACTCACTAAAGGATTAAACTTAGTTAAAGGCTATAATTTATTATTACTCCAACAATATCGAATCCCGTATTCCTAGGTATTGGTCAAGAACTCCTGAAATAGTACTCTTGACTGAAGGCATTGAGAATTTTATATAAACTTTATGGTGGAAAATCTGACAAAAAAAATTTTTGAAGTTTGAATGTAGGAAAGAAACACATATTCAATCCATCAAGTAATTGCACCATTGCTGTCTAATGAAGCCTGTAAATGGAAGGAAAATAAACTTATCGATAAAAAGAAAACCTGATTTACTAAATTTTTTGCACCGGGTCAGGCAAACGGTCTGAATAAATAAATTTATGTAAAAACTTTTAATAAATAGATTATTTAACCTCTGTTGCTTTTTTAACCTTTAGCCACTTTTCCTCTTCAAATTTAGAATCCTTCCCTCACACTCATTGCTAGGCTGCACCCTCCTCCCCCTCTTTGGTTTTAACAAGACGGTGGAATTGCACAGAAAAATCTAAAATTTTTAAAGATAAACAACGATTCTGAATCGGATTAAAAGAAAAGATTTCAAACAACATATTTATTTAAACAAAATTTTTTTAAATAACAATTTTTGAGGCCCTCCAAAAAAAATTTGAAAACATTAACAATTTACTTCCTTCTTAAATTACTGTCCATTTAGGCCTCTTCTTATTCCATGTTCCCATCAGTGCCTTTGCGCAAATACACTAAAATTTTTGTATTAAAAACTAAAGGATATTTAAAAAGGTTCGCCGAAAATACATAGATTAAATAAAACAAATTTAAATTTTACTAAAAGATAAAAATTTTTTCAGAAATTTGTTCAAAAAAGTACCTATTAACCAATCCATTGCTTCGTAATATTCCCACCGCGAAGCCTTTCCAGTGCTCTTGACCTGCCCGAGTTCTCGACCAAATGTTGAGCGTAAGTCGTTCCAGCGCTTTCTGACTTCCTCCGGATCCTTTCCAAGATATATTTCCAAGGATCCTTTCCAACTTATAATTTTTTTTATATATTATTTACATTCTTTTTGTTTTTTAATTTATTGACATGATTTTGTTTTTATATATATTTTTTTTACTTGATTTCGTTTTTTATTGTTTTTTGACTTGACTCGCGCCATCAAGGCGTAAATAAATAAATAAATAAATAAATAAATATTCATCAAACTCTAGTACGACTCGCCGTATCTACAAAGGGCGAGTTTTCTTAACAGCCTTAATTTTTAAAAGTTAATTAGAGGATTCACAAGACAAAATTAATCTTTTAGTGGAAATAAAAAAGAACCAAATGCAGAGTTTAGTAATCAAACCCCAATATTTAAATATAATAATAGGGAAACTAGACAAACCCAGGGAAAACTAAGAAACTTTCAAAAAATTATTTAAAAAATTATCAAAAAATATTATTAGAAAAATTTAAAAATACCCTCTGTTCCATCCAACAAAACTGCACCTCTTCGAAAATGACGGCCTTTTAAATTAAAGAAATTTAAAAAATTTCTAAATTTAAAACCTTTAGTTGTTCAATTGGTGATGCCACAATAAAAGAGAAGATTTGCTCCAGATTTACAGCCTTAAAAATAATTTAAGTTAAGATTGGAGGTTGAGAGGGAGGAGTAGAAGACACTATTGAAGGGACTGTGTGTGTGACTAATGTTAGAAAACAGTAACAATTTATTTCACCCAAAATTCCTCACACTGGCCAAAAGTTCCCTTTCAATGGTTGGATTGACACGACAAGATAGGAAAGAGAACGCCCCCACCAAAAGGTTAATATGTAAAACAGAAAGAAATTTGGAAGCCGAACCCCAAAAAGCTCTAAAATAATATAAAAATTTTCTAAAGAAAAAAACAAACTCTGTCCCGAAAGCAAAGGGAAGTCCAGATTGAACACGCAATGGAGGAGATTTAAATGCATCTTTTGGTTGATGAATCAATTTTGGGGCGGATATAGGCAATTTAAATCGATGCTTAAAATTAAATAATATGAGACGTTCTGAGGGATTTACTTTGGTTTGTAAACAAAAATGTAGATCTGGATTTTAAGGATCGGTTTTGGTCATTAAATTTTAATCAGAGAAAAATGATATGGGTGGATTATTGGAGTAAAGACCGAAAAGCCTAGAAAAGGCACTCCAAGATGAAGAATGAAAACCCCCTAGGAAATATTAAGTCAAAACTAAGGACCAAGAATTTCGCTAAAAAATAATTATATAATTTTTGGCACGGCTTGGATTGTCGACTGTTATCTAAAATCAAAGACCCTAATGATTCTAACTGATACGATTTCCCCCGAAATTTTTTAATTTAAAATATAATTATAAATTTATACATTTCCAACAAAAGTAGAACCATAAGGAATGCACAAATATTGAACAATTGAAGACATTTTCTGTAGGCATTCCTAAATACATAACTCTTCTCCTCAAACTATCCCAAAAGGAAACGTTGAATATTTGTTGGTGGTTATTGTAAGAATTGTGTTGACGCTCTTGATTTGAAAAGAAATTGCTTCTTTAATAAAAATAAAAAAATTTTTTTAATTGAAAAAATTAAAAAAAGAACGTAGAAAATTCTCATGTTGACAAAATTGGCCAAAAAATAGAAAAACAGCATCAATAAATGTTTCTTAAAAATTTGAGCCAAGTGTAATTTCCATATGTAGGGGAATGTAAATTTCTTGTTTAAAACATTCTGAATCTAATAAAATCATTAAAAATTTTTAAATTTTAACTATTAAATTACTTACAAAATACATATAAATTTATTAAATCTAATAAAATCAGACCAATTTGGACAAGTGTGAAAAGAAAATGTGAGTGATTTGTTGGTGCAAATTCATAGAGAGAGAAAAGCGCCTTTAAGTAAAAAAGGGAGGGAGAAGAAGAAAGGGCAATGATTGACTCAAAAAAACAAATTTGGGAGGTGAAAGGAAGAAGTCAATTTAAAATAAAAATTTAGAAAAATATGGTCGGGTTGCTCCAAATAATCCCTGGTCATTAAATCCACTCACTAAAGGATTAAACTTAGTTAAAGGCTATAATTTATTATTACTCCAACAATATCGAATCCCGTATTCCTAGGTATTGGTCAAGAACTCCTGAAATAGTACTCTTGACTGAAGGCATTGAGAATTTTATATAAACTTTATGGTGGAAAATCTGACAAAAAAAATTTTTGAAGTTTGAATGTAGGAAAGAAACACATATTCAATCCATCAAGTAATTGCACCATTGCTGTCTAATGAAGCCTGTAAATGGAAGGAAAATAAACTTATCGATAAAAAGAAAACCTGATTTACTAAATTTTTTGCACCGGGTCAGGCAAACGGTCTGAATAAATAAATTTATGTAAAAACTTTTAATAAATAGATTATTTAACCTCTGTTGCTTTTTTAACCTTTAGCCACTTTTCCTCTTCAAATTTAGAATCCTTCCCTCACACTCATTGCTAGGCTGCACCCTCCTCCCCCTCTTTGGTTTTAACAAGACGGTGGAATTGCACAGAAAAATCTAAAATTTTTAAAGATAAACAACGATTCTGAATCGGATTAAAAGAAAAGATTTCAAACAACATATTTATTTAAACAAAATTTTTTTAAATAACAATTTTTGAGGCCCTCCAAAAAAAATTTGAAAACATTAACAATTTACTTCCTTCTTAAATTACTGTCCATTTAGGCCTCTTCTTATTCCATGTTCCCATCAGTGCCTTTGCGCAAATACACTAAAATTTTTGTATTAAAAACTAAAGGATATTTAAAAAGGTTCGCCGAAAATACATAGATTAAATAAAACAAATTTAAATTTTACTAAAAGATAAAAATTTTTTCAGAAATTTGTTCAAAAAAGTACCTATTAACCAATCCATTGCTTCGTAATATTCCCACCGCGAAGCCTTTCCAGTGCTCTTGACCTTTGCGAGTTCTCGAACAAATATTGAGCGTAAGCCGTTCCAGCGCTTTTTGACTTCTTCCGGATTCTTTCCAAGATCAATTCCAATTTTCTTCCAATGCTCATCGAACTTATAATTAGTACGAGACGCCGTATCATATAAAGGGGGAATTTTCTTAACCGCCTTAATTTTTAAAAATTAATGAGACAAAGTTAATTTTTAGTGGAAATAAAAAAAGAACTAAATGCTGAGTCTAACAATAGCCTAACTACACTTTATGGGTCTGATCACGATTTGGATGATTTATAAGTCATTCGGAATAGCTCGGCGAGCTGAGTCAAAAGGCACCAAAATTAGCCAGCGGACTCAACATGAGCCGAGATATAGGGCTCGAAATATTCAAATTTGTGGGGAAATGGTCAATTTGTCCAAATCGGAATCAGACGCATAATCTGTAGTTTAGCCGAATTTTTAATATTTAAAACAATATCAAAATTTACTGCCCCGTTTAAAACCAAAATTCCTAAGAAAACTAACTTCAATAAGTTGGAATTCGTATCCAATATTCTCTTCCTTTGCCGCTGCACTAGAACAAGTTGCTTTAGTGGAAAGACCCTTTTGAGTTGCACCAGAAGTTGTTTGAGTAGAAGGAAATTGTTTGTAATCATCCTGAAACAAAATAACATGATCTTTCATAATCAATAAACAAGTTTTATTACAAAAATTAAATGCTTATTTTTTAGTAAATTAAAGTTTTTTGAGAGCAATTTATAAAGTCATAAATTAACTAGCTTAAAACAACTTTAAAAAGATACCTCAATTTTTTGTAACTGTTCTGCCGTAGCTTTAGTTCGAGCTAAGCGCAGAGCCTCATCCCAAAAGTCACAATTTTTGTAGAAATCCAACATAATGTCGACACGACCACAATCAACAAGGTAACCTTCAATAAGGCTGAAGTTATTCTAAAAAATGGATATGTTTTATGGTAAATGACGATTAAAATTAAAATTCAAAATTATAAATAATTAAAGAGCTCACACGAGCGATTTCGCGCTTAAATTGAGCAATTTGCGCCAATATAAGTGAGTGTTCACGTTTCTCACCCACTAACACAGTGTGCAATGCAGTTGTCAACTCTAACACCGCGTCCTTCATCTTCGATTCCGTTTTAACTTTGCTTAACTCCTCTTGAAGCTCCAAAATTTTTTTATCCTGTTCTGTCATTTCTACTAAAATTAATTAATCCTAAACACATTAAACTTAATTCAAAAAGACCCTCCACCCACAAAAAAAGAAATGGACCCCTCAAACTGAAAATGGATTGTTTTAAAAAAATTTGATATGGACACATCGACAATTTTGCACTTTGATATTTTGACACTTTGAATTTTAAAAGGGACACACCAGTCTGAACTAGAGATCGTCGTGTTTGCGTGATCCCGCGTGCGGGATTTTTTAAAATATTTGCGGGACGGGATCCCGCGGGATAAATCTCGAAAAATTCGAAATCGCGCGAAATCCCGCAAAACGAAGAGTACGGGAGTGAGGGACGGGATTCCGCAAAATCCCGCGCCGGTTGGGGTCACTAGAGTGCCGCCACTAGAGTGCTACCACTAGAGAGCGGGCCACTAGAGTGCCAATAGTATAAAATCCTAAAAATGTTTTTAAGAAATAACAATGTTCCAACTACAGAGGAAGGTTGTTCCAATGACGGTGGAAGTTGTTCAAATGCCAGGGAATCTTGTTCCAATAACGGGGGTGGTTATTCAAATGACGGGGGTGGTTATTCAAACGACGGGGGAGTTTGTTCAAATGACGGCAGCTCTCTAGTGCCCGCTCTCTAGTGGCCCCCCTGTGCCGACCTCTGTGCCGACCTCTAGTTAAAATCGCGAATAGGCTAAAAAGGGGTTGAAATTAGAGATCGGAACGGGTCCGGGACCCGGACCCGTTTCCCGGTTTTCGGGTCCCTTTTCCCGGTTTTTTTGAAGCATCTCTTTTCGTTTAATTCTATTGCGATGCCAACTTGTCTTTATAATTATTCATTTTGAAAAAAATTCACGTAAAATCTACTTAACGCCGAGATTACGCATAATTATTCTTCTAGTAATACTCGAATTGTTTTTTTGTGAAAGAAAATTTTTTAAAAAACGTTTACTGCCTAAATCACTACTGCCCATATCACTCACTGCCCAAATCATTCACTGGCGAAATCACCAGACTCGGATTCGATATTTAATCATTCCATATTTTAACGGGTGCCGGAATTTTGGTCACCGGAATTTTGGTCACCACGATTTTTCGGAACTTTGGTCACCAATTTTTTTAGAATTTTGGTCACCAGCGGAATTTTGGTCACCAAGTCAAAAAACGGAATATTGGACACTGAAATTTTGGTCACCAAGAGGATTTTGGTCACCAAACGGAAAAAAGAATCTTATCTAAAACTGGGAATAATTTCGGAATACTAAACAGACTCCGATTGGGACAAATTATATGTCATTCGATTCAGCTCGGCGAGCTGAGTCGAATGACATCAAAATATCGATTGGGACGTAACTATGGGCCGAGATACAGGGCTCGAAATGGTCAAAAACCATAGGAGGGACCAAGCACTATTTTGGGGTGAAAAATTCGAAAATGCAAATAATACCTCATTCGAAAGAGCTTGACGAGCTGAGTCGAATGATACCAAAATCGCCGTGATTGAACACGATTAGACAAAGTTATAACACAAAAAACAAAAAGCCTAAACCTATGGGTCGTCGGCGAGGCGCTTGTGCAAAACCCCGCGCTTCGCGCGGGGTTTTGCGGCACGCGCCTCGCGGGGAGTCTACGGGCGTTGGGTCTGGGCTCGTAACATAAACCTATTCCTATCTCCCTTGCTCTGGACGTATTTGGGGCCTCCGTAGCAGCATAAATCTCCACAGATGCCATAGGTAAGGAGCTAAAATAAAAGATCATAACTTTGTCCAATCAAGTTAGATTTCATTGATTTTGGTGTCAATCGACTCAGCTCGATGAGCTCTTTCGAATGAGGTATAATTTGCATTTTCGAATTTTTCACCCCAAAATAGTGCTTGGTCCCCCCTATGGTTTTTTGAAATTTAAGGTGCTGTATCTCGGCCCATAGTTACGTCCCAATCGATATTTTGATGTCATTCGACTCAGCTCGCCGAGCTGAGTCGAATGACATATAATTTGTCCCAATCGGAGTCTGTTTATTATTCCGAAATTATACCCTAAAACTGATATCAAAGTGATAAAAATATTGTTTTTCAACTTCCAGTTGATCAATTTCTATGTTGATCACTCTGCCAGTTAACCAATCATCCGGTAGAGTGATCGAGAGTGATCAACCGGGCGAGTGATCAGCCAGCAAAGTGATAAACATTGAAACTGATCAACTGGAGGTTGAAAAATCATTTTTTATCACTTGTTATCAGTTTTAGATAAGATTCTTTTTTTCCGTTTGGTGACCAAAATTCCTCTTGGTGACCAAAATTTCAGTGTCCAATATTCCGTTTTTTGACTTGGTGACCAAAATTCCGCTGGTGACCAAAATTCCAAAAAAATTGGTGACCAAAGTTCCGAAAAAGCGTGGTGACCAAAATTCCGGTGACCAAAATTCCGTACACCATTTTAACGATTCGGTATTTTAACCCCTTTTAGCCTATTCGCGATTTTAACCATTCCATATTTTAACGATTCCATATTTTGTACCGGAGCCTTTTTCCTGACTAACAAATAAGGGCTTGCTACTTTATAACCCGCTCCTTTTCCGCACCTTTTCTTTTTTTAAATGTTTCTCCAACAGCTAAGTAAATTATTTTTGAACAAGTCACCAAATTTGTTGTGTATTTATTCCAAAAATTTTCAGACTTATCCATAATGTTTTGTAGTTCTGATTCATTTGGACAAGTATTGACAGCTCTCAAAATATTAACAATTAATTCATTGGGTATTGCTTTACTAAATTTTTGTTGGTTTTGTTGTTCTTTCATATTTTTTAAATTTTTTTACATTTTTTGGATTGTTTATAAAGGTATTTTCCGTTTATTAATTAAATATCAGACAATTTTATTTCCTCAATATAAAAACGAGTCAAGGTAGAGTAGAGGAGTGGTCTCATTGTCCTTGTTTTTTTTTCTAGATAGGCAAATTTCCCAAAGTATTTTAACAATTAATTTTTAAACAAAAAGTTTATTTTTTTAATATTTTTGGAAAACAAAAAAATTAATTCTGATTTTTTCTGATTTTAAGATCTTTTTTGTTGTTGTATTTCAAATTTATCTTTAGTAATAATTTTATTTTTCCCTTAATACTTTGACTTGTTTATTTATGCAAACACATTTTATTTATTTAAAAGATGTAGAAATTTTTATAGAAATTTCCAAAAAATTATCAAAAAAATTTTCCCTATTTTCAGAATGTATTCTTCCTTATTTACTACTATTTTTTACTCATTTTTCAATTATTCTTTGTCTATATTCAAAAATACTAATAAATTCATTCCCATTAATTAGACTTTTGGCACTATATGAAATGAGGTCGATAATCGTTTTTTTCATTACTTTTTTCTAGAGCCCGGCTCGATACGATATTTTTTCGATATTTTTCGATATATATTCGATATTATCGAAAATATATCGACCGAAAAAATTTAAAAATCGAAACAATCGACCGACCAAATTACAAAAAATCGAAAAAAATATCGAACGTCATTTTTGACAAAAATTTGAATTTTTGGCACCAAAAAGGATGCATTTTTGCTTTTTGACCATCGGAAATTCAAAAAATTTTCGCCTTCGCCGCAGATAAAGGAAGAATCTTGCTCGATGGCCTTCCAAAAATCTTTAAATTTTTTCCTGCGTCGCTGAAAATGAAAAAATTTTGTAACTTGACCTTCCGAGATTCTCATAAGTGTCCGTAGAATAAATTCAAGGGCAAGGTTACCCGGATAGCTGCAGCGCCGACTTGACCCTAAACAAAGGGTTTGGCGCCGCTACCCGCTTCTCATTCTCCCTATTTGGGAAAAAATTCATAACTTATTTTTTAAAATGGAGATAAAAATTTCATTTTTTGCCAAAATATAAATTGGAATGTTAACTATGGTTTACCAAAAAATCAAAAATTTTGATTGACTTATTTAAAAGTCGAGGGATCAAGTTGTAGCTTTGGGAGAGATGGATTTCAAAACGGATATCAATATCCACCTTAATTCCTTAATATCCATTATCCCTAGTTAAAATCCACTTATATCCCACTTGATCCTTCGATATCAAGTACAAGTCCATTGATATTACATTTAATCCGACCAACTTTACCAATATCCATTTAATCAATCTTAATCTCATTAAACTTTTAGGTCTATTCTGGTATACATTGGTTATCGAAAAATTTTTGAAAAATCGAAAAATATCGAGACTTTTTTTCGATATTTTTCGGGTTCGATAGTTTTCGATATTCATCGAAAAATATCGACCGAGAAAATTTTGGTAAATTTTGGTAAACATTTTTAATTAATTTATACTATATTTCTAACATTCAATTTTTATCCTATAATATCCAAATAAACAAACAAATAAGGAATAAACAAACAACAAAAATAGCTAACAACAAATATTTAACTTTAGAAATTTTCTTTTTTACTTTTTCTAATTCATCTAAATTTGCTTCAATGTCATGAAATCCTCCTATTTGATTAGCATTTTCTTCAGTTAATTCTTCTAATTGAGCTATTCTTTCTGTCAAATCGTTTAATTGTTCTCGAATAAAAATATTTTTCTTCTTTTCTAAAGTCGAAATTAAAATAGCTGCAATCTGCAAAAATTGTTGAGAAAATTAGTTTTTTAATTGGGTGGGGGCTAACTCGAGGAATTCCAAATCGCAAAACAGACAAATCACGGAATTACCAAATCACGAAGCAACCAAAATAAAGAATATTTTAAAAATGATTTTAAAGATCAGAATTGTTTTAAAAATCAGAATTTTTTTGATTTTACATAAAAAAGTTCTGATTTTTAAAATATTTCGTGATTTGGTAATTCCGTGAATTGTCTGTTTCTCAACTTGTCGTTCCGCGAATTGTCTGTTCCGTGAGCTAGCATGACATGATTTAATTACAGAAAATAATTTCCTCACCTTCCTCTTTTTAAAAACATCTCCAACAATTAAAGTCAAAATTCTAGAAGAAACCAACAAATTTTTAGAATATTTCTTTAATTGTTTAAATATTTTTGTTGTTGATTCTTCTTCTAATATATTTAACTCTAATTCATTTGGAGGTATATTTAATGATTTAAATATGTCTACAAGAAGTTCATTTGGAATTTTCTTTTGTTGTTTATTTAAATTCATTTAAATTCTCTAAAAATATTAAAAATCATCGTAGAAAAGGAAAACTTTGAGGAAGTTAAGAGGAGAGGTGTTTTAAGGTAATTAATGAGGGTTATGGTAATTAAATTAGTGATTCTGAAACTGCCTTTTATAGTAAGATCTTTAATTCAAATGTCGAGATTTTTTAATTTAAGTATTTCTTTATTGGTTCCATTTTAACGAATAAATCCAAAAGAATATTGGTTATAATTTATTATTTTTAAAATAAAATGCAACTACAGCCGTACTGTTTTTTCGTAATGTTATTTATCCCGATGACGAAGTTGCTAAAAATTTAACTGTAGCTATTAAAAATTTTGGGCTCTTGTACAATTTAAGCATCCCAAAATTTTAGACTTTTGCTAATGTGTTAACAACCATTGAAAGGATGTTGACCACCGATTAACTAAAAATGCGAGAAATTTTGTCAGAACCAAAAAATTTTCGATATTTTATAATTTGCACAGCTCTAGTTTTTCAAGGCGCAACTCCAGTTTTCATTAACATACTACAATATTATAACGAATATTTTTAATTTTTTTATTCAAAATTGCATAGCAAATAATATATCATTAATTTAATTAAAAAAGCATAATCTTAATAAGGCCTTATTTTCGAATAATGGTGCACAAGTGAAATTATATTTAAAAAGCTTAATATAAAATTGGGAATTTTTTTTGAAATTTATATGAGAAATTGAGAGAAGCATTTTGGTATTTTCCCTATTATCTATACGCAGATTTAAAATTAACTGAACTTTAGTTTTCCTCAGAATAACAGATTTAAAAATTACCAATATAGGTAGGTATTCGAAGAATCTCTTGGAGATGAGTGAAAGGTGAACTGAGGTGAACATTATTTTAATATATCTTGCCAGTTAGTTTAAAATCTGTGTGTAGAAATAGGGAAGGCACCAGAATTTCTTTAATAAAAACATAAATTACAGATACTTAATTCAATACTTTTCTATAAAAAATTAACTTTTCAACTTACTATTTTTCAAAAAAATTAATGTTAAAATACATATATTTCTGTAATTATATGATTTTTAGTTGCGTAGTGGTACAGTCCTATAATTATAATTTTTATTTTAATCTTCCTTCTTAATTTTCTTTAAATGAATGAAGAAGATTCTTGTTCCTCCTGTTCTTCATCCAAAAGTTTATTTCGTCGATTTTCTACATCCCCCATTGGCGGTGATGGTTTTGGGGGCAATTTTGGGGGAATTGAATTTTCACATGATGTTCCTCTCTTTGAAGGAATTGGTGGAGGTGGTTGTTGTTCTTCTTTTTCTTGATTTTCTTCAACATTTTTCAAACGTTGTTGTAGTAATAAAGGTGAACGTTCTAATGATTGTCCAAGGGCAGAAGGGAAAGGCTCTGGAGAGGAGTTGATAATTGGAGTCTAAAAATAAAAAAAAATTTTTAAAAGTAATATAGAGGAGTAGAGGTTGATGACACAAAATTGTAGGGTAATGAGTAGGGTTACCGTTTTCGGTTCGAGCCGACGTTCGGTGCATTTTTTTTCGAGCTTGGTTTTTTTCGATTCGGTTCGTTTTCGAGCTGAAAAGCCTCGGCTCGCTCGATCTTTCGAGTCTCGGTTCGAGCGAGCTGGCAACCCTAATAATGAGTCTAAATATTAGAAACAGAACGTATAAAAAATGGAGTGATAAACTAAAAACTGTGTTCAAAGTTTTTTAAATAACTTTTTTACCTGTTCTAAAGTATCAACTTCCTCCTTTGCCAAAACTTCATCTAAAGCATTAACAGCCTCCTCTTCTTCAGTTTCTTCCAATTTTTTCTTTCGATGTAAACGTGCAGGTTTAGGTCTATTTTTAGCTAAATGTACAAGTTTTGTTGGGGAAGAAGTTTCTTTTCCTTCTTTTTCATTTTCAAAAAATGCAAAATTTCCCACAACACTTTGTGACATTATTGAAGGAATTACTCCATTTTGTTGATTATTATTTGACATTATTGAAGAAATTGGACGATAATTTAATGATTTAGAATCTGCTGGGGAACGCAATAAAATTCCTTTTCTATTAGATATTGTTGCTGTTTTTATAGTTCCTCCAAGTTTTTGTTCCAAAATTTTAAAACAATTTTGATCATCTGAACGTAAAGCATTGTCTAATTTGGAAAATAAATGCTCCCATGCACATTCACTAAAAAATAATTTTTTTACTTTAAATTTAGTTTTAAAAAAAATAATTTTTGCCTTGTATATCTGTTAAAGAATTGTGTCAATTTTTCTTTAAGTTGATCTTCTTTTGCATGATTTTCAAAAATATTGTTAATAATATCAGGCTGTTGGTTATTGAGTGAACAAATTTCTACACATTCTTGGGCAGCTAGACGATCAGAGAAAGATTGTAAAAAATTCTTAAAATTAAAAAAAAAACAAATTTAAAAAATAATTTTTATATACTTTATTATTGTCTTCAACAAATTGCCCAAGTTCTTCAATAAATTTATCGACAATTTTTGTCCTTCTCTTATCCCCATTATTTTTAAATGAATCATTGAATATATTAATATCATCAGATTTTTGTTCTCCAAACTGTGCAATTAATTTTCCAATTTTGTGAAAAGCAACTTTTTTAATTTCACTGGTTTCAGAGCCATTTATATTGTAACGATCACATCCCTAAATATTTAAATTTGGAAAGAATTTATTCAAAAAAATATTTTTTTTAAATTTACAATATTCAAAGAATGCATTGCTTTCATTGCCAATTGTCCATTTGTCGGTCCGTTTGTTAAAGAAAAATCAACATTTCGTTTCAAAGCTTCCTCAATTTCAGCAATTATAGCCATTAAACGAGCCCTTTCAATTGGTATTCTAGCTAAAAGTGCCATTGAATCAGACAAATCAGAAGTAGGCAAATCCAAAGCCAACAAAGTATTGTTAAGCCTTAAAGCACGTGCCAATTCATAAAAACCATCAATACCAATTTGGTTACGATCGAGTGAAAGTTGGCGTAACGATTGGTTTAATTGAAGTGATTTGCTGAGAAGGCGAGCACCGCCTGGACCAAGCTTTAAAAAATATTTTAGTAAAGAAAAAATTTAAATAATTAAGGAAAGTTTAAGAAATGCCAAAAAAATTTTTTTAATAAAATGAAAATACCAACATCGCAATTAGATAGATTGAGTTTCCGAAGTGATCTAGAAAGCCCTAAAGCATTCAAAAGAATACTTAAATGAGAACCAAGCCGAGAATCTGACAACGACAATTCATCCAAATTCTAGAAAAAATAGCCAATTTATTAATTTTTAGATATGAACATCTCCTCACAGATTCCTCATCCTCTCCATTAACAAGTCTAACAAATTCTGTAACAATAGCAGACAACATTTGTGCATGTTTTTTGTTTGCTTTGAGGCCAAAAAAGTTGGCACCACCAATGTCAAATTTACGGAGCCCTCGCATTTTGCAAATTATTGGAAGAAGGCGATATGTCTTTATAAATATAAAAATTAGATTAAAAAAACAGGAAAAATTAACCTCATGCTCTAAAGAATTATCACGTAAAGATAAGGAACAAATACAGGGACATTCAAGCAAATATTGCTCAAAAACATTAACACATTGAGTTGTAGAACCAACAATACAATTATCAAGGCAAAAGGCAAGAGAAGAAGACGGGAGATTTGGATTTGTTGAAATACCTTTTAAAAATATTTTTTCGAATTTTTTTCTTAAATTTTAACAACCTTCAAGTATTCCACTTAAAAGTTCTGCAGTTAAATGTGTTCCCGTTAAGTCCAATTCTTTAAGTGAAAGAAAAGAACTAAATAATTCATTAGCAATTTGAGCACTGTCTTTTCCACTATTTCGAACACTTCTTTTAGTTTGAGCAATATGACAACCACCAAGACGGAGAACTTCTAGACCAAGACCACCCAATTTGAGAGCAGCCCAGAGACGATCCAATTGAATTGCTTAAAAATTTATCATAATTATTAAATGAAACAGGGCAGGAAAAAAATAAAAAAACATTTTTGGAAATTCTCAAAAATAATAATTTAGAAAATTTTTTTACCCGTTCCATTTAAATCCAAAAAGCGAATTGCTCCTGTATTTAAAGCCAAAAAATTAGCCAATTGTTCAGCAAGTTCTACTCCACTTCCCAACGGATTTCCACTTAAATTTAAAGCCTCTAATTGAAATCTTCCGTTATCAGAATTAATTAAAGTATTTCCAGTCACTGTAGCATCTTCACCTTTTGCCGAATCATTTGCTAATCTAATGCCGTGATGTAATCCATTTAGAAGAGCTAAAGCACATTTTTCACTTAAAAGGCATTCAGCGAATGATAAAGCACGCAAAGAAGAAAGTTGGGGAAGAAGAGTGCCCAATTGAGTTAGGCCTAAAAAATAATTTTGATAAAAGCCAATTTCCATTTATAATTGGAGAAAGAAAAAGATAATTGTTTTTAAAAAGACAAAAAAACTTTTGATTATTCATGTAAGCTAGATCGAAAAGCATCGGAATTTCTATGTATCTTATTGTTAACACTAATTGTAAGTAAACAACAAAAGCCACTATTTGGTTCTTCAAAAATTTTCAGATTAATTGTTTTGAAAATCTACCCAATCGTGGGGCCAACGCCGACTAGCGTCGTGTTAAAAAAGGGCTAGAATATAATTTCATCTATAAATTTTAAACAGGAATATATTTAAAAAAAACACCAATTCGGACAGAGAAAATCCAAAAAATTAAAGCTTTACTAATTAATTAAAAGAAAACCTTTTTTATCTTCCAAAACAATTCCAACCAATCGAAGCCGTTCCAAAGGCAAATTAATATTTGTTGAAAGAGCAATAGAAAATTGAGTCAAAAAATCTTTAATCGGAAGAGTGCAGCGATTAAAGTAAAGAGAACGTAAAGAATGTGAACGACGAATTAATAAAAATAAAGAATCGATGTGTTCGTTTTGTAATCTGAGGGAATCTGCAAAAATTCCAGTAAAGAAACTTGAAAACTGTATAGAGCCTATTAAGGCTTGTTGATCTCTAAAAATAAAATTAAACGAAATTTTATAAATTGGGAAAATACTTTAAAGAAAGATGACTAAAATCATTTAAATCCAATTCATGTTGTCCATGAAAAAAGTAAATGCGTTCAATATCCTGAAATATAAGTTTTAAAAATTAAAAAAAAATATTTTTTATGTTAAGTTGGGAAAAGAGAAATGGAAATTCGAAAAATCTTTTGCAAAAAATCTAATTACTAAAAGTGATTTCGTCTGGCCGAACTCACAGTCCAGGATTCGAAATAAAATTAGAACTCTCGTATTCGAACTCATGTCAATACACTCAATTACACCCTGTCAAATCTCTAAAATATCGAAGAGAATTTCTTCCTCATTTTTTCTAGAGAGATGAAAAATGTAGAAAAAAGGTGCCACATATAGGGTTGTTGGTTCCTGGGAATTCTTCGGTTATCCGAAACAGACCCAAAAAAATCCTAGGTTCTTCGGCTCGGTTCGGTACAGAAACAACAACCCTAGTCACATATAAAAAATATTTCAATTTTCCTACCCAAATAATTTCATCTCTAAAAGGCTGTTCCATCCAGTCACAATAAGCAACATAAGAACGTCGAAAATTATGACAAGGCAATTCCGGTGTAGATAAAGGTAATAAAGCAAAATCAGCGATTAAAGGCGGAGATAAAGAAATAAATAATTTTGTTAAACTTTTTTGAATTTCAGGAAAATAATGTTTTAATGTTGAAAGTAATTCTAATGCCAAATCTTTTGTTTTACTTCCATCAGGTTTGCGAAGAAATAAATGAAGAACGACAATTGGAGTAGAAGAAAACGATTTTGTGCCACCAGGACGGTCTTCCCAGCCTATTTGGAGCTTTAAAAAATTTATTAAAAATTATTGAAATTTTAAATATTTTAAAAGAAATATTTGGAAGGAGTGAAAGGAGCCCTATTTGAAAGGAGGGCCGGCATCATATTTTTCCGTATTTCCTTGAAATGGCTATTTTTCCTTAACCGAAGACATTATTTTTCATTTAATTTTTTCGAACCGTGTTATGTTTGGACCGAGTTTTGGTAGACACGGTCCTCCGGTCCTGGTAGACCAAAATACGGTGCAGACATAACACGGTCCTAAAAAATTAATAAAAAAATAAATTAAGAAAAAATAACCAGTTCAAGTGAATACAAAAAAATATGATGCCGACACTCCCTTCACATAGGGCCAAATATTTTAAAAAATCCATTATCAGTCAATAAGTTTTGGAAAAAATTTTCCCTAAAAAATTTAATACAAACAATCTGCTCCTGTTGTAGCAACTCCAAATTTCGTAAAGCCAGCACATTAAAAGACTTTTCCAGCTTTATAGTAGAAACACTTTTTCCATAGAGAAGAAAAACTCGAAATTTTGCAATTGCCTAGAAAAAAGAAAATTAAAAAGAGAAAAATAAAAATTAACCAAAAAACGTGTCTCCCATTTGTCAGACTTTTGTTGAGATTGAACAACACAAGCATGTCTACATTGCCAATATTTTTGTCCAAAAATTGAATCCGGATTTGCTAAAAGAAATAAAATTTTTCAAATAAAAATTTTTCAAATAAAAATTTTCAAATAAATACTTCTAATATGTTGACAAATTTCTTCAGCTTTCTCTCTTGTTAAAGACGACATAAATAAAAAATAATAAAATAAATCTTAAATTAAAAAATAAAATTACAATTAAAAAGTAAAAAAATCAACAAGTTTTCCCTAGATGACGCATAATGCAATTAAATATTTAAAATTTTGCTAAAACAGAATGCCAAAAAAATTAAAAATTTTTTTTAATATTTTTGAGTCTAGGTTTTGACGACTGGGTAATTCTGAAATTCTCAATACTCTAATCATTTTCTTTTCTGATTTTTGTTATTGAATTTTTTTGTTTTTTTAGAACTCTTATATTATATTTTTTAGCTATTCTTTTGTGATTATATAATGGCTGACGATGATGATCTTGTAAGTTTCTGTAGATTATCTACTAAAAATTAATCTCATTTTCAAGGCTCTTGATCTTAAAAAGAAGAAAAAATCTAAAAAGAAAATTGTCTTGGACGATGATGAAATCTCTTCTCAGCAAAATGTTGAGCGTCCTGTGACTCCGACAGATGTGGAGAAAGAAGAGCGGCCGGTTGAAGAAGAATTGACTCTTGGCCCTAAAAAGAAATCTAAAAAGAAAAAGGAAGAATTGGAATTATTGGCGGACGAGGAGAGAGGAGAAAGCGAGGTATTTGTGAACTTAGAATATTTATTCAATCTTATTTTTAAAAGAAACTTTCTGTTAGTGTTGCAGAAGGAGTAGGACGAATAAATTTGGTAGATGCTAAAGATCCTGAGAAATGGACAGATTATACTTATGACCAGTTAATTGATATGGTTTTTAATATTATGCGAGAGAAGAATCCAGAAGTTATTTCTGGGAAAAAGAAGGTTAATAAGTATTTTTTAAAGTAAAGACTCATCCCTCATAAATATTCGAAAAATCACTTCAAAGTCTTTGTAACATTTTTTTAGACATTTATAATGAAGCCTCCACAAGTTCAACGTGCGGGAACTAAGAAAACAGCGTTCACCAATTTTTCAGAAATTTGTCGTTTGCTCAAACGTGAACCAAAACACGTTTTGCAATTTTTGATGGCTGAGCTTGGAACGACGTTTGAATTTAGTTAAATCTAAAATATTTTTTTATTATTTTAGTGGTTCTATTGACGGAAATCAATGTCTAATTGTTAAAGGACGCTTTCAACAAAAACATTTTGAAAATGTTCTCAGAGTTTATATAAGTAAGAATTTGTTTTTTTTTATTTTCCAAATTTATTATTAAAATTAAGGGGATTATGTGACGTGCCATACATGCCGTTCCTCTGACACTCTTCTAACAAAAGATATTTCCCGTCTTTTCTTTATTCAATGCAAAACTTGTGGAAGTCGTTGTTCTGTCTCTAGCATTAAATCTGGATTTACTGCGATGGTTGGAAAACGAGCTGCAGCGAGACGGGCTGCTGAGGCTATTGCGGGGAAGTGAGAAATTTTTGTTTGGATCTTCTATTTACGATAATTTTCAACCCTCATGCTTTTTATTATAAATAATACTTTGGTTATTTTTGGTTGTTCTTTTTGTCTGTTACTTTTATATAAAATGGTAAAATGGCGTTGGAATTGCTTATTTAGTCTTGAAATATTGCTTTATATTTAATTTTATTTTTAGTTTTTCGAATACAAATTTTTAAGAACTAAAATTGGTTTTGAAATTTTTAGATTATGACTCAGTTTTTGCAGAATTTTTCTTCTAAACACCAATTATTTGCTGCTGTTGCCGAATGGTTACATTTACCTTTAATTCCTTTGGACGATGTTCCTTCAACTTCGGAAAGTTTTTTGCCTGTTCCTATTCCGTATGTACTTTCTCATGAATTTTGGTTTGATTGTTTTGCGTTGCCTTTAATTAATGAAATTGGTTTGGAGTTGGATTCTCAAGCAAGAGAGGGGAGACTTCAATGTATTCTTATTTCTGTCAATGAGATTATTAGTCGAGTTTCTGATGGATATTGCTGTAGGGATCGGATGGTGGAATTTGAGGTATGTAGTTTTGAATTTTTTCTTTTAAAGGAATTCTTTTTTTAAGGAATTTTTTTTTCTTTTAATTATTTTATGTTTTTTGACTAAAATTTGAAAAGAATTAAAATTTGAAATAAATTTAATTCAAAAATTAAAACACTTAAAAAGACGAATCTGCGGAAATTCAGTAAAACAACTAAAAAATATGATTACCTAAAACAGGCCCGTAGCCAGGATTTTTTTTCGGGGGGGGGGGGGGCCAAGGGGGGAAAAATCTTTTTGCGCCAAATTTTTGACGCCGAAGGCGCCAAAAATTTTTATTTTCAGCGCCGCAGGCGAAAATTTTAAGAATTTTAGAAGGCCGTAGGCCAAAAAAATCCACTTTTTCGGCGCCGCAGGCGCCAAAATTTTAAGAATTTTAGAAGGCCGTAGGCCAAAAAAATCCACTTTTTCGGCGCCGCAGGCGCCAAAATTTTGATTTTCAGCGCCGCAGGCGAAAATTTTTTGAATTTTGGACCTCAAGAAGCCAGATTTCTTCCATTTTTAGCGCCGCAGGCGAAAATTTTGAAAATTTCAAAGGCCGTAGGCCAAAAAAATTCACTTTTTTTGCCCCAGCCCTTCCCCAAAATTTTCCCTTTTTCCCATTTCGGGGGGGGGGGGGGAATTCCCCCCCTACCCCCCCTGGCTACGGGTCTGACCTAAAATATTTATATTTTCAATTAATTTTCAGGAAGCCTTTAAGAATTTAATTAGATGTTCTGAACGACCCATAAGTGAAGATGTACGTCGTCTCTCTCAACGAGCTTTTGCGCGATTACTTAATCTCTTTGAACCTATTGCACAGATGTTGCTTTTATTCCATCTTTTTGAGGTTTTAAATTTAATTAAAATATTTCAAATAATCCAATAACAAATTATTCTTTCAGTTGGTTTTGGCAAAAAATGAAATTCCTCTTTCTGAAGAAGTTTACGAACCACAAGTATTGGCTCTACTTATTGATACTTATCGACAGAAATGTTTTTCACAATTTATTGATGATGACAAATGTTTATTCCAGTCGCAACTTGAATGTTTTTACAAAAAATTTGAGTCTATTGTTTATGAAGGTATATTATCTTAATTAAATTTGAAATATTTTTTTAAATTTTCAGATCCTTTTATTGCTGTCAATTTCTATACTTCTATTTTATTATTGGTTAATGCCCAAGCAACTCATCGTGTTCAAATTTTTTTGTTATCGTCAGATGCTCTCAAATTTATTCAAAAAATTCGTGTCCAAGTTCGTGATTGGATGGATTTACAGAAACAACGGAAATTAATGGGAAATAATTCTAAAGGTTTTGATGATTTAAAGAATGGAAATATGGTTGAAATTCTTGAAGAAAAGCAAAGAGAAGAATGTGAAAATCACAATAAGGCTAGTTTAGAGATGTTGACTTTTCAATTGGATGAGGCAGAAAAGAAAGTAATGGAGACTATTTTGAAGAAATAGAAAATTGCTAAATCTCTAAAATTACAATTCTTGCCTTTATTTTTTCTTTAAATCGACGAAATTATTTTTTCAATTGTAAAAACTAGTTAGACCCTTGGTACTTTTTGAATATGTCGCCCCCTATCAGTTATCGACCTAAAATGAAGGAAAGGATAAATGATACTCGAACTAGGAGACCCTATATCCCTATTAAAAAATTAAACCCAGAATTTCTACTCAGGTCTTCAACAGTGACAATTTAAAAATTGAATATTATGTGTATTTTGATTTTTTCAATAAATGTATTGCTCAATTTTAACTTGTAAAAATTTTAAATATTTGTATGTATATTCTTTTATTTTCTAAATTAATTCTACTTTTTTAAATTTATTTTTATCTAATTTATTTGTTATTTCTATAAATATTTTAGAGATGTTTAAATCAGGGTTAAAAGTTTGTTCGAGGATCTTGCCAAGTGCACAAACGTTTTTTAGGCTTGAGACAACTGGTACTCAAGGAGCAACAGCTCAGAATGCAAATCAAGCTAAACAAGGTTAATTTGGAAGTTTTTTTATTTAAAGTTTTGTGAGAGAAAGGGACCGTTTAAATTTTAACTTTTATAAAATTTATTTAGCTAATACTAAATGGCAAATTGATCTGGTAAAGCGTGAAAAGTTGAAAGAATTTGCTCTATATATGACCCAATGTTTACCCAAATATATCCAACAAGTCCAGGTTTCTTTATTATTTAGATGTTTATTTAATTTTTTTCTTAGTTTGCTGGTGGAGATGAATTGGAAGTACTTATTCACCCAGCAGGGGTTCTACCAGTTTTTGCTTTTCTTAAAGGCCACCATCCTGCACAGTTTACCAGTTTCATTTTTTGTTGTGGTGTTGATGTTCCAACACGTAAAAATCGTTTTGAGGTTGTTTATGCACTTCTTTCTACTCGTTATAATGCTCGTATACGCGTGAGAACTTATACAGATGAGGTAATTTTTAAAATTTAATACTACATTTCTCTTCAATTTTTATAAAAGATTGCTCCAATTGAATCTTTAACACCGCTCTTCTCCGGTGCAGAATGGTATGAACGCGAAGTTTATGACCTCTATGGTGTTTGGTTCAATAATCACCCAGACTTGCGTCGACTTTTGACAGATTATGGTTTTGAAGGGTTTGATTTTTATTTTTTCAGATTAATTTTTATAAATTTTTTAGATATCCACAGAGAAAAGATTTTCCGCTAACTGGTTATGTTGAGGTTTTTTGACCGTTTTAATAATTTTCTTTTAATTTTTTTAGCTTCGTTGGGATCAAGAACTTCAACAAGTTATTTACGAACCGACAGAAATGGCACAAGAATTCCGGAAATTTGACTTGAATACTCCGTGGGAAGTATTTCCAGCTTTTCGGGAGTCTTCGATTACTGCTGGTTTTGACGTCATTCACACAGCGGAAGAGAAACATGAGGAAAAAGCTGAAAAATAAATAGAATTTGATTTTAGATCTATTTTAAATAGGAATGTTTTGATGTTCGTTGTCGTTGTAATATTAAATATATATTAGATAAGGATGGGATGAACCATTCTTGCACGTGTAAAATTTAAAAGCATTTAAGTGTGTTTTTTAATTTTGGTATAGTTGTGTTTATGAAGGGCAAAGCATTTGTCTGACAATAGCTTAAATCATTGATTTATCCGTTTAATTTAACGTAAATTGAATATTTATTTGAATAATTTAAATCATTTTCAAAAAATCATGTCGAAAATATGACGAATTACGTCGAAAATTAATTATCTGCCTTTTCTCTGCTTATCCCTGCCTCTTCCATCAATTCCAAAACCGTCTTTTCAAGTTGGTCGACTCGACTAGACATTACATCAATTCGTTGAATAATTTGGTTCGATGCTGTCTAAAGTGAAAAACGAAAAAAATATTAGTCTTAAAAATTCTTTAAAAAACCTGAAATCGTTCTTGTGTCTCTTTCAAAACGTTTTCAATCTATAAAGATAAAATTTAAATATCAAACAATTCAAACCATTTTAGAAATATTCTCTAATTCTTTAGAATCAGAACTGGCAACATCATCATCAGCGTCCTTCTCAGCATCAACAAATGTTTCTTTATTGTTGGAATCAACCATATTTTAATTTTCGAGAAAAATATAACTGAAAGAAAAAATCTAAAATGTCAATGAGGTTTTAAAAATAGCCGTTTAGTCAACTTAGACACCTCTAAAGTTAGCTAAATGATGTTTCGGTTGATTAGCGACTTGTTTAGAAAGAAAAACATTAACAACCGACCATTATTGCTTGCTCAAAGTCAGACGAAATTAAGGGGGAAGCGCGAACGCTGTCCCCCACACTCAAAAATTTAGCTGTGGGCCTACCCCAGTTCGGAGCCGCCCTGCGGGTCAACCTCGCCCTCAAGTGCAATGGGGAAGTCTCACCACAGACGCCATGCCTTCTTGATCGCATGAGCGCCCCAGCCAGGTAAGTTTACGACCCTTCTCATCTCTAAAGCATATTATGCATTAATGAAAGAAAAGTGTCAGTTTATAGAATAACTCAGTATTTTATTAAAAACGACATTATCTTTTTACATTTCTTAGACTACCTGTTTTATTTTAATGCACGCACTAGTTATTTCTTTCCATCTCTGCTTCATACACTCTCTATTTTTTCTGCTGAATACAGATTGCCAATTTATCAATTTGCCAATAAGGCTAATAACACAACTTGCCAATACTAATTTTGCCAGTAAGGCCAAAAAAACTAATTTCGTCAATTAAATTCTTTCATAAACCGAAAAGCTTCAAGTTTTAATTTATTAATTTTTTTTTCTTAGAATATTCTAATTAGGTAATGTGTGAAAGGATGGTAACTTATTATTTTTTGTCATCACCACATTTTGTTTTAAAACGTTCATTCTCTACCGCTTCATTAAAAGTTCGAGGAGATTATCGTGAGAGACAAGGGTTTAATTTTGTTGAAAAGAGAGATGAAAATAGTCTTCCTTGGACAAACTCTTATCGTTTGTGGAAGTGGTATAGACCTGAACAAGATGCAACGGAGGTTGAAAATGTTTACAATGATGGAATGTACAGGCATAATAATAAAGGTTTTTTAACTGGTTATTTGTTAATTGATTATTTGGATGGGGGGTAACTCGAGAAATTCCACGACAACTCTCGAAAGTCCAAATCACGGAACGACCAACTCACGGAATGGCCAAAACACGGAATATTTTAAAAAATCAGAATATTTTTAGAAATAAATTTGTCACATTTTTAAAGTTCTTATTTAACAATATTCTAATTCAAAAAAAGTTATTTTTTAAAAATATTTAGATTTTTCAAAAAATTCCAATTTTCAAAATATTCCGTGATTTGATAATTCTGCGATTTGTCCGTTTCGTGAGTTAGCCCGACACGGATTATTTTTAGTTATTCAACGTGAACAAAAGACACAAAATTGGTGGTCGTCTACAAATGGCAATGAACAATACACAACCCTTAAAGATGGTCGATACGTTTCTGGTCCAACTCGGGAAGCTTCGAGACATCTAAATTTTCGAAATCAGTCGCATTCTAACAATGTAATTATGAAATTAATTTTAAATATTTTCTCGATATTTAGATGACACGAATAGATGACAGTCTGAATGTACGACGTAGAGGAAAGCTTTTGGATCCTCAACAGGAATTTGGGTTTGTCTGAATTTTTATAGAAAATTTGTTACTTAAATTACTACTCCGTTATCACCACGTGTTTTTGCGGACTCTTTTTGCGGACTCTTTCTTTATTCCCCATTTCCACTCCATTCCCCTATGACATACTCAAATGATGAACATCAGTAAGTAAAATTAGTGGTGGAAGTAGGTCTGACCATTATATATTTGCGTAAGGAAGAAAATGACCGCAAAAACACGCAGGGATAACGGAGTAGTACTGAAATTTTTTTGATAGTCTTTGATTTGTCCCAATTAACTTTAATTTCTTAGATCAGTACGTGCCAAGCTCAATCATATTCTCTTTGACGAATATATTGGAGGTGAATGTAGTTTAAGCACTATACTCGATTGGGCTGATCAAATGCGAAGTTCTAAAGTAGAAGAAACACCTTTATTAAATTTAATTGGAAGATTGCAAATGGTGGGACAACATTCATTAATTCCTCCTCTCTACAATGCGTATGTTTTTTGTCATTTTTTTAATTTTTTATAATTTTAGGTTTATAAAATCTTCTGAAGCTAAACCATATGCAAATCGTCCAGAAATTTTGCTTCCGGCAATTGCAAATGCATTTCAGGTTTAATACTAAAAATTTTGTGACTAGTGATAAGATTTTTAGGTTGTTAAAACTCTAAAATTAATACCTAAATAGTTTGTCTGCGCCGAATCTTTGGTGCCAAATTCACCGATAATTTTGCTTTTCAGTGCCGCAGGCGCTGTAAATTTTTTAAAATTTCGAAGGCCATAGGCCAAAAAATTCACTTTTTTGCCCAAACCCTTTCCAAAATTTTTTGTCTCATTTTGGGGGGGGGGTATACTAGTATCACAATTCTTATATTGACTTATTTTATATTTCAGTCGGCAAATCCAATAAAAGAAGTTCATTTATTGTTCAGTCAAATTAATGCTTTATTGCAACGAAATAAACAGCAAGGCAAATTTTCTAAAATTAATTTTTATAATTTAATTTTCAGAATATCTTTATTTATTACAATTCTTTACTCAATTGAAATTTAAGTATTTTATTTATCGAGTTGGAAAAAGTGTGAAAAATGGAGAATTAAATAAAGATTTTTGTGCGTTACAAATAGAAGAAATGGCCTCATTTTTGCGTAATTGTTGGCCTTGCCCGTTGGCTGATTCAATAGATTTTGTTTTCAGGTTAGGTTATATATTTATTTTTAAATATCATTAAAGAAAATTTAAATTGAGTCAATCCAAAATATTTTTTGCCAAAATTTTTTGCTAGTAAAAGGCATTTTGGTTATCCTAACTCTTGACAAGGGCGTAGCCCGGGGTCGCAGAATTTTTGGCGTTTACCTTGGCGTTCCGGACGCAAATTTTTTTGAACCATATTTTATTTTTTTCAGTGCCGCAGGCAAAAATGTAGAGAATTTTGGAGCTCAAGAAGCCGGATTTCTTCCATTTTCAGCGCCGCAGGCGAAAATTTTTTGAATTTGCACGGTCAGGCGAAAAAATTTCACTTTTTTGCTGATTTTTTTTTCTTAATTTTTCTCCCCTTTCTCCCATTTCGGGGGGTGGGGGGCGGGCTTCAGCCCCCCTGGAAACTACCATTTATAGTTATATTATATCAAGAGAATGAATCTTTGCAAGAGTAGAACGAAACCGGTGAACGGAGGGAAATTTTGCTCCTAAAACAAAAAACCCCCTACTTCTGGGCTAGAAATTTAATTTTTAATTTCTTAAAATTATTTTTTAATTTTAAATACAATTTTTTAAGATGGAAGTTGAGGGACAAACTTGCTCTGCAACTTTATCAAGCATTTCTTAGAGAACCAGCAGAACGCAATTTATACGCTGACAGATATCATATTTTTTTTCCTTGGATGATTGAAGTAATTGAGGATAAAAAAGTAAAAAAAAAAAATAATTTTTTAAAATTAATTTTTATAAATTTATAGAATAGAGGACGAAATGAATGGGTAGCCGTTTTAGTCAAATTAATTGAATTGGATTTAAATAAATTATTGCCTAATTTTATGAGGGGAAAATTGCACAGTGAAATAGGAAATCTTTTTAATTATGCTTGTAAAAATAGAAATTTTGATGTTGCGGAAAAAGTTTGGGATTATTGGTAAGAAAATTTGGTACTATCGCATTATCTCCCCGCATATTCCGTAAAGGGTGGATGGTGGCACAGTCGGTTGTGCTTGGCTCATTCCGTCATGGTTCTACTCCATTTCCCGTCCAATTAATTTTTCCACATCATGAATATAATATGAGAAAAAAAAGACGGAAGGGAGGATGTAGTACAAATATTGCGGACTTTGCGGGGAGATAATGCGATAATACCGAGAATTTTTGGTGATTTTTAAAATTATTTTTTGAATTTTTTAGTAAAATTACTGGACTGTCGCATAGATTTAGTGTCAAGTCTTTATTTTTATTTACACTTTATCATTGGATAAATGGAAGGAAAATGAAAGCAAAAACAATTGCGAGTGTTTTACAATCAAGAATTAGATTCCTTCGAGATGTTTCTAATAATAAATTTAGTGAAGGTTGATTAATTTGAAAAATAATAATTTTGTTTTTTAGATAAAGTAATGGAAGAAATGAAGGAATACAAGAATATTCGTGATCGCTTTTTAGAAATTAATAGAAGTTACAAGGATATTATGGAAAAGTAAGGGAAAATATTAAAAAAAAATTTTTTTTTTGATTTTCTAAAAAAATTCTTACATATTTTTTAGTCCACAAACGAAAGAAAGAACGAGGAAGGTATGCAATCGAGTTTTGAATGGATTTGTAAATGATTTTATAGACGGCAAAAATAGAAAGTGAATTAAAAATTGTTATAGTATTTTTTGTTTTTTTTAAATAAATTAGATGATATTTTATTAGAGTTTTTATTTTTATTAATTTTGAAAATTATAGTTTTAGAGAAGAATAGAACTTTTTGCTTTATTGAGAATTATTAGACTTAATCCAATCTTTAGATTTTGTCTGTTTTAACGGGGGCCGGAAATTTGGGTTCTGGAAAGTTGGGGGCTCCAAGAGTTTTCTGAAGGGTGGATTTCAACTTTTCGGAATTTTGGGAAAAACTCTTGGAAAATAATTCATTTTCTGATGAACCGAACCGAAGAACTTAACCGAAAAATCATCGGTTCTTCGTTTCGGTCCAGAACCGACAACCCTAGTAGAGAGAGGAGAAGAATGCAGCAAAAATGCATTCTTGAAGAAAGTCATTTGCGGAAATTGGACGTCGAGTTGGACATTTACTTAATTGTTTAATCTCCATTTAGGAGAAAATTAAAGTAATTGACAAGCTACCTCAATTTTTCCCCAATTTTTAATTAAATTTTAAATAATAATTAAAATACTATTTATATTATTTCTTTTTCAATTATTTCCTAAAAACCAAAAAATTTATTTATTACTGCAATTCAATATCCTCTTCATTTTAAATATAATGAAAGTCTTGTGGCCATTATTTCTAATAAAATGAGTCATTCTTATAAATAAATAAATATATTTATTTTATCTCCCTCCCTTCCCTTCCAAAAGTCTGTTGCAAACTTTGAATGGCAGCACATTTTGATTTATTTATTCTTTCATTTATTTTTGAAAGTTTAGCCCCAATGGCCATTGGGTTTCAGGTCAACGACCTCAATCAAAGAATTAAATTGCTGTCAATTTTTTTGTAAAGATTTTTCTTTTCTTTTTTAATTAAGCAATTTTAAATTTGACTATTTTCAAAAATTTCCTTTCGGTTTTTGTTAAGAGTTTTTCTTTATTTTTGGAAGGAAAAAGTAAAAAGAAAATCTGATTAGAATTCGAACCTAAACCTTCAATCCTAACTAGGGTTGTGGGTTTTGAGCGGGTCGACGTTCGAGTCATTTTTTGCGGGCCTCATATTTTTCGGGCCGGCCCGACCGAGTCTTTTTCGGGCCAAAATTTGATGCCGACTCGAACTTTCGGACCGGAACGGACCGGACTCCCAACCCTAATCCTAACTTAACTGAATATTTTATTCCTATTAGAAACTCCGAAAAGATCGATGCTCATCCCCATGTTTTTTATCAAGTTGCAAGTACGAATTTTAATATAATCTGCGAAGGACTTTATAATAATAAAAAAAAATTTTCCAATTTTTCGTTTGTGTTTTGATTCAAGACTACTAAATATACTATATAATATTACAAAATTTTATTTTTCCAAAATAATAATATAAATAAACAAATTAATAATAATTCAGAAAATTATGTGTAATTTTAGAACTCTTCTCTATTTTAAGCATATAAACAAAAGAAGTATATTTATTCTTAAATTTGATTCAAAAATGGTTTTTTGTCCAGTTCTTATGTCCAATCAAAAATTAAGAGTTCAAACAATATATTTTATAAAATAGGGATTATTACACTCCAAAAATTAAAAATTGGGAATAAAATTTCAGGAAATGGCGTTAATGGACAGAGATTATGATTTTTCTTTATGGTCATAGTTAAGAAAATTTCCATTTAAAACGCAAATTTCTTTCCCTCCTATCTTGCTTTGATTTTAAATTTTCTGATCGTTTAATAACTCTTATTTTTAATAAAATTAATATTAGGGCTGGTAAATAAAGTAAATATTGGTTGTGAGGTTGTTAGGGATATTCAGAGATTCTCTAGGAACACACACACACACACAAGTAATTAATTTCTGGACAAAACAAATGTTCACAAAATAAGGACAACAAACAAAAATAATAATAAATCTTTTATTTTTATTTTCCTTTCTTTCAAAAATATGTTTGTGATTTGAACTTTAGTGTATTTTCTTCAAAATATTTTCTTCTTCTTTTAAAAATCCCATAAATTTAGTGCCTTATTTCACATAAATTAGCATCGATTTTGAAGGATATTTATTTTTTAAATCTTTGGTCATTTTTTTGCTTTTCTTTAATTTTTTATATTTCCTTTTTCCTCTTAAAATTATGGCAATTTCGAGTAAAATAAATATTTTTTGGAAAAATAATTCTTTGGTTTCCGTTAAATTTAAATAAAATATTTTTGTATAAATATCTCATTTATTTGCTCAAAATTTTTACAGCCAAAACTTTATTCTATCAGACATTTTATTCTCTAGCTATGAAATATTTTCAAAATTCTGCAAAAATTTTTCTACGAGAAGGTGCTGAAATAGTAATTTAATTTGTACATAAATCCCCCTATTTTTGCATGCGAAAGACTGCTAGATTTTTAATTTTTATTATCATTAATTGCTAAAAATGTTGTTAAACAAATAAAGGTTTAAATAAATGATAAAGATAAATATTTATGTATTTATTTTTGTATCAAAAAAACATAGAATAGGGCAATCAAAAGATAACATAAATAAAAAACAATTTTTGGAGTTTCGCATACATACATATACATACGTATATCTAAATAATTTTTATAATTTATTTCCGTATCCAAGATTCGGTATAAAAAACAAACAAAAAACCAAAGATTTTTTGGTTCAGTTTCGGTTAATCAGAATAGTATATTCCGAATAGATACCCCCAACTGAGGTGTTCATATTTTAATATTTTTACTGAAGCAGTTTTCTTTTCAGCTCCAAAACTTAATTAAATATTTTAATTATTATAGTAAAATATTTTGTCAAACTTTTTATTTATTTATAATTTTTAAAGGTTTTTTGCCACAAAGATGGCAATAATAAAAAGAAAATATTCCAAAATAAAATTTAATATTTTACTCCATTTATTATTTTCTTTCCTTTTTATTTTCTTATTTACCTCTTTAACTTCTTCATGGTCTATTGAATTTCCATCTCCTTCATCTTCTTCATCTCTTCAGGAAGAAGAACTTCCTTTACATCCTTTATCTCCACCTGAACGTCCACCAAAAAATGACAAAAAAATAATTACTAAAAGACAGGCATATCAAGTTTATTTGGGCGGAGAAGCTAGTGTTTCTATTGATAAAGGTGCTGAAGATTCTGGACCTTGGGGTGAATGGACAAAAGAAAGGGATTGCTGTAAGTTTTTTTTGAAATTTTCATTCAACATATTCTGATGTTTTACAAAGGATCTCACTTTAAAATACCTTCAATAATAGATACACCTCTATTTAAGTTACGCTTTTTAAAAGTTGGTTGGCCGGTGTGTGGATAGAGCTGTCTAAGCGATACCCTAATTAATTATAGGGTAAAAAATTTTTAAGCCCCAGAGAAGTATCTTATAATGAGTGTTGACTTTAACAATATTTTTAATTCAAAAATTTATTAATTTTAGCCCGTTCATGTGGTGGAGGTGTTTTGATTGAAAGGAGATTGTGTTCAGACAATACATGCCAAGGCCCATCAATTCGTTATATTTCTTGTAATATAGAGCCTTGTCCAGCTGGCACAAAAGATTTTAGATATGAACAGTGTTCTCAACACAATGATGACCCTTTGGATGGAAAATATTATAAAGTAATAAATTTACTTTTTATTATTTTAAATTTTCTTTAGGAATTTAAAAATATTTTCATTAGGAAAATTTTTTGGAGTTTCCCCATAAAAATTAGTTAATGCTAAGCTCATTCTTGGTTATTCCCATAAATCCTTGATTGAATAAAGTCGTTCTTTTAATTCTCTAAATTTTTTAGTGGATTCCCTATGCCGGTAAAAACAAATGTGAATTAACTTGCCGTCCAGAAAATGCCAATTTTTATTATAAATTTGCCGAAAAAGTTGTTGATGGAACCAAATGTGATGCTTATAGTGACGATGTTTGTGTTGATGCTAATTGTTTACCTGTTGGGTGTGATGGAAAACTTGGATCTGGTAAAATTTTTGTAAAAAAAGAAAATAAGGATTATAATTCGAAATAAATACCTGGAATAAAGAGGGTATTTCTATTTTGTTAAATTTTTACTTAAATTTACTTAAAACATTTTTTAATTTATCTCAACAATTATTTCTAATTTTCGATTTCCAACTTTAATTAAATTCCCCAGAAATTTAACTATTTTTAACTTATTCGTGAAAGAACTAAATAATTTATTTTAAACTCCCGCTACTTTTTAATCTCAGTATTAATTACCCCCCCTTATTTAGTGAGAAGGGAAGTTGATAAAATAATTATCCTTCCCCAAATCCACTACCACACGTTAAATTTCAAAACTCGAATAAGCCCTCATTTTTACCCCTTTTAGCGAGAAGTTTAAGCATTAATTACCTAGATTAATTTACAAGAAAATACTGAATATATTTTGCATTATTACTTTAATAATTCTCAATTTTTCTTTTAAAATTTAAGTCGCCAAAAAAGACAAATGTGGTGTCTGTAACGGAGATGGTTCTGCTTGCAAAACAGTAGAGGGCATTTTTGATGAAAGAGGATTAGCTTTAGGATATCACGATATTATATCTATACCTGTCGGTGCTACAGCAATTCATATAGAAGAATTGAGACCTTCCAGCAATGTTTTTGGTAAACAAATAAATTTAAAAAATTATTTTTTTCTTTTTCTTTAAAGCAATTAAAAATTCTACTGGGGATTGGTTATTAAATGGTAATTATCAAATACAAGTAATTACAAAAAATATTATTGTTGGAGGAAGTGCTTTTAAATATGAAAGTAATTAATTTTTGATTAGTAATTTTAATAACTATTTTTATATTTATAGAAGGGGATAGTGGAACTGAGTAAGTATTTTTTAAATTTAATTTAATTAAAATATTTAATTATATATTTCTAAAATATATTAAAGAGGACTCTAGCTGTAACTAATCAAATCGGGGCCGATCTATTTATAACCTTAAGAATTTTTAATTAACAGACTTTCTATTAGAGAAAGTTTTCAAGCTATAGAGCCCAATTGTAAATTAAAATCTTTTATTTCTTGTTTTTTAATCTTTATTTAATCTTGAAGTCAAAATTTCTTAAGATCAACAATAATTAATAAAATTTTTAAAATATTTAATTACTTTTAACAGAAAATTAACATCAAACGGTCCATTAACAGAACCTTTAACAATCTCTTTGTTACTTCAAAGAACAACAACACCAAAAACTAGCAGTGCTGTTAAATATGAATTTTCTATACCTTTAGAAAAAGATATTAAATATTTATGGAAACCTGGGGAATGGTCTAGCTGTTCTGTTACTTGTGGAAAAGGTGTTTAATTGTGTTTTAATCTATTTTAATTACTAAAATTTGAAAAATTAGATCTAAAAATGAAAACAGGCGGGCGGGCCTCATTATAAGATACCATTTTTAAATTTAAAAAATTATATCTCATAATGAGGATAATATTGGGCAATAATATATGTAGGCATTCCCACTTTATAGTGGGGTTAGACTGAATTTAATATTTATAAATTGTACACATTCTATAAATAATAAAAACTGCTAGAAGTTCAAAAGTTTAACTCCTTTAATTTAAAAACAGGTTTAATAACTCGAACACTTTATTGTACCGATGTCGCAACACATACACGAGTAGATGATTCTATATGTGAAGAACAAAACGCTACAAAACCAGAATTCGAAAAGCCTTGTAAAACTGTTGACTGCGAACCTCAGTAAAAGATTTTTTAAAATTATATTTAAAATAAATTAAAATAGGTATTTTGTTGGTGAATGGGAACCATGTTCGAGTACCTGTGGAGACAAAGGACTTCAATTTAGAGTTCTTTACTGTCATCGGTTACTTATTTAGAGAAACTCTAAAAAATGATTTTTTAGAGTTTTTGCTGATGGGCGTCGGACAACAGTTTCTGATGGAAATTGTACAGAACGAGGAATTGAAAGGCCAGAAGCTAGAAGACAATGCAATAGATTTCCTTGTTAATTTACAATTAATTTTTAGACAAAAAAATATTTTAATTTAAAGGCCCCGAATGGCAAGCAGGCCCTTGGTCGTCTTGTTCTTCACAATGTGGGGATGCTAAACAATTTCGTTCTGTAACATGTAGAAGTGCTAAAGAAGACGAAGGTGGGAAAATGTTACCTGCTGATGCTTGTCCGGGTATATGATTTTTACAAAATTTTGAGAAAAAAATACTTTTTTAGATAAAGATGGAAAGCCTCAAACAGAAAGGGATTGTAATTTAGGACCTTGTAAAGGGCTTCAATTTAAAACTACTGATTGGGAATTGGTAAATAAAAATACTTTTATTTTTGAATTTATTTAATTATTAAAGTGCCAACGTTGCAATGACACAGAAGAAAGGCGTAATGTAACATGCCAGGACCGCAATGGAAGAGAATATCCTTTAGAAAAATGTTTGGAAACACAAAAAATTGGGGCAACAAAAAAGACAGAAAAAGCAAAAATACCAGAAGATAAACGTCCCTGTGCAAGCCCAGCCCCGTGCCTTTATGAATGGCATTTTTCTCAATGGTCGAAATGCAGTACTGAATGTGGACATGGACATAAAAGTAGAACTGTATTTTGTGCTATAAATGAGCTTGGACAAACAAAGGTGGTGTTTTTAGAATTCATAAAGATTGTAAAAAATATAGCAAACATGCCAGGGCTTTCTCTCATTATAGGTACGGTAATATGAGAGAAAGGTGTGATTTATTAAAGAGTAAATGAAGGAATTCGAATCAAAAAGAAAATAAATAATGTTTGCGAATATATAGTTGAATATGGCTTCGGTTAACCGAAACCAGTCAAAAAATCTTTGGAGGTTCCTTCGGTTCAGTTTAAAAAGGAATAATGATAAGATAGGGTAATAAAGAGATGATAATAATTAAGTTTTAATTAAAGCCCTATTATTTTTTACTATCTTTTTAGCGCGTAGATGAAGCTTTATGTGGAGGTGATAAACCTATTTCAAGAGAGGAATGCCTTAATGAAGAAAAATGTGAAGGTGTTTACTTTACTGGACCTTGGTCTGAATGTTCGGCTTCTTGTAATGGGGGGATTCAAACTCGTGCAGTTGTTTGTTTAAATTATGACAAAAAACCTGTGCCAGAATGGTGTGATGAAAGACTAAAACCTATTGAACAACAAATTTGTAACAATCAAACATGCCCTGGTAAGAATGGATTACTCTAGATTAAATATGAGGGATAGAGTTATCAGAAAATGTGAATTTTGAGGGAATAGATTTTTAATTTTTTTTGGACAGGGCATTACATTAGTATATACCGTATTCTAAAAAAATCTCCAACGGCCCTATTTTTCAACTGTCCTCCAAATTAGGTTCCTAGGGTGGGATCTCATTTTAGGAAATACCGCATATCCTTCTCCTATCATTAAGTTTAATTTTATTTTGTCCAATTCAGTCTGCTCAGAAAGTGAATTTGGTTGTTGTCTCGACAATACAACATTCGCAACAGGACAATTCTATGCTGGTTGTTCTAATTGTTCAATTTCTGAATTTGGTTGTTGCCCAGATAATGTAAATAATTTTTTAAATAAAAAAAGATTAAAATTAAATAGATAACAGAAAAACAAGGAAAAGACAATCAGGGATGTCCTGGGAGTGAAGATGTTGAAGAGGAAGGTAGTGGAGAGGAACCAATGTAAGGGGGATAAAATAAAAAAGAAAAATATTTTAAATTTAAGTGAGGAGGGAGGGATTAAAGAAGAACTTTGCACACTTGAAAGCCAGACTGGTGAACGTTTGCAAATTCCTTGTACAACAATTGCCCCAGCTGTTGTTGTTGGGGATTTGCTTAAATCAAATGTTAGTGAAAATGAAACTATAAATTGTTCTAAAACGGTAAAGGGCTTTCTGGTTTGGTTGTCTCATTAATTTTTAATAAAGGAATTTGGATGTTGCCCGGATTGGTATACCCCGGCAGAAGGTCCGGAACTTGCTGGGTGTCCAGTCTTTACTTTAGGGACTTGTAATGAAACTAAATATGGCTGTTGTTCTGATGGTGTTACTCTATCCCGAGGGCCAGACTTTCAAGGATGTGGAGAACCTACTTGTGCTGCATCGCTTTATGGATGTTGTAAAGACAGGAGAACAATTGCTTTTGGGCCTAATTATGGAGGTTGTGAAGGAGTTTTTGGAAGTTATTTAATATTTGTATTAAAGGCTGTGAACGTAGCAGTCTTTCTTGTGAACTCACCGAGTATGGTTGTTGTCCAGATGGTACAACACCCGCTTTAGGCAAAAACGGGAAAGGATGTGGGGCAAGTTGTTTATTGACTAGGTAAATTAAAAACAAAATTTTACTTTAATTTTACCTCTTTAAAATTGAGGTATGGATGTTGTCCTGATGGGGTTACACATGCTAAAGGTCCGGATAATGATGGGTGTGGATGTGTATTCTCTCAATATGGGTGTTGTCCAGATGGAAAAAATTCGGCAAAAGGGCCAGGATTTTATGGTAAGAAAATATCTTCCAGAAAGTTTCCTAAATTATTGTCCAGGCTGCCCAGAAAGTTGTGCCCAAAGTAAATATGGGTGTTGCCCTGATGGACAGACTGCTTCTAGAGGTCCAAATAAGGAAGGATGTCCTTGCCAATATTCTCGTTGGGGTTGTTGTAAGGATGGACAAACAACTGCTATTGGGCCCCATGAAGAGGGCTGTGATGATTGTAGATATGGAAAGTGAGAGGAATTAATGAAAAATATTTTTTTAATTCTGAAAAAAAAGGTATGGATGTTGTCAAGATGGGAGTTCAAAAGCTTTTGGTCCAGACTTTGCTGGCTGTCCTACTACAACTCCAGCACCTTATATGTTGGGTGGAACTGTATCTCCTTCAACTATTGGTAAAGAAAAATATTTTTTGAAATAATCCTTTTATTTAGTGGCAAGTTGTGGATTACCTCAAGATCAAGGCCAAGTTTGCTCATCCAGCTATAAACTAGCCTGGTAAATTTGTTCGATATAGGCAAATAAAATTAATTTGTTAGGTATTATGATATGGCAGAAGCTAGGTGTGCACAATTTTGGTATGGCGGTTGTGGGGGAAATGAAGTGAATATTTGTGATAAAAATTATTTTTGAAGTTTTTTAAAGAGTTAAGCAAAATTTAGGGGGGGGGGGCCGGGCCATCTGCTAGCTAGTAATGTCCCAATTCAAAAATCGAAAAGTATCCTATTTTACTTTTGGTCTGGTTTAAAAATTTGACGGTTTCAGGAAACGGTTTCACAAACTGGGATACCACTACACTTTCTAGTGCAGCACCACTTAACAAAAATTATTTTTCAGTTAAAATAAAATTGTTAAAAATTATCTTTAAAGAATCGTTTTGGAACTCAAGAGCAATGTGAACAAATTTGTGTTGATCCACCAGGACTTGGTCTTTAATTTATAAAATTAAAAAATAATTTTATTTTTTAGGTCGGTGTTATTTACCAAAAGTTGAAGGCTCAAAACGTTGTGAACAATTAACCCCTAGATATTCTTATGATTACATTTCTAAACAATGTACTGCTTTTTGGCATACAGGATGTTTAGGGAATTCTAATAATTTTCTTTCTTGGGAAGAATGTCAGGTAATTTTTGTTGAAATATTGTTTATTTCATAATGAGCGGGGGAAGGGGGGGGGATATTCAAAACAGTCATGTTGTGTTAAAGTCTGCTGTAGGTAGAACACGATATACCGTAGTCCAACGTTTGCAGGGCTTATAACTAGGTTTTTAAATCTCGCTGAGCTGAGTCTGCCAGGCTAGGATTGCAATAGACCGATAGTTTTCCTATATGTTAGGTATTTTGACTTTAAATAATTAAAAGAGTTTTTGTGCGGGAGCGGATGCATCACAAGTCCAAGTTAATATCGTTCCATATCGAGGACCTATTCCAATATCTCCACAACATAATCTTCAACCACCTCTAATTCCCCAACAACAATTACCCCAACAACCCCCTCCTCCACCCCCACCACCACAACCACCTCAACAACAACCTGTTATTGCCCCTATTGTGCCTTCTATCCCAGAAGAAAGTAGGTTTACATTGTATTTTAAGTAAAAAATATTGTTAAAATAAACTTTGCTGTTTTTATAAATAAGATTCGAAGTTTTGGAGTATGGTCCTTTTACCGATTTTTATTTTTTTTTGCTTTTAATTTTTGCTTTTTTAAATTTGTTTTTGATTTTGTAGCTCTAATATTTTTTTACTAATTTAACAAAAAGTTTTTTTTAATAAAATAGAATTATATCCAACCCTTCGACCTCAACCTTTAATTATACCTCCAAAGAAACCAGAAATCTCTCCATTTGAAGAGGACGATGCTTGTAGAATGATGTTAGATAGTGGAAATTGTCGAAGTTATGTGGTTGGTTTTTAAAGGGAATTGGAATTTTAAATTTTTTATAGAAATCGGAAAGTTTGAAATAATATTCCCTTACTATATTTTGAAAAAATTTCTAGGGCAATCCAGATTTCAGTTAAAATATGTTAATTCATTTACAAAAAAAAAACAAAATCTGGCTCGGAACCTATCCTACCATCTTTAATATTTAAATGAAAAGGAATTTTTAAAAGGATTTAATGGGTGGGGTAGACTAACATACTAGTTTTTTGAGAGATTATTAACCTCTTATTTTTAGACTTATAAAAATTAAATAATTAGGATAAATTTTACTTTGATGCATTCAATGGTGGCTGTTTCCGTTTTATTTATAGTGGATGTGGAGGGAATAGAAATCGTTTTAATACAGAATCAGAATGTACTCAACGTTGTGCACATTTAATTTCATCCCCGACAAAACCTGGATTTTTAGGTAAAAAAATTCTTTAAAATTATTGTTTAGGAATTAAAGAGAAATAATTATATCTGGACGTTTTATTAACTTTAATATGAAACTAAAGCATCCTTTAACGAATATTAGATTCTCATTAATAATTTAACGAATATTTAGTTCAGAAGATAAAAGTTTCCAACCAAAAAAGTCTCCCATAAATTTTCATAAATTTATTTTTGAAATTTAAGGCCATAAACAACAATTACAACCATTACCTTCAGCACACAGAACAAATGCTCCTTTACCTGGAAAACAAGCTTTTTGTAAAAATATTTTTTTAATTTTTGTTTGTTTTTGGAGTGTTTTTTATGTGGTTTTTGTTTCTATTTACTTTTGTTTTTATTTTTTCCTTAACAACCCCTAAAAATATATCCTTAAAATAAAAATGTAATTTTTATTTTTTAAATTAAAATTAAAATATTTACACATATTTAAGTAAAAACAAAGGAAATTTGCAATCTTCGGCCAGACGTTGGTAAATGTGAAGGACATTTCGATAGCTTGTTAGAGCTTCTTTTAAAATTAATTTAAATTTTAAATTTTAGCTATTATGAACTAGCTACTGGACAATGTGAACGATTTACCTATTCTGGATGTGGAGGGAATGGAAACCGATTTAATAGTCTCGATGAATGTCAGGTACTTTTTCGAAGACAAAACCTTCCAAAAATTTCAATTTTTTAGGCTGTTTGCCTTCGCCGTCACGATTTCCCTCCTCCTCCAGGCCCACAAACTCCATTTAAAACTGCTTCGGCATTTGTTCCTCCAGAACCTAGCCAACCAATAATCCCAGCTGCTGCTGGAAGTATAATACAATTAACTGGGAGGGAAAAACAAAAAAATCAACAAATTTGTGATTATTCTAAAGAAACTGGGTCCTGTAAACAATTTGTTACTAAATGGTATTACAATAAATCGGATGGAACTTGTAATAGATTCCATTATGGAGGTATTCTTAAATTGAAATTGTTGTTGTTGTACATAAATGTGTAGTTATTTTTGAGTTAAATGTTAGCTCGAATAATTACCGTATAACCTGTATTAATTGCCCTCCCTTAAATAGTTACCCCACTTTTATTAATTACTCCAATAATTGCCCCCATAAATTGCCCTAAAACACGTTCAAATTTAAAATCTCATAACCCCCCCCCCCCTCCCGACTTGTAATAGATTCCATTACAATAACGGAAGGTAGAAACAAACGGAAGGTAGAAACAATAATTACCCAGGGTAGTTATTAAGAGTTTTACAGATGTTACTGTCACGGCTAAACTTCTTGCTTTTTAAAGATTATTTCAGTGATCTATTCACAGCTATGGGTTTAGGATTTTTGATAAAATATGTCAACTAATCACTAGGTTCTCAAATAAATTTCTCAAATTTGTCCATCAATCATTGTTTTCCACAATAGGGCTATTTATCTACTAGGAATAACTGAAGTAATATAATTTTATCAAATATTTTGTAGGCTGTGATGGTAATTCAAATCGTTTTGACACAGAACAAGAATGTAGAAATACTTGTGGCGATTTTAGAGGTATTAGAAAATATAATTAATTTAAAAATAAATTATTTTTCTAAAAAAGATGCTTGTTTATTGCCAAGTGTTTCTGGTCCTTGTGCTGGTAAAGCTGACCGCTATTATTTTGATTTTCATTCAAATAAATGTTCTTTATTCCAATATGGAGGATGTCTTGGGTGGGTAATTGTTGATAAGTCAAACTTCACTATAAGATACACACAATACTAGATACGCCTTTACATTGGGTGGAGAGAGGTGACTGAGAGATATCCCTCAATCTAAAATATCCCTCATTTAAACCTCAACGGTGTATCTTATAGTGTGGTCCAATTTTAATTCAAAAATATTTTTTAATTTAATTTTCCTTCCTCTTTTACAGAAATACAAACAATTTCCGTACAATCGAAGAATGCCAAGCTCGTTGCCAACCAAGTACTTGAAAAATTTTAAATTTAAAGAATGAATGAAAAGATGGATTTTGGGAGTGGGGAAAGGGGCATATGCCAACATATGCCAACAAAAAAAATTAAAATTTTGGCGAAGTAATTAATTTTTATTTAAGAAATAATTGTTTTTTAATTTTCTTGCCTCCAATTTTATGATATTTTCTGTGCCGTTACATTATATTTTCATTTTTAATTTAATTAAATTGTTAATTTTTATCAAGTGCTGTTTATTATTACAAATTTTTTTGGTTAAAATTTTTGAAAAAAACAATCTAGTATTAAAATATATTTAGCACTCGATTTAGTTTTTTCTCTCACTTGCAATTTTTTCTAAATTTAATATAAAATATTTCTTAAATTGATTAATTAGTGTTTAAAAATATAATTATTTGTAAGGTGCCTTTCCCCACTCCTTCCATTCTTTTTAAAAAAATTTAAAAATTTAATTGATATGTATTTCTGGGATTTGAATTAAAATTGAAAGGAAAACTTAAAAAATTATTTTTTTATATTCGACAGATTTAAAAAGTCGAAGAAAACGTTCCTTGTTATCAGAACAACAATTTGTGGAAATAAATAATAATTCAAATCCAGATAATTTATTAATTAATAAAAATGAAAAGAATATTTTGAATAAGCAAAAGGAGGAGGTTTTTGTAGATGAAAAAGAAGAAGAAATAGGAGAGGAGGATGCGGAGGAAGGAGGATTACTTTATGGGCAATTACCTGGTTTTAGATTTTTAAAAATTTTAGGAGGGTTTCCCAAAGTTACTTGTAGATTCTAATCCAAGAAGTTTACTAGGCATCAGAGGTCGATAGGAAATGGCGAAGGTGCCGGAAATCGGAACTGTCGGAAATCGAAAATGGCTCAAAAGTCGGAACTAGGAAATCGGAAATCTGATAGACCTCTGCTAAGCATAACTCGACGTCTGATACAATTTTCAATAGGCTCTTCTATTTGCCCCGGAAATTCCGATGTGTATATTTCGACAATCACTTTTTTTTATAAAGAGACCCCCATCGGACATTCATTCCCCTACTACCCGAAGTTTCATTTTTAAAATGTTTTTGAATATTCTCTTGAAATTTTTTTAATTTTAAAGAACTTTGCCTTCTACCAGAGGAAAGAGGAAAATGTTTTGGAGAAATGCTTCGTTTTCGTTATGATATAGATAAAAATGATTGTGTCGGGTTTTTCTATACTGGATGTGCACAAAATGTTAACAATTTCCTTTCATACGAATCTTGTCTGCGTGCATGTGGAGATTGGAAAAATAAAAATATTTGTGAATTAGAATATGATGGAGGAAGTAAAGAATGTGAAAATGAAAATAAAGGAAATAATTTTGGATTAATTAAAATACAAAAATGGTATTATGTTCCGAGTGAAAGAAAATGCAAACTTTTTATGTGGAATGGATGTGGAGGGAATGGAAATAGATTTCAAAGGTTTGGGAATAAAATAGATGAAACACAAATATTTATTGTTGTTAAATAAGTAATAATTTCAATCCAAAATTCGAATTTTGGGTGTTACAAATAAGTGAAATTTTTATAAAGTCCTACATATTTACAGCCTGGTAAAAAGTTCTCTACTATGTAGTATGAGAAATTTTATTAGCGGAGTGTATTAAAAATAATACTAAAAAATTAAAAGTACATTTGTAATCAGAAAAATTTGAGTAGAAATCCTTAAAAGGGGAATGTTTTCTTTAATTGTCAACCTTGTTAATAATACAATTACTACAAAAATTTTCATTTTTTCCTCTTCCAGTAAAATAATAATTATTAAATATTTTAAGTAAATCAGAATGTGAAAATTTGTGTAATCGTGAAATTGATATTTATAATCAACAATTAAATATATGCCAATTACCCATGGATGGAGGGCCATGTGAAGATTTTGTTTCTCTTTGGTATTTCGATAATTTACAGAATCAATGCAGAAGGTATTTTTAAAACTCATCAAATCCCGGATTAAAATTAATTAAGGGAATTTTTGAGATAAAATTTAGCCAAAAAAATCAGTTGACATTTTTGATTAATATCGAAATTGAAAACATTGAAAAATCAAATCGAGCTGTATACTAGAGATCGAGATTTTTGAAAAGCCTGGACCTGTTCCTGGACTCTGGTTTTGATTTATTGACCTGGACAGGATCCTGGGCCTGTAGTTCAGGAAAAACCCGGGCCCAGGAAAAACCCAGGGGTGTCAAAAAAAAAGTCTGGACCTGGACTTGGGTATAGGAAAAACCCAGGCCTTGGTCCAGGTCCAGTTCGATCTCTACTGTGTTCTAATTTATGTAAATATTTAAAAATCAGATTTACTTTTGGTGGTTGTCGTGGAAATTCTAATAGATTTTTAACTGAAGAAGATTGTTTATTAAAATGTAATAATTATAAAAATAATTTAACAACAATTAATAATCAACAATTAAATATTAAACAACAAAAAACAACACCAATTTCAATAAATTCAAAACAAATCCCAAAAAGAGCAAAAATCTTTGTTTTTCCATTAGGAACTTTAATTGAAGGAAATAATAATAATTTAAATTTTAAATGTTTAATTGAAAAAGGAGAAGAAAATAATGAAAATAGAGATTTCTATTGGTATAAAAATGGAATGGAATTTTTGAATGGAAATTTTGAGAATAGTAATGGACGTTTTATGTTACAAAAGGTAAATAAAATATTTATAGAGAAAATTTAAAAATTATTTCGTTTAAATTTTAATAAATTATGAAAAAAACACAGTACCACCGTTCAAATTTCAAAACTCGAATAATCCTCCTTTAATTAATTACACTCTCTACGAGAAGTTAAAACAATATTCGGAATAATTACCTATTCAATAAAATACAAAAATTAATTTAAATTATAATTTAGACTAAGAACTTTTTAGTAAATATTTTAGAAAATCATTTTAAAATTAGAGGGTTTCGATTTTGGATGATTAGTCTAAAAAATAGGAAAAAGTCATTTTTTTAATTTTCCGGAATTTCTTTTTTCTTTTTCAATTTCTCTTTCTCCCCTCCAACTATTTTAACAAATTTTTTAATTTTAAAATTTTATCAAATATTTATTTTTCAGATTAATTCAAATAACAGTTTAATAGGCGAATTAAAATTAATTAATATAAATATTCAAGACAAAGGTTTTTATTCTTGTGCTTATGGAGATTCTTTAATTTCTGAGGAAATAAAAATAAATATTATTAAAAATGGTTGGGTTTTGAATTAAAATTAGTAATTTAAATAATTAAATTATAGATTTAATTAAAAATAATTATTTACAAAATTGTATTGAAGAGAAAAGATTTGAACAAGTTTGCAAAAATATATTAAATTTAGGTTTATGTAATACTTTACGTTATGGAAGTTTTTGTTGTAAAACATGCAAAAAATAAATATCTAAAAATAATTTAAATTTGAATAAATCTTTTTTAACTTGATAGGAATAAATATTTTAATACATATACCGTAAACACTTTTTTATAAGCCTTGACCGGTTATTAACAGGTATCCCCGATTTCGGTTAATCCAAATTTTAAAAACCCGGTTTTGAGTTTTAGACAAATAACGGTTTTGGGGGAATTTTTAACAAAATCACCCATTTTCAGAAGTTTTCGATTTTTAAATTCTGTAAAAATGGTTAATTTTTGGCAAAAAATATCAAAATTTTCGGTTTTAAAACTGGTTGTGAACAACCCTAGAAGATTACAAAAAATCATTTATCACAAAAGTCTAAATTAATATTGGGATGAAGCGATTTTGTTCCGGGTTTCCGGCTCTAATTGAAAATCCAAAACTAGAATCTAGCAAATTTTTTTATAACGAATATACCTCTAAAAAAGCCAGTACAAACGAAGGAGTGAAATCCTGGTCTGGGAATTGGGGTTACAGTCTAGTATGGGATTAGTATGAGGCTTTTGTTAATTCCGAGCACATTTATGATACAGTGATTTTTTATCGTTCTAAATCGCCTTTATTCCTCCAATTCCCCAAATCCCTCGATATAAGTTCCTTGATTTCGGGGAATTAGGATAGCGGAGGGGTTAAGGGCATATTGGAGATAATTAGAGGATTATCAGGATTATGTGGAGATATCGGGGGATTAACATAATTATGTCGATATGGAGCAGATATCGAGGGATTTGGGAGGATTAAGAAGGATATAGGGATTAAGAGAATCTGCTTAGATATCGAAGGATCTCATGGTATCACTTCAAACCCCCTGATAGTACGGATCCAAAATCCAGTTTCATGACAAATAATTAAAATGTATTTATTATATGAATTTATTCTAAGAAAAGGAATTACTACAAAATATACAAATGTTTAAATCTTCTACAAAATGCATTAGTGCAACTACAACTAATACATACATATTACAAAACGTAGAATGCAAAAATTAATGTCAAATTGATTATATCTAGGAAGCATTGACAGCCGTTCGTTGGAGAAGAGCCAAACGCTTTCTTCGTCCACAACCACAGCCTCCTCCACATCCACCACCACCGCCGCCTCCTCCGCAGCCACCTCCACAGCCACATGGTAGTGCTGGTGGTGGTGGACCGCCACAACAACATCCTCCTCCTCCGCTTGAACAACTTATTTTCAGCGTAATTGTTGTTGGTGGCCGTTGACATTCACATCTTGGTGGTTGTGGACATTCACATCTTGGTTGAGGACAATCACATTTTGGTTGTGGGCATTCACATCTTGGTTGAGGACATTCACATCTTGGTTGAGGACAATCACATTTTGGTTGTGGGCATTCACATCTTGGTTGAGGACATTCACATCTTGGTTGAGGACAATCACATTTTGGTTGTGGGCATTCACATCTTGGTGGTTGTGGACATTCACATCTTGGTTGAGGACAATCACATTTTGGTTGTGGGCATTCACATCTTGGCTGAGGACAATCACATCTTGGTGGTTGTGGACATTCACATCTTGGTTGAGGACAATCACATTTTGGTTGTGGGCATTCACATCTTGGCTGAGGACAATCACATCTTGGTGGTTGTGGACATTCACATGTTATTGGTGGTGGGGGTGGTGGTGGACCACCGCATCCACATCCTCCACCGCCTCCACCACCACCACCACCACAACACTGTTTTTTCATCCTTAGACCTCTCACGAGTGATGGAAGAAGTCTGGAATAAATTTTGTTTAAAAAAAATTTATTAGCTAATGATGTTAACTTACATATCACCGTTACCAAATAGGCTAGCATTTATTTCATTAGCAATTAAAATAAGCGATAGTAACGTAAAATAAAGACTATACTTAGTTTTAGTCATTTCAAATATTTAAAAAAAATTTATTGAGTTATTTAACTTTAGAAGCTATTAATTTTGTTTGTATTAGACTGATTAACCTCAGCTATTTATATCCAAATTTTTGGCTAAAAATAGTTTTACAGTTTAGCAACAATAAAAGCATTAAAAGTGAAACCAGGAAAAGTTTTACCTTTCTAAAAAAATTTAATTAACTTAAAAAGTTTATTGCCATCTTAAACGATGCAAATTGCATGGTAAGATGGCAATAAACCCCCGTCGGGGAACAACCCTACATACAATGTGAAAGAGATCAAGCGAATAGACCAATTATTTAATTTTTTCAAAAGAAAAACTATTCCACATATGTATTCGGTTTTAGATACTTATAAATGAAAAAACGGCATTTTACGATGTTGCTATATTTCAACCAAAAAAAGTAATAATTTTAGCTATAACAAGTTACAGGTCTATAAAATTTTTATTTTACTTGTAATTTTTTATGTTCTCAAAGATATTTTTAATAATAAATATTTTTACATGTTTTTGGTCTTACTTCATTCTTTATTCTCTAATATCATTATTAATATTTTTTAAATTAAAATATTTAAATATTCTTTTGTTTTTATCAACGCAAAATAAAATGTTGTTTAAAAGGTTCTTTTTAATTTCAAAACTTAAAGATACTAATTTTTAAAGTAAAATATTATCCCAGGTTGCTGGGTTAGTTACTTGGTTACTAAAACGGCTATTGATAGGTTCTTACGTTTATTCTAAAAATAAGGATTTTAGGAATTTATAGAGTAACCTCATCGGAATCCAAAACATCTCTTGATATGCTTGAAACAATCAAAAACTGGTATATTTTTAATTCCTGACAGTTTATCTTTAGTTTATAAATGTTTATTTATCTTCTCTTATGTTAGCAACAAAAAATCGTTATTGAATACAATGACAAATTTTTTTGATTAAACATTCCACAAACTAATCCTGCCATTAACTAATTTTAAACAATTTTATTCAAAAAATTAAATGTTTTCCACAATTTAATTAATAACAATCCAATTATTTTTTGTCCCAAAATTATTCAAACATTCCTCATATTTACTTTCTGTATACCATTTACCATCACAAATAAAACAAAATTCATGTCGACCAACAGGTAATTCTAACAAAACACCCTTTTTATTTGGTTCTCCTTTTATTGGATCACAAATTAATGCACATTCCCAATTTAGAAAACTACCCTAAAAATAAAGAAAAATATTTAAAATTATTTTAAGATTGGTTTTCGGCATTGCTCGGTATAAGAGAAAATACCGACTTTGCATTAATGATACCGAAAATATCCATTTGCCGGAAACTAGTTAAATGTTAATTGCGGTAATTAGACATTTTTCCTTTATAAAGCACATATCCTACCCATAATTTTAACAATTTTACTTGACCTCATTGACTATTTTTAATAATAACCGAGAAAGGAGAAAGAATAGAAATGTGGGGAGATAAATAATATCAAACAAGACCAGTGTTTGGAAGCTCGAACCAAAATTCGTACTCGTACCTGTGTACAAGTACGAGAAAATAAAATAGGTCAAGTACGAAGTAAGAGTATGAATACGAGCAATCTTCAAAATTACAAACAGTGATCAAGACTATTTCATAAAAGTAGCCCTGACATATTCCAATAATTACCGTAATGTTTAAATTAAATTTTAAAAAATAAAAAAATCACAATTAGAAAAATATCCTTGTCTCCATTAGAATTTGTGTCCAAACGAATTTTTTGCATTGGAATTTTTAATGAATTTTCACTTAAATAAAAGAACAATTAAATTTAAAAATAATGCAACATTTACATATTTAGAAGTGTAGATTTATCTCCTCTATCTTTTCGAGGTTGTTTTTTAATAAGTAAAGCATCATTAATACCTCCAAGCGTTTTAAAAGAATTAGTTAAGGCATCTATTGTCTCATTTGCCTTTAATTTAAAAAAATTTAAAATAATTACTAGAAGAAATTTGAATTTGGTTTTATTTTTTGCTGAAGGCTTTAACTAATAAAAAATGTTGTCCCCATAAAATCCAAAAAATCCTGGCTTGCAGGACTCTAAGCTCTAAAAATTCGGACCAAATATTTATGAAAATGAGGAATTTTCTAAAAATTTCCCTCTAAACAGAACTGACTTAAAACTGACTGACTTAAAACCAAAATCGAAACCGGAGTTACTCTGAAATAACCGTCGCTAACTTCCACAATAAAAATGCCACTTTTGTATTTAATTATTTCTGAATATATATTTTTTGATCATTTCTACCTTTTTCATCTCCTTTTCTAAAAATTTATTTTTTTCCTCCACATTTTTCAATTTAATTTCCAAAGCCTCATAATTACTATTCTTTTCTTCTTTTAAATTATATTTAATAATATTAAATTCGTTTTGAATTTCCAAAACTCTTCCGCTAAGTTCAACCATATGTTGCTAAATGTTAAATTAAATAAAATCATTCAAATTTTTTAAATTACCATAAAGTTTGAATCAAAATTTGAAGATTTTTCATTCATTTTTTATTTTTAAAATTAAATTTTCTAAAATTAATTAAAATTTAATAAGAGGACAAATAAATAAAACAAGCAGATAAATAATCGTTCTGGCGTACCCCGATTTCCCGCTGATTTTCGCAATTTGAGATCTCGATGGAGAAAGCAGTTAAAGACTTTGTTCTTTTTCATTTTCTAGACAATATCAATGGAAATGTTCATAGAATTTTTTATTTCATTTTTAGTAATAGTTTAAGGGCTTTTTTGTTAAGTTTTACAAACTGTTCAATGTATTTTGGAACACCTCATTTTTCGAAAAACCTTCATATCATTTGATAAAATTTTTGCTTTTCTAAAATTTTTTGTAAAATAGGGTAATTTTTGATGCTAATCAATATTTTAAAAAATTATAAAAATTAGACAGATCTAAGTTGACTTATCGGAAAAATTAGGGGGTGTCAACCTATTTTGGAACGGACTTTATTTTATCAGAAAACTTAATTTTTCTTTGGGTTTCAAAAATCGGTTCAAAATCCATGGAATTTTTTTATGTTTGGAGACTGAGTCTTAGACGATCCTTTGGCTTATCTATTGGATAGTCATAGCAAGGGTCAAAATAGGCAGTATATTTTCAATAATTTCAGAAACAAAAATTTATATGAGCCAAAAGATTACCTTAGATCCAATGGCCTTATTTTCCGAACATAAAAAATTGCCGAGGAACCCAATTGCATCTCAGAAACTCAGAGTAATTGAGTTTTTCCCAATACCAACACTGATAGAAATGAAAGGTTTTGAAAATATTCTCTAGACAAATTTATTAAAAATTTTTAGAATGGAAATGGATCACAACATTTACCTGCTCTTTCAACAAAAATTGTATAGAGGCAAAAAAGTTACAAAAACGTTTTAAAAAGTTTTAGGTCATCTTTCCTTTTTTGAAAGGAATATTGCCTCCTTTATTTGCAATATTGCTTCAAAGCTATTGGTAACTACAACAAAGTAAGAATGTTTAAAAAATCAGAGTTATAAAATTTTGTAAAAAAATTTTAAATTTAAAATCAGAAATATTAATAAAATTCCAAAATTTTGTTAAAATATCTATGGAATTCATTGATTTCCTGTAAAATTCCAATGAAATAAGAAATCATAGAAAAATAGACAAAAATATACATAGGGATAAAATCTCAAAAATTTCGTGAAGCTGAGAAGGGTAGGAGCAACATGAAATGTGGATCAAGAACCATTCCTTACCCTATCCCTCGTAATTTCTGAAAGTTAAAATCGTTTTCTGAAATTTTTCAAAATTGACTACAACTTTCAGAAATTTCGAGGGATAGGGTAAAGAATGGCCCCCAGACCAAAGCGGCGTAAGTCACGAACATGAAGAAATGTTTTGGAACAATACACCAACTTTGCAACAAAAGAAAAATCGAGTTTTCTGTTGATTGGACACATAAATTCATTGGAACATAAACTAGACCATCGTAGAATATTCATCAAACAACGCCGATTTTTTCAAAATTTTTAAAGTACTTTAAGAAAGCATTAAAAAATTTCAAAATTTACATCGTTTTCTTTATATTTACTTTTTCTTAAGCGACATTACAAAATTAATATTTGCACTTTAAGTCAAATGACACGAGTTTTGATTAGTCGATCACTTTTACGCTCTGATTGATATGCCCTTCTCTATACACTTAGATTTCTTTAATATATAGATAATACGTTATTCATTCTTTATTAAATTGGGAAAAAAACTTGCTATTAAATTTTTTGAACAATGAGGTAATAAGGTCCAGGAAAAATAAGGCCCATTTTGTGAAAAATTGTCATAAATTATTTCTAAAGGAAAAAAGCAAACACGTTCTAATGTTACCGGCCATTAACTAATTTTCTAAATTTCAGATGATTAAATTTAATTTTATCATTTACATACATTTAATTATATTTTTGAAAATTCAATGCGCCGGTAAACCCTTTCATGTTGATGTGAAAATTCGAGATGATTGGAAAGAAAAAAGAGAATTTATCTATTTAAATAATGTTGAAATAAAGGATCGTTTTGTGTTGAAAGTAATTGAAAAACAAAATAATCAACACAATAGTTTTAATAAAAATATAGAAGGATATTTGCGTTCAATTGAGATGAATCTAGATAAAGATATGTTTGAAGTTAAAATAAATGATAGATCTGAATATATTCCATCTGATCAATTAAAAAAGAAAATTTTGATTGAAATTACTAATAATAAAATAATTCAAAATTTTCTGCCTGGGCCTGAAAAAATGGTATATTTTTATCAATAAAATTTTAGTTCCATTGTGTAAGAATTGCTAGCAAAGAAACAAGTAAGGAAAAAGAAAAACAAGCAAGGAAATGTAAATCTATACCTACTTTAATTTGTGTCAAATTAATATATAAATTAAAAATATAATGAAACAATACTTTTTGCCCTAATTTGTGTTCAATTCAAGGTACTCCGAAATAATAATTTTATTGAAAATATTAATTGTTGTGAAACTTCAATATTGTACAAAAGTGAAAATAATGTTAGCTTAATTGAAGAAAGTATAGAAAATTACAAAAACAAGCTTTTATCAAGTTATTGGACTGAAATTAATTTAATTGGATATAAAATTGAATTGTTAGAAAAACAAAAAGTTGAATATCCGAAGGAAGAATTAAAAAGTAGAATTATTTACATCGGCGGTGAAATAAGTAGTGTTTTAATTTTTTATTTGTTTATATGCCTAAAAATATACATATTATTCTTTATTATTATAGGAGGAATAATTGAAGGAAATAAACGAAAGTGTTTCAATTGTAGAGTCACACAAACAAATAATTGGTATAGATACCTAAAGGAACATTATTTGTGTCATCCATGTCACGATTATAAAATATATAATGCTAAAATGAAACCTGAAGCTAAAATGGTTTAAATTTATTCATATTATAATGAAACAATACTTTTTAAGAGTATATGAGTAGTTTAATTGTTTCGAGCATATTTTAAGAAATTACCTTGACAGAATACCTTGACAAAATCAGTTAGTAGAAAAGCAGAAAAATAGCTTTAAAAAATTTTATCTGAGAAATAATATCAACTCCTATTTTTACAAATATTTTAGCGAAATGATCGAAAATGTTTTACTTGCGGAGCAACAAAAACTTCAAGGTGGTACCGTCATTCAAAACCTGAACACTATAGTTGTGGTACGTGTTACAAAAAACAATATAGAATGATTAAGAAAACAAATAAAAATCAAACAGAACAGGAATCGATTAAATAGTATTTAAATGATTATGATTTTCTAGCTTTAATTTTCTGAGTTTATTGAACAAATTATAAAACTTACAAAATATAACCTAGGTATATTATATACCTTTGAGAAACTTTTAGCGCCGCAGGCAAAAATTTTGAGAAATTTGGGGAACTTAAGCCAATTTGGTCCATTTTTGCGCCTCAGATTAGAAGAATAACGGGATTTGAGCATATAGTAGGTTCCCAGATATCCTTACAAATCCCCAATGTCTTTTTAATCCATCTTAATCCCAGTAAATCAGCCGATATTCTTCTAAGTCAACTGATCTTTCCAACTGGTCAACTGATCTTTCCCTTAACCACTCTTTATACATCCTAATTTTAACATCGCATGCGAAAATTTTAAGAATTTTGGAAGGCTAAGAAGCCAGATTTTTTCCTTTTTCTGCGCCGCATGCCAAAAAAATTATTCTATTGATAGCTTGTAGGATCTACGTGATCCAAGTAAAGGGCGTGTGTTAATTAAAGTATATTAAATATTCGTGATGCAATTATAGAAGTAATTGCTTCATAATTTCCATTTTGGTTAGTATTTTTGAAAATTTTGGAGGGGCCCTTAAAATAAATTAAGTTATGTATTATTCGCGAAATAAGAAGTAAATTGAAAAAAATAATTAATCAAAATAAATCAAAGTCAATGAAAAAGACTTTTAAATTTAAGAAAATTAAAGCAAAAATCTTTTACCCTTAAATTGGTGACAGTGAATTTAAAAATAAATTTAAATATTTAATATAAACAAAAACTTCTTTTAAAATGGTTCTACTTTAATGAACAATTTTATTTCAAAAAATTCTTTTGTTCGTTTTGATTAATTTTTAAATTTAATCCAAGGTTACCCCTCCCTTACCTTATTTTTAATTAACGTCATAAAAAAGCGTGGAGAGGGAATGCCCTTGTAAATTAACTTCTAAAATTCTTTTAAATTTTGCTGAGAAATTAAAGTTTATAAATAGGGAAGATGTTCACACTTAATAATCATAAAAAATATTTTATATTAAACTTCAAAAACCTTCTCTAAAATAATAAAAATGTCTACTTTCTGCTTTTTGTTAGTAGTTGCTTTAATTGCTCAAGTTGTTGTCTCATTGCCGATTGCTGATAAAACAGTGTAAGGCTTAATTCTTTATATTTCTGGTGTAAATTAAATGATAAATACGCCACTGGTCAAAAATTAAACCTGGAACTAATACAGGCAGTTATTCTACCTAGGCTATTTATGGCTCTGATTCTCTTTAGAATAGATTTAAACCCCTACCAAAACTTTGGCCAGATTGATCTTCCCTTTCTTCCATTGTAACTATTTACTAGGATTTTTTAAATTAAATTTAATATTCCTTTTATAAATTTAAATACTTTATGTAGCCAAAAGAGACATGCCGTGCCTGTTTATGTGGCACCTTCATATCATTATGCTCCGGTATTTTATTAAAATTTTATATTCTTATAAATTCGAAAGGGATCAATTAAGGATTTAAAGATTACGGCAAATATTTATTATTAAAATTTAAAAATAAATCTTTTTAGAAAATATGCAAGATCGCTTGATAATAATTTAAAAATATTTTTTAAAGTCTGGCCCAGCAAGTTCTAGCTTTGTTTCTGGTGGTGGTGGAAGTGGAGGAGGAATTCAAAGTGTAATAGGGGGTGGTTATGGCCTTCCTGGATCTTCCTTTGTTGCTGGAGGTGGTGGAGGAAGTGGAGGTGGTGGAATTCAAAGTGTTATTGGAGGGGGATCTTCACTTGTTGCTGGAGGTGGTGGATATGTTCATAGTGGAGGATATGGCCATGGGGGATACGGACATGGAGGATACGGATATGGAGGATATGGATATGGAAGAAAATAGACAAAGGATAAATGATATAGAAAACAAAAATTTTCTAATTTTAAATATTTAATTGTAATTTAATGAATATATATTAAATTTGAATATCATTGAATAAGAGGCTTTTCTCCTAACTTATATTGAGCAATAAGTTTTGCTGGTCTGCATTTTTTGGCATTAATATGTACTTTATAGATGTACATGCCATTCGAAAGCTTAATCCTTATCTCTTTTGCCACCTTTCAGCGTTTTTTTATAATTTAAAATTTCTGAGGCATACATACATATACTCGAATAAAGTAGATATGGTCGGATATGTCAAGAGTGAGATTTTAACAGAATGAGATTTTAATAATTAAAATCCCTCTAAATAGTATCTAATCTCTAATATTAAAAAAAACAAATTTATTAATAATTAAAAATAAATTTAAAATAAAAAAGATCAAACAAATAAAATATATTTAATTATTAGCTTCTTCTAATCTAATATTTGGTGGAGGTAATGAAGGAAGTGGAGGAGGTAGAGGAATTAAAGGAGGGAAGTTAGCCATTGTTGGTGTGCCAAGATAGCGTTGTTGGGATAAAAAGTCTGTGCTGGAAGTTGGACTTCTATTTAAAAATAAATTTATTTTAAAAAATAATTTTAATTTTTGTTAAATTCGGAAAGAATAGAAAGAGATAACGATTTTTCCTTTCGATTCTCTTAGTTATCTCCATTTTTAAATAAATTAAAATTCCTATACTTTCGCCCCAAAAATATTAAAAAATTAATTTTTAAAAACAAAATTTACAATATTCTTTCCTCAAAAGGTGTTTGATTTATTCTGTCATTAACAAATAAATCTCTGGTTGCATAATGTAAAAGAGAGGGTCTCCGAATTGTGGCAATTGGAAATTGTTGCTTACTGAAATATTGGAAAAATAAAATTAAAGCAGAGAGAGAGGGGATTTCAATTTTGGATTATAAGAAAAATCTAAAAAATAATTTCCAACCAATTTTTTAAATAATTTTGTGTATCATCTGGATCTGCATATTGACTTTCATTATCGTTTAATATTTTGTTGTCATTTTTATTATTATGTAATACAAGCCTAGCTATATCTATTAGCTCATTTTGTTGTTCTTTGTCATCAACGGAATCGAAGGGAATTTTAAGCAAAACGTGGGATTGGGAAGAACAGAGACGACCCTAAAAATTAGAATTAGAGTAAAGTGGCCGATCCCGTTCCAGAAAAGGCAAAAGATTGGATGGGACTTGATCCTGAGAACTCTCCGATGGAAGGTTGCTAACCGCACGTTTCATATTTTGTTATATTTGCTATGATGAGGGTAAACTTAGTTGATTTTCCACAAGCATCGGGTATACCTTATGACACTATTTAGAATCAAAATTATTTTTCAAGACATAATACGTAAGTCCTTTAAACATTACCTTTTTAGTATCAATTTTTCTTCTAGCTCCTTGCAATAATTGTTGTAACAATAATGATTTGGAATGGCGCAAAGTTGAAGGGGAATTATTAAAAGAAATTGTTGCTTTAGATGTTAAAGAAGATGTTCCATTTTTGTAACAATTTTTGGATGTATTTTTTGGTGGAGATCTTTTTTGGCGAGAAGAAAAGAAAATTGAACGAAGGCATAAACAAAAGGCAGTTATTGAAAGACATAATCCAAGGAAGATAACTAAAAATAATAACAAAAGATTTTGTAAAAATTATTAACTTTTTTGACGACTAAGAATGATCAGCTAAAATAATGCCCCTCTAAATATATGTAAATTGGCATAATTTCCCGGGTTTTATTTTAAAGGGAATATGGTAAGCAAGATAGTCGTAGAAATTATGCCATCGCTATCCGTAATTCAGTTTCAAAAATCCGATTTATTATTATGTCTAATACAAGCCCTAATATCCACCCATCTATCGAAATAAACTTACATATAACCATTAAATAACAAATTATAGATTTATTAATCATATTATCATCTGATGAAAATTCTATATAATCACTTTCATCATCTTCATAAGAAGTTAATAAAAGGTCTTTTTCATTTTGCAGTAAATCATGATTGTCAATTAAAGATTCGTCCTCTTAAATTTTAAACAAAATTTCTCAATATTTCAATTAACATTACCAACCAGTTTCAAATTTTATTTCACTTAATAATAACCAATCCGCATTTAAACCAAAAAATAATTCAATTCGTAAACGAGATGCAATTCTTTGAGGAATTGGAATACGTATCCAACGAGCATTTTCGAATCGAGAATCTTCCGGGAATTTTTTCTAAAATTAAATTTTAAATTTATTTTTTCTGGATTTTTATTTTCCAAATACCTCAAGAATTCGAGTTGAGAATTCCCCTCCAAGTGGTGAAAAATGGAGACGGACAGAACTAAAAATATAAGCACCCCGCTTTCGAAAATTTGAAGTGTGCAGTAAAATTGCCGACAAATTCTGTCTTCGTTTAAATAAAAATTCGAGAGGAATAAATTGGCCTTTAAACAAAAGAGATTTCGAAATCAAAATTATTTTACCAATTTTTTGACTTTTATGCCACCCAATCCAATGACTTGGAAATTCCTCAAAATTATCGTTCCCTTTAATTCCATCAAAAAGTTGTCCTAAACCCCCACGCATCCAAACAATATCAGACAATAAATTATTTAAATTTTTTGAAGAATCTGGTAATTGTGGAACAGTCCAACCATCATAGCTAATATCACGTAAATCCAAAGCATCGACTATGGCACCAGTTGGTGCAGAATAGGAGATAATAGGCTCTAAATTTATTTTATTAATTGGATTAAGGAAGTTTGTAGCCTAATAGAGATTGCCTTTTGTTTTAATTTTTCGTCCATATCAATTCGAATGACTAAGGGAGCTCGAAGACTAAAGGGACTTTAAAGAAGTTACAATCGAAGTGCCAACTATAACTCAATTGTAAATGCACTTTATAAGTGAGATCTGTGGCTGTATTACATATGAGCATAGAAAAAATACAAAAAATACCTTTATATAAACACCCATAAAGTTCAAAACGTAGACAAACAGTTCGAATTGTTTCACTCACTGGAATTAATCTAACTAATTTGGCAATTATTCCTCCGTCTAGTAATCGAAGAACGGCGGTTTGTGTATTCGAATTTGCAGAAAGAATCTTTAAAATTATTTATAATTAAATTATTTTTTGATTTCAAATTTAAAAAATATCTTAAATATTATTCAATTTAAATTTCAGTTTTGTCAAAATTCTCTTAAAAAATATCTCTCCCGCAAGACGCTTCATTAAAACAAAATAACAAATTATCCCTTCCAAAAATATATCCATAACATCCTTTATTCTAGACTTTCCATAATTTTTGAAATTTTTAGTGTTTTATTTAAACAAAATATTTCAAATATTTGTAAAAATTATTTCCCTAAAAAGTTAACCAAAAATTCTTGGATTTTTTTCCACAAGTTTTAGATAACGTTCTAAGTTAAAATAAATATCCAAAATTTATTTAATATATCCCCCTACTTAAATATATTTTTATTTCAATTTTTTATTTTTCCTTTCCTCACTTTTCACATTCATTTTCAATTTTTCCTTTTCCTATTTTGGTCATTTTCTTTTTCAATAAAAGCATCTTCTCCCCCCTTTAATGCTTCATCAAAGATTCCGTTCACTATTGTGAGACAATTTCCGCTTAAATTCTTTTCAATGCAATAATACTTTTTTTCTTTATAAATTTTCTAAAATGTCATGGTTGCCAACCAATTGCTTTGGACATTTAATGCGCACATTTTTATTTAGGACAAAAGTAGAAAAAGAAATATTGAAAATGAGCATAAATGAGGGGAGGATTTGTTAGCTAATGGCCAAAAGAATTGGTGGCTATTATGTAAGAAAGATATATTTTAGAAGGGAAAAATGTTTATAGGAAAATTTGAAAATTTTATAATATAAATATCAGGGATATCAGGGATCTTTGGGTCGGGAATTCTGGAGAGATCTTTGGGTCAGAGAGATGACCCAAAGATCTCTGATTTCAAATTTTATTTTTTAGGAGCCCCAATAAAATGGGGCTCCTAAAATTAGATGAGATTTAGATTTTATAAGGATAATATTATTGAGAAGGAATTCTTTGGGACGGGAATTCTTTAATTTGGCAGGATCCTTGATGTATATTGAAGAAGATAAGTAACAAAAACTTATTTAAATTATTTCATCTAAACTAATGTCCATTTTAAAATATTGCCACAGAGACGTGATTTTTTTCGATATTAAAAAGGATCGGAAATAATGCCAAGAATTATTTTAGTAGAAATATGGCAATAAAAGTTTCTTAAATTTTGAGAATAATTTATTTAAAAGCTACAACATATCAAAAAATTTTTGTAAATATATGAGGTTTTTAAGATTTTATAAAGATTTTAGATATAAAGATTTTCCACATCCGTCTAAAAAGGTTCCCCTTTCCTATTTATTTTAATTTGTATGTAAATCCCCTTTTCATGTGTTATCTTTATGTTTATTATTATTGTAATCCAATGTGTTGTCAATTCAAACAAAAGTGTGCAAATCGGAGAAAATAAAGAAATATAGAGAAATACACAACATTGATGGCCTTGACTTGTGCCGATTTTCGATTAAATAAATGAATATATAAATTTATGTTTTATTTATAATCAACGTATAAGAGGGGGGGTTTAATAAAAGGAACATTTTTTGAAGGGAAGAACATCAAAATATACTTGAATTTTAATAAAAAGACAGACGACATGACAAGAGGGTTTTAATAAAAAAAAGATGATGAACGACAGATGCGCGGAGATATTCACAAGTGAAGAAGAGGGAGATTTAGATTTTTATGAGGATAGATTTAAAGAAAGATTTTATTTAGTCAAAATTAAATAGGAAATTAATTATGCAATTTTTGTATTAAATAAATTTAGAATAAAGATTATGTTTTTCGATAATTTTGAAAAGTTTTGGTTATTGTTTTGAATAGCTGAAAAATTTCAAATCCTTTGATCTTCGAGGAAAACAATATTTGAATGACAATGATTCCGACTTATGTGAAAACTAAGTCAATAATGTTGAGGTTAACACAAAATAAGTAGTTTGAAGTAAAACAAGCGAGAAATGTGGAAGAAATAAAATGGGGCTCCTAAAATTCAAAATTTCCAAATTTTTGTGGGGGTTACTAAAGTTCAGGAATTATCGTAATGACACATCCTACACACATATTTTCTCAACTAATTTATATAGTTTTTACCTCATTTCCAGTGCTGTCTTTATATCGTGCCCAGCGACCCAATGATGGACGCCAATATTCGATCATGTAAGCAGATGGAAATTCTAACCCTCTCCCTTTATCCCAACGGCCTTGAGTGCGTACCTAAAAGAACATTTATTTATTTATTATTATTCTCTCCTAATTACCCCAACAATAAAATACTCATCTGCTAATTCTACTTGAATCCATTCGTGGGATGTAGCATTAATTTGAGACGATGGACACCTAAAAAAGAATTATTTAAAAAAAGGTGGTTACTTAGATGGAAGAAATGAATTTATTTAAGAAAAAAGAGAAAAAAGCAAAAATCAAGTTTGGAAAAGGAATGGTTATTGTGTGATATATAGCAGAGGTGGGTCGGAATTCCGATTTTCGACCTTTGAGCCAGTTCCGATTTCCGGCTCTTCCGATTGTTCCGACCCACCTCTGATATACTCAGGCATTATTGTAATAATTACACGTTCTTAGTATAGTTGATAAAGCAAAAAGGGAAGGGATGCCTGATCGAATAACAACAAAACTTGAGAAGGTTATTAGGACCCATTTCAGCTCTCTTATCAAGAAAAGTTTCTTAAATAATAATATTCTATGTAAAACAAACCATGCCCCGCTGCCACTTTCAGTGTTTAACCTAAAATTAAATAGTTAAAAGTCAATTTGTTTTTTAAATTAATTTAAATATTTTTATTTTTTTCTTTTTCATTTATTCAAATATTTTTCCATTCATCTTCTTTTCTATTTTTATAGCAAAAAGTCACAAAACAAAAAAAGTAAAGTAAAAACAAATAAAGAACTTGAAAAAAGTTTTTTTGCTTTTTACTGACACAAAATAAAAATTCATATGGGAATTGAGGGAGAGTGGACACAAAAACAAAAAAAATAAATTTATAATGCAGGGAATATAGCTAAAACATTAATTCAGCTGGAGCTTATACCTAACTTTTTTATTCAAAAAATAAATAAAAAATAGAAGAGTTGAAAAATAAATATTTTAATTAACGATAAAATTAAAATATAAATTTTAAAATTAGGTAGTTTACCTCTTAGAGGGATGGTCAAGAGGGTTAATCGAGTTTTTTCGATAAAGTCTCTGTATTCTACCTAATCGTAAATAAAATTTTAGAATTTTGTTAAATAAAAAATTAATTTATAATAAAGCCCGGCTCAATTAGATGTTTTCGACTTCTAATCGAAAATACCGACCGTTGCTTCTAGCCGGATTGTTTCCGTTCTAGTTTATTTTTAATACTTAAATTTATTTTTCCAAATTTTAATATTCCCCCAAATTTTTCCATTTTCTATTATTTATTTTCTTTTTATTTTTATGTGCTAAACAAAGGATTAATTACACAATAGAGAAGAGATATTTTGCAGATTGTGAACATTTATATAAATTTTAGACTTAATCCCTTTAAATATAGAGAATGAAAGAGAAAAATAAAAACATATAGAGAGAATTTAATTTAAAAATATTTTTTTAATTAAGAATAACCTAGAATGTATTGGACTTGTACTTAACGGATCAAAAGAAGAAGAGGCACTTATCTGCTCATCTAAAATTCGCCCTGATTCCATTCCAAGTGATTGAATACATTCATCTATTTAAATTTAAATTTAGAATTTTTAAAAAATTTTCTTTACAAAAATTTTTCATTAAAAAACATTTTCCCTTTTTAAAACCATCATTTTTTATTCACTCTTTTATATATTTAAATATAAAGTCCATTAAAAGCCCCTCTCTTTAATCAAAATTATATAACTTGAAGGGAGTAATGGAGGGAAATATTAAATGGCTTTTTAAGTGGTTTCTCTTTTTTTTAAATAATAAATACAAAAATTTGTTGGTTTGTATTTAACAAAAAAAGAAAGAAATTATTCTTTTCTCAACATCAAAAAAATTTTTTTGAAAAATAAATGTCTGTTTTTTCTTTAAAAATTATTTTTTTTTATTCTTAATGTTTCTGAAGAACCTTTTGACCTTCTGAGAAAGAAAAGAAAAAAATACAATAACTAGATACTTATTTTTTAAAGTATAGAGAGTGTAGTGACTATTATTAATTATTTTGGGTCCAAATAAAAGGTCCTTGTATTTTATTTTTATAAAAATGAGGAAAACAATAAATATAAAGACAATTTTAGCACCTTCTATCAAAAATAATATCTTTTGTGTTATTCGGGGGGGGGGGGAGGAGGAGGGGGGATACAAGAATTGGTTTTAAAAGAAAATAAAGTAATTTATAGTTAGAGGTAGAGTTGGGGGCCTGGTCAGGTCCGAAAGATCGAAAAAACGTCCCGAAAAAAACGAAAACCCCAACCCTAGTAGAGGTTTTGGAGTATTTTTAATTTTTTAAAAAACAAAATTCGTCTCAACATTTTAAAAATAATTTTCTAATTAATTAAGGAAGAATTAGAATAACAAAAAAATGAAGAGACAAGTGATTTAAATTTAAAACAAAAATATTTTTGTCTTTTTCTCACAAAAAAATATTTAATAAATTAATTTTTTATTTTCCAATCCCCCATAAAAATGTTCAAAAAAAGAAGAAAAGATTTATTTCTATCCCCCTTCGTTCGAAAATTTCCTCCAACATTGAATGCGCATTAAAACAGAAAAATATTTAACCAAAAATTCTTTAGCCGAAGAGAGGAGATTAATATTTTTAAAAAACATACTTCTCTTCTTATTTTTAGCTTTTTATTCAATACGAGCGTTTAGGTGCCGCTTCGCGGCACCTAAACGCTCGTACATTAGTTTTTAAATAAAAAACCTGAATTTAAATTTTTTGCTTTTATTTTTTAAGAAGTCAGTTTTTATAAGGAAATGAAACGAAATCACACAGAATAAAGAAACATGCGCATATCTAAACATAGGATTTGAGGAAAGGGAGATATCTGGAAAACTTATACATAATCTGAATGCATATGCCCCTAAATTATTTCGCACTTGTTCAAACCAAATTTAATATTTGTGGGATATCAGGGATTTTGATTGTGTTATGGGAATTTGGAGGGATTAAGTATTATCAGAGTAGCGTTTGCAAAAACTCCATTTGTTTTCTTTTTTTTCCGTTGCAAGGCGTTTTGGCACTAATTATAGCCTATTTTTTCGTTTTTAAGAATTTGGGAAATTGCTGTTTTAGGACTTCGGGGCCAAAAAATGCGAGCTTAAAAAGCAGAAGTAAAACTTAAAGCTATTTAAAAAAAATTTTTGCAATTTAAATTGTTTTGTCTTGTTTTTCTAAATTTAAATTAAGAGTTGTGTTTCTTTCGATACTGAAACGTTTTTAAAAAGTTTTTTGTTTTGTTTCGTCCATAAAATTTTTTACAGTGCATGTCTGCGCTTGGTTTCACTCATTGAAATTTATCCCCTCAAATCCGCCCATATCTCATCTAGATCCTACATACAATCCACAGAGCACATGAATTCCTTTTGAATTTTCAAAACACACATTATCCAATTAATACATTTTATCTTGCTAAACTAATATTAAGACAAATTTGCGATTTGCTTTCGATATTTTTACAAATTTTCGATAAATAAAAAACGATTTGCTTTGCTGATATAGGGTACGAAGGGCAACGTTTTTAGTAAATCATGCACCAAAGATACATAAAATTCTCAATGCCGCTAGAGAGAACATCAAATATTTGATCATTTTTTTTTGATTTTGTTTGCACAAATACGTGTTTGATGATGTATTAGATCAAATAATTTGGAAATTATTAGTTTTTCCAAAAAAACATTTTTTGGTTAGAAAATGGTGAAAAGCTATTTAACACCATATTTTTTTCAAATTTTGCCGCTGGTGCTAAAGGTTATTTTTGATCAATTATTTGTATAGCGTCTTTAAATTAAGAATCTTTTCACAGTACTAACTACGGGTTTTTAAAGCATTTATCGAATATAACTCTGAGTTTGTATTTTGGTTTGTTTGGATTTTGCGGTGTTTTTTTTATTATTTGGAGATTAAAAGTGATATCTGGGGGTTGTATGGGAATTGCGTGGGTTATATGGGAATTAAGATGGATATATGGGGATTTGTAGGGATAACAGTAGTTTAAATGTGATATATGGTGGTATGGATTCGGGGGAAAATCGTGGGTTTAAATGGGTCCTCAAAATGAACAAATCTGGCTTTTTGCTTCCAAAATTCTCAATTTCCACCTGCGACGCATTAAAGTACAAAATCTACTGCTTGATTCCTAAAATTTTAAAGTGCAACTGCTTAAAGTGCGGCTGTTTGAAGTAATATATTAAGTTAATTAAAGAAGGAACCTTACAAATCTCTTATCTACATTATTTGCTTCAAATCCATAATCTCCATACTTAACCCTCAAAATTACTTTCATCCTTTTAAACATCCTTGCATCCTTTTTACCCTTAATACCTCTTAAGCCACTCTTATCTTCAGGGAAACATTTATTCCCTTCAAATCCACTTGATCTCTGCAAAATCACTTATATTCCCAGATATACCCATTAGTCACTCCAAATCCCCATTAATTCCTAAGAATTAACCAATATATCTCGTGAGCGTTATATTTTTAGATATAACGCTTTCAGCTTATTCACAAAATTTTACTCTCTGATTTATGTTTTGCCTCGCAGATTTTCCAACTTCAAAATAACTTAATGATCCAACATACCGTATTTACTCAAATAATTACCCTGGGTAATTATTGTTTCGATCTCTCGCCGGAGGGGGTAACTAATAGGGAGGGGGTAATTATTTGTGTGAGGGCAATTATTATTCCAACCTTTATATTTTTATTTTATCATAGGCATATGAACAGGAATATACAATACGTTACCAAATACGGTGATAAAAAGTTGCGTTTTAACTTTATTACTCCTTAATACATATTTCCCACAAAACGGTATTATAACATTAATACTTCCGTCCTGGGATATATAAAAGCATCATGGGCATGTTTTTAAATACGTATATTTCCTGGTTAGAGGTTGAAATATCTATTTTTTAATATATGCTATATAATGTACTCAAAATAGTACTATGCCAACAATAATTCCGTCTTGGGATTTTTAAAGGCATAAAGTCAAGCGTGGATTAAAGGTATTTAGAAGGATTTAGTGAGATATAAGGAATAAGGCTTATATCCTTAAAAATCTTAATCCAACATTATCTCACAAAATCTCTTAATCCCCTCGATTTCCCTCTTAATCCAAAAAATCCTCGATTTTCCCCTAAATCTTTTAATGTTTCGATTTATTCCATGATATTGATCGGTAAAATGTTTTATTATTAAATTCGATGATTTTCAATAAATATTTTTAAAATCAGTAGAAAAAATAGGAGGTAATTATTTGAGAGAGGGTAATTATTTGAGTAAATACGGTAGTTTTATTACAGCCTTATCTCAGCAGTTAAATTTTCGCATAAATTAGAAATATCTAAGCCTCCAAATCAACAATATTCCTCGAAATCCCTTGCAAATCCCGAAATCCCTCTTGATACCACAAAACCCTCTTTATCCCGCTTACTCCCCAAGTCGCCAGATAAGCCTTTTTTTCCTCCCCTAAAATCCTCTAATATTCCTCATTACCCCATAAACCTGTGTTTGGGTGTACTCAACTGTGTTAACCAAATAGTGTTCCATTAAAGTTTGATAGTTGCTAAAGTCTGATACAAAATGGCTGCGATTAATTTCAACAAATTAAATGTGTGCGATTATATGGCACGCGGCTGGTAATCCCTGCGATTAAATGGCGGACGGCTGGTTGTTTTTTGTTTACGGTTAAATTTTCAACGAAAATTAGAGAAAAACAACTTTCTTTGCGAAAAAGTGCTAAGTAAGAGAACACTTACGCGGATGTGTTAGAGAGGTTTATTCTCTTTATTATTCTCTTTTATTTTCAGTCTTTTGTTTGTTTTCTCTGAATTAACATTAAAAAATTTTCGCTTCTAAAAATATTCACTTTTCTAAGATGAAAAACATGTAAACAATTATATCGTTTTAGTATAGTTAATTTTTTTATGTTTTCTTCATTTTTCTTCTTGTCTAGTGTTAATCCCTCCAAAGCGAACTGCGCGTCGTTTTTTGCCCTAATTTTTGGACTCTTCTCCTTTCTAATCTCCCTTTTGGGGATACCCGTAGAGTCAAAAATAAATTTAAAAAACTGGTATTTTTATTTAATATTTGGAAATTTTTAATTATTTTAAAAATAAAAAAAAATATTTGAAAAGAATTAATTAAGAAAAAGGGGAAGTTTGTTTTGGGACAGGAAGTAGTTGTCTTTAATATCCACCAAATAGATATTTTTATTTTTCAAATGATTGAAGTAAAAGAGAAAATGGGGAAGAGAATATCTCCTCTAAGAAATATGAACAGATTTACGACTTAAAGATTGAAGAACGCGCAGGAAAACCCCACTAAAGAAAGTGCCAATGAAATAAAAAACAATGAATCTGTCTAATTGTTTAGTAGGAAATTCCGATTCCCCGAGACTTAGGAAAATGAGGAATTGTTTTGAGACTTTTTTATCTCTCTGCAGAATTTTTATCTTCTATCCCTCTCAAAGATTATCGTAATTAAAAATTTATATTCAAAACCCAAAACAAAAAAAAGACAGAAAATTCAATCAGATAAATATTTATTTATTTCTTTATTTATTATTTAGAGGTGTCTGTTAGATGTAAAAAACCCATAAATTTATAAGTTCGCCACCCTCAACAATTGTTCATTTAAAAAGATCCAAAATCAAAAATTTTTTCCATTTGGATTACTGTATTTATGGGGTGTCAAAATATAAAGATTTAAAAGTGTGAAAATCCAAAATCCAAGAAGTAATAGTAGAAAGAAGATAAACAAGTGTTCGGAAATAAAAGACAAATCAAAATAAAGATTTGGAAAAATATATCAAAAGTATATTACTGTAATTTTAATTTGGATTACTAACCTTAAATACATTACAAATGAGGACAAAATTTGAGGGGAAAAATAATTAATATAATTAGCATAGAAATTTAAACACATTATTTTAATTTTTAATTCTTTTTTTTTTAAATTAAATTTTTTCTAATTTTCCAGAACAGTGACATTTCAATAATTCTTTCTTTAAAAAAGTTTAAAAAGAAAAAGAAAGGCGGCAATCTTTTAAAAAAAGAAAAATTTTGTAGAAGCTAAAAAGTGCCGCGATGATTGATGTTTTTAAGCTATTTTAAAACATATTTTTTTATTGACCTAAAAAGTAAAAAAACAAAGCCTATCTTTAAATAAAATAATTACAGATTTTTATAAGATTTTGAAATTTATGGTGAAATAAAATAATTAAATATTAATAGTTTTTGAAACGATTTTAAAACAGTCTAAACTCTTAATCGAGAGATAACTTAATTTTGGGGTATCTAAAAATTAGGTTTATAAAATAAAATAATTAACCATTAAATATTCAAAATTATTTTTAAAAATCCAAAAAATAATTATTTTTCATAAAATTCTTTGTCAAATACCGACTACTATTTAATTGGTTTGAACAGAAAAATAAAGGTTAGATTAATGCCAGAAGCCTTGGCTTTGAAAAAAGGATAAGCGAACGGATGGATGAGTGGAAATGAATATAATAAAAAATTAAAAAAAAAGAAAAACCGACTCAAATAAATAATTTTAAAAATAACCGGAAGTTGGGGAGAATAATTAATTTAAGAAAAACCTACCGATATTTGGGAGGGAATTTATTCTTTTAAAAATTGTGAGAAATAAAAAAATAATAAATTTAATTAAAATTGTTGAAAATTGTGAAGTAAAAAAATTAAAAATAAACATTTAAAATTAATTAATAAATAACTAAAATTAAATAAGAATTAAATTATAATTTAAATAAATTAATTAACAAATTTAAAAATTAAAAATTAAAAGAGGATAGTGGACAAAGCAGAACACACAAGTGTGAAAAAGGAGGGAAAGGGATGTTTGCAAATTTAGGATAAAGAAGGAGAGAGAATGGACCGCCCCTAAGGGAAGAGGCGTTTCTTTGAAAAAATTGCAACAATTTTTAATAAAATTTTTTGTTTTATTTGTCACTTTGCATTACAAAGATTGAAAAATAAATTAAAATTAAAACGCTGGGTAATTATTGTTTCGACCTTCCGCTGGAGGAGTAATTAATTAAGCTAGGGTAATTATATGAGGTTTGAAATTTGGACATGTTTAATGATGGGGGAATTATTGCTTGCTGGAGGAGGTAATTAATAGGGGGATTATTTGAGGGAGGGCAATTAATACACCTACTTGTGTGTTATTATATTGAAGGGCGTGATAAATATAAGAAAGAGGGAGGGATAAAAAAATTTTTACGACAAGATAATTTATAAAAATTGAATTTAAAAAACCTTCAATTTTTATTTAAATTTAAAGGGATTCCCAACTATTTATTTAATATATAATTTAATTTCTTATCAGTCTGGTAAAAACAATTTAATTTTCCGATTTTCCCACGGTAATATAAAGAAAATTTTGTCAAAAATGTTTTTGTTTTTCCTCAATATTTTTAGGCCCTATTCTAAAAATCAAGTGTGTTTGTACATATTTCTTGTGTGAATAAAAGTCAAAAAGCATCAACCGCCCCAAACATATTTTCGCACAAAAATATTTTTAGGAAAAGAAAAATAAATAAATAAAAAGAAAAAAAGTCATTAGAGCATTGCTGATCAAATATTCGGAAATTGGTAAAAATATGGCAAATAAATAAATAAATATATTTTATGCAAAAAATATAAATATTGCTGTCAACTAAAAAAAGAAAAAGTAAATGGATCAATTCAAGCTTTAACAAAAATATGCAACCATGACAAAGAAATAAAAAAATATTTTTAAAGAAAAAGTTATTTTTATGATCCATAAAGTGCCAAATAAAATAAAAAGAATTTTTTTGCTATCCAAGAAATTCAAAGAAATTAAAAAATTATTTAATAAAAAAATTTTAATTTTAAAATAATAATTTTAATTTTTGAATAAAATAATTGTAATTTATATCTCGTTTACTCTAAACAGAACAGAAAGGATGGAAGCAGATCTCGAAAGTTCATACAAAAATTGTAGTAAAAATTTTTGCGGAGGACATTTAGAGAGGAATAGGATCCAGAAAAGTTAATCTAATTAATGATTTTCAGAATGAGACTTGGATAATAATACCTAATTTATTGTTTAATTATTTTTATAAATTTTAGAGAAAATTTTTTAGGAGAAAAATAAATTTTAAGAGCTTTTGACTTGTAAAATAAGCCCATTTCTAATATAAATCTTAGTGAAACATTTTTAGATTGTATCCACATATTTAGAATTATTTTTACAGTAAATTACCCTAACAAACAAAATTTCTCGCTACTATTAATTAGTTAGAATTTTGAAAAGGTAAAAATTTATTTTTGTGAAGGTGCGCAAAAATCATCAAAATAATTTTGGAGTAATTGAAAGAATTATTCGCGATAACTACAAATTGCTTTTTATTGGAAGTGAGAAAAATACAAAAAAAAATAAAAAATCATCGAGAGAAAGAGGAAAGCTCTAAATAAAAATAATTTCATTTATTTAACAACCGAAGCGAAGAAAAAAAGAGAGAGGACTTTCTAGTAATTTACAAATGTGTCAAAAATGTCCTTTTCATCCACAATCGTTCATTATTTTGTTAATATTATGGAGAACTGGCGGAAAAAGGGCTTTAAAATATGCTATAAAAATTTTGTTTGGAAAATGTTGGGAGATTCTTTTGAGTTGAAAAAGCAATTTTAGACAATGAATTATTTTTTTAATTTAAAATTGGAAAAATGAACTTTGACAAATTAAGAAAAATATGTTTAAAGACTAAATCAAAACTCTTTTCTGATTTTTTAAAATTAATTACAGATGTCTCCCGAATTTATTTGTATTTTAATCCCTTCTAAAAATATAAATCTTCTTCTCTTAGCTAAAAACTTTTAAAACAATGAAAATTTATGACATATTTTACTTCTTTTCTCTTAAAATATTTTTACTCATAAAACTTCACTTAAATTAATTCGCTTAAATACTTATTCCAACTTCAAACTTAAGAAAAACATCAATTTTGGTTTTATATCTATGCTAAATTTTTCCTGTATTTATTTCAAAAATAAGATGAAAACTAAAAATAAAAATTGCCTTAATTTTCAACAATTCTCTCAATTTCATAGAATAAAATAAAAATTTAATTAACTATAATATTATTTTCTTTTTTATAAAAATACACAAGTCAAAATTTTCTTTTTATTTCCAAATTTTTTTTGGGTAAAAGTGCATTCATCCATTTTTGGAGTAGTTTGCGCGCCTAACTACTAAATTGGAAAAATTCCATTACTGCCAAAAACAGAAATTTATGGAAGGCAAAACCATCCAATTTTGAGAATTCAATTTAGTTAATTCAAATTTTATTTTGACAAAATCATTGGACAGATAAAATTATTTGCAAACTTAAAATAATATCCTAAATTGAATTTGTGAAGATAAAAAAATTGGTAAAATTCAAAATATTTGACAAAAGATTTTTTAACGAGTAATTATGTTTGACAAATAATTTTCATAACTTGCAAAGGAAACAATCCAACACAAAAAAACTTTCAACATAAAGTAAAATACAAACAAAAAAGGAGGTTAATAATTTAATAAAGTTAAAAAAAAGTTTTGAATCAAAAATCTTTGCGAGTATATTAACTAGTCTCAACCTATCACAAATGCCGGGAATTTCCTCCCATCATTAGGTGTTGAAGTAAACATTGGCGAACCAATTGGAGAATCAAGCCGAAGCTTCCTTTTAGCACTTTTAGTAATCCCAATGTTATTTGGAGTTTTGTTGTTTTGATGAGAAGGTTTGAGTAGTAAATGCTGTTTTGTACCATGAGGGCGCCAAGGCTTTGAAGCAGCCTTAAAATACAGACAAGGTTATTTTACAATAGGATAATGGAAGAACGCATCTATACTTATTGTCAGATCACCTCACAATAAATTGTTTAATATTTTCCCCAACAAATGCTATATACTAGTACATATTAAAAATCTTACCAAAAGATTAACGGGCACTTGCTTATTCTTTCCAAATACAGACATAGCTGGAGATGCACCATTGACAACCTTCATCGCAGGACGCTTCTTTGCAATTGGAACTCTTTCGAAATTTTGTATTTTTGGTATAAACTTTCTTCGAACAGTAACTCTCTCCGGACAGTTTGTTTGAGATGGTGTAAATTGAGGATTAGCCACACTAATTTGATTGTTTGCCTGAAATAAGAAATATTTTTAAAATAAAAAATTCAAAATATCCCAAGAGTTCGAATACGAAAAATTAATTTTTGAGTAACTACCATCCAAAAGAAAGGAGTAAATAATGATTTACAAAGCAAGGGATTTTTACATGAATATTCAATAAAAGCTTACGTCTGTTGAAGTGAGCGGCGACCTAATCAAATTTCGATCATTCTCCTCGTTATTCATTTGCGCTTGCCGCATATCCAAAGGTTGAGATGGAACATTTATTGATTCTTTCAGTTGGAACATTTCTAATTTCAGTTTCTCAATTTCTTTGTTTTTATCTTCAATTTCCTTGTTTTTGCCCTCAATCTCCTTATTTTTCGTCTCAAGCTCTTTGCACTTTTTCTCGATCTCTTTGTCCTTCTCCTCAATCTTCTTCACTTTTTCATCGATAGTCTTGACTTTTTCAGTGATTTCTTTATTCTTTTTATCAATCTCCTTGCCTTTTCTTTGATTCTCTAGTCGTTCCTTTTCAAGCAGTTCACCAAGTTCTTTAGTTTGGTCCTTCATTGTCTTCATTTGCCTAAAAATGTAAATAAATGTAACACTAAAAATTTGAATTTGGAGTGAGAGTGTCAAGCCTAGTGCCAATCGAAATTTTCAAGAATTCCTAGCTTTTCTTCAAAAAATCCAAGTTTTAACAGAAGGCTGTATTTTCATTAGTTTTATAACAGAAATTCGAGACAAACCTCAAAAGCAAGTTTTTTTCTCCATGTTGATTCTCAAGAATACCTTTCAAGTCTTTAAATTGTTCATTAATTCTCAAATTATTTGCTGCTGCATTAGCAATCTTTTCAATCTAAAAATCAAATAAAATTTTAAAAGAAATTTAAAATAACTATTTGATGAAATTCAAAGTCTTGAATTTCAGTTTCTTCAAAATGATGATCTGACAAGCTCGCCACCCTGTCAAGCTCAATTGAAAGTTGCTGCTCTTCAAGTTGTTGATCAGAAAGCCTCGTCACCTTGTCATACTCAACAGAAAGTTGTTCACCTTCGAGTTGTTGATCCGACAATCTTGCCTCTCTGTCCGGTTCATCAGAAAGTCGTTGATCTACTGACGATCTTGCCGCCCGACCAGGTTCAGTGGAAAGACAAGCAACGTTTTCCACAGAACTCGTCCTTACGCACTTCGGACAATTTTTAGCTTCCTAAAAATAACAAATAGTAAGGAAAGAAAAGAAACAAACTCTGATCCACTTAATTATGCATTCATTGTGATATAAATGGCCGCAACAACAGCCAACGCCGGACATTGAGAATTAAGATTTGTATGTACACGCAAACAAGAATGGATGCTTCTAGTATTTCAATTAAAATAATAATTAAGGCTGATCCAGCTCCGGAGACCTAATTAAAGTAAAAATATAAACATTGAAAAAAGTATATGAAACAGTAGTTCAAAAATATTAATTGGTGTTCAAAAACTAAAACCTGATCAAAACAAAAATATTTATGTTAGTAAATTATTTTATAAAAAAGATTAATTAATGAAGCAATAATTATATTTATATATTTCGACAATGATTATATTTCGTCTTCCTTACTCTTACTATCTTCTTGTTCTATATTGTTGACTGTCACTGATCTTTGATTGCCTATTGCAGTTGGAATAGAATCAGTTCTTGGACTGTTATTTTTCGAATCCGACGAGGAATTGATAACATTAGGATCAACATCTTCAAAGTCTTCGTTATTTTCTTCGTCTTTTGCATTTATTTCTTCTTCACTCTCTTCTTGATCCTCCTCTTCCTCATCTCGTTCATCCTCTTCTAGATTCCCTTCTTGTTTCTCTTCACTTGAATGCCCTTCAGTCATCGTTGATCCGCTCTTTTTATTTGCCAACATTTTCTTAAAATGCATTTCAGCATCAACACTGCCTGCATTCGTTTGAGGTGCTGAACTGTCTCCAGATTTGTTTGAATGATTGGAAGCTGGCCTTGCTAAATGAATAAAATTTTAAAAAGTAGGTAGTCTAGCAAGAATTTCTTACGTATCTCCTTAGTGAGCAATGAACTGAAAAAATTTGCCAACATTGTATTATTACTATCACCTCCACCAGCTTGACCTCCAGCAGTTCCCTTTCCTCCTTGTCTAGGCGATTGCTGACCGCCAGTGCGCGGTTGCCCAGGATTAGAAGAATCAAATGCTGTCATCGACGCTAATCTATTCAAAAATACTTGCTCATCTTCAGCTTCAATTTCTTTCTCGCCAAAATTTTTGTTAGTGAATGATAAAAGAGTATCGTTTTGTTGGGCGAGAAGAGGAACTTGACCGGAGCCATAACCAAGCGATTCTTTGACAATTGAAAGTTTTTGTTCAGAGTCCCAACCCTTAAAATATAAAAATATGAACTGATCTGTAGTTTAAATAATTTATACCGTCGGTACAAAAATGCTATCCTTTTCGACAATATAAGCAGGTGTAGTAAATGGAAGAGCATATATTCGATGGCCAATGTATTTTAAGAGCATTTGTGTATTTAAATCTTCCTTTGCAGATGTATAAAACTAAAATGAAAATATTAATTTCAACAAAAAGAAAAAATACGAGAGCAGCTCCATGTCTCAAACAAAATTGTCGAACATGATATTGCACTTTATCAAGCTGTTCAGTACTAAATTCTGTGTGCAAATCGCTCTTGGTGATAACAACAAAAAGAGTAGCACCACAGTTCTCTTCGAGAATTCCTTTTTCTGGAGGTAATAAAAGTGGAGAAGATGGACGTTGATCGCCAACCATAGACCCAATATTAGAAGACGGGCCTAAAATAGAAATAAAAATACAAATGTTAAAGATTGTTACCGTCCACTAAGGTAGCAGTAGAATGCAAAGAACTCTCAATTGGCTCAACATATTCTTGCCAAAAGCGAATTTCTGGAATTTTAATTGAGAATTAATTAAACAAATATAAACATACGCATTTGTTGAGCTTGGAAAATTTCATCCGCCGAGTAATGTTGCCTTATCTGCTCATCAAGTAGTCTATACCAGCGCCTAAGAGTTGGCAAAACATTTCCAGGTTGTTCAAGAGATGCACACAAAATAACTACACATTTGGCTAGCGAAGGGGGAAAAGCAAATTTTAACATAGGCGCCATTTCCTCACGTCCATCAAGAATCCAAACAGGAAGGGTTGCTGACTCAGTTGGACCAAGTAGACCGTTAGCACCACCACCTTAAAATTTCATAAAGTAAATTTTTTAAAAACGGCATTACTACGACCTAGTCCCAATTAAAATTCTAATATAAAAAAATAAAAATACCAAGTTGATAAACATAACTCGCACTAGCATCAGCATGAATTTGAAGATAGTTGTACTCTAGGACAGAATTCATTGGTTTACGTGTACCGCCCATTAAACGAGACATTAGGGATGATTTACCAGAACGTTCATTTCCTTAAAATTTAAAACATATAAAATATTAACAAAAACAAACCCAAAATTATTAAACTACTACGCACAGCATTGTTATTTTTATTGCTAACTTCTTGAAGTATTTTTAGCCAAAGTTCGTCGCCGTCGTCTGATTGACTAGAAGGAATGGTGTTCGGTCTTTCAGTATTAGGAGGTAATCCATCCAAATAATTAGTTCCCATACCAGTTATCATAAAAAAGTTTAAATGTTACAAAATCTGAAAATTTAAAAGTTTTATATGTGTTATTCAAAAAAATATAAAGTCATTCAAGAAAACAAAAAATATGCAAATAAACCAAACGCTGAATTCCTCGAAAAAATAAAAAAAAACAAAAGAATGAAAAATTGGCATTTTGTAAATTGACGTTTTGTCATTTTACAATTCGAGCTCTCCACTATAGTTTAAATGTTAATTCGAAACTTGTTGAATTGTAAAAATTACGAAATGGTTGCGAAAAAATGTTCTAAATTTTTAATTTATGGGGGAAAGCGAGACGTTCGAATGTTTGTGTATTTTGTTCGTTGTATTGATTAGTAAGCATTTTTTGTAAAATTCACATGGTATTAAAAGCTAAAGAATAATTTCCTATACACTTTTTTAGAATTAGCTATGAATAATTAGAAAGCATTGATAAAATAAAAGTAAAATTAGAGCAGACAGAAAGTAGACTAGTTTATTTTTTAAAAATATGGTTTTCAATTAAATTATTTTTTTTGTAAAAATTTTTCAATTTTTATCTCATTGATTTTTTGTTTAATTTACACATTGTTCCATTCTTTTGTCCACCGGCATATTAGCCATGACTGTGTAGCTAATTGTAAGTTAATAATTGTCTTCAGAATTTATCTGTCTCACGTAAATATTGTTGGGTTTTTTCTTTTATTTTGATCACCTCCATTCGATATGTAAGCATTTCTAATCGAAAATGTCCAACTCAACGCGTCAAAAAATATTTTCTCGAACATGTAAATCTTACTATATTTTTTCCAGCCCCTTCAAAATTTGTATACTCCCATTAACGATTTCTAATTTTTTGTTTATTTGCATGTATATCGAATTTTCCTATTCTGAAGAACATCCTTTGATTTAGTAAAAGATAATTTTTTATTTTAGATTAGATATTTAGTCATTGAAAAGTAGAGGGCTGTATAGGAGACTTGACAACATATTTTGTAATGAGGGAAGAATCGGAAAAAACTAGTGACCAGTTGCATTCTCACGACGAGGTAATTTTTGTAATTTAGCATTACCTTTATTTTTTTATGTTTAAGGACGCAAACAGGAATGACCAAGATCAAGAAGACGATGAGGTTTAAAAATTAGTATAATTCATTTTAGTTTTTAGATACTCGAGGAGTCTCCATGCAAAAGGTGGTCAAAGCGCTGTGAAAAAGTGAAGCAGCGCGATGTTCCTGGGATTGACGCATCGTACTTGGCGATGGACAACGAAACGGGAAATGAAGTAGTCTGGAATGAAGTACTATTCTCCGAACGTAAAAATTTTCGTGATCAAGAGGTTATTTTTTTCTTAACTTAACAATACCCTGGAAGCTATTTAGGTTCTATGACTTTACTGATAGTTATTTCCTGCCTTAAGATTAAGATTAACTATTAAAATAAAAAATTTTTTCCAGGAGAAGATTAGAGCTGTTTTTGATCATTTGACTCGTCTTGACCATCCAAATCTTGTGAAATTTCACAAATATTGGGTTGACACTAAATCGAATAAACCGAGGGTATTTTTTTAAATTAAACTAATTCGATTATTAATTATGTGAACAAAGTTTATTTCCTTAAAAATTTGTCGGGAACAGGCCCGTAGCCAAAATTTAATTTTTTGTCCCCTTCTTTGACAAAAATTTGGCGCTAAAAGTAATTTCCTCTGATGCCACCCCCTTCCTTAAAAATTTTTCTTTGTTACGGGGCTGGTCTGGATCATGAAAACTTTGGGTTTTTCCTGTAATCAGATTTTCTGCCAAAATTTCCATTGTAGAATATTATAAAATTCCATATCTTTATATGAAATAAAATTCCGTATTTTTTCTTTTAGATAATTTTTATAACTGAGTATATGTCTTCTGGTTCAATGTCTCGTTTCTTACAGAGAGCTCGTTCTTCAGGCACATTGTTAAACATTAAAGTATTAAATTTTATTGGTCTTTTATCTTAATTTTTTGTCCAAGGCTTGGAAGAACTGGAACCGCCAAATTCTCTCTGCTCTTTCTTATCTACATTCTTGTGATCCACCAATTGTGCATGCGAATTTGACTTGCAATACAATTTTTATTCAACAGAATGGCCTTGTCAAAATTGGTTGTGGTATGTATACTTGAAAAAAAGAGTTTAATAATTTTTTAGTTGCTCCGAATACAATTCAACATCATGTCAAGACTTTCCGGGAAAATATCAAAAATATTCATTATATGGCTCCAGAATATGATCGTGAGTGATAATTCTTACACTTAATTTGCCAATGTAATTTTTAAAAGATATGACTGAAGCAACAACTCAGGCAGACATTTACTCGTTTGGCGTTTGCGCTTTGGAGGTTTTTATAAAATATTTTGATAGTCAATACGTTGTTCTATTTAGATGGCAACAACTGGAGCTTTGCTCAGTGGGTCGTTAAATGGTGGCGGCGAAAAGGAAAAGCTCGCTAATTCAGCTGATGCTATTACGCCGACAGTATCTTCATCTGCTGGCTGTGGTGGTTTTCATCTAGTGACTGAGGAATTGCTGAGAAAAGGAATCGATTTACTCGAGGATCTGGAGCAAAAGGCTAGGAACTTGAAATAAACAAAAGTGCAATATTGCTAGTTAGTCTCCGTTATCTCTTTGGGGTACCAGGTATAATATGGATTAATTGGGTTGTTTAATTGGAATTGATGCGTGACCAACTCTGCCTGTTTATTATGCTCATATGTTTCTCATGGCCACGCATGAGTCCATTTGATTACCTATTCCTTCCCTCTTAAAGGTGACAACATAGAGAATATGTGGGCATATTTTCAAATTATTTTAAAATCTTCCATCTATATTTTTAAGCATTATATTTTTTAGGACTTTATTGAGCGTTGTCTTGAACATGATCCGATTCGTCGAGCAAATGTTGAGGAGTTGCTTAGTCGACTGGGACTTCCTGAACCTGATAAACAAGATGAGACCAGTCTGGATGAGGATGGCTTTTTAGATGATCAACGAAATCAAGATACTGCTCATTCATCTCTTGAACCAACTCCTGTTGTAATTCCAGAAAGGGCAGTTTCTTCCCCACCGCAAGAACCAGCACCAAATATTGACAGATATAAAGCAATACCACCGGCAGCAAATACTCATAAACAAACTGCTGCAAATATTGCTTCAAATACTAAACAAGACGGGTATTCTTTTAAATAATTTAAGGCGGGTACATTTTGATTACTTATATTAATTGTTTGCTTTTTATTGTTTGATTGGTGTTTAAATTTACGTCAAATCCCTTAATAGTCCTTATTTTTACTTATTTTTAGGTATAACATTCACTTTACAACAATTACGCCAATAACTACGACAACAAACTCAACAGCTGTTTCTGCAGCTGAGGCCGTTGTTTTGACCACTGCTGCTACATCGACAGTTACGACAAATGCGTTGCTTAATCCACAGAATACTTCTATACAAGATGAGGGTTATCACACAAATCAAAGCATTGGTGAAGCACCTGGACAAAGTTTGGCTTTTTTGAATTGAATTCTTTTCGTACCTAAAATCCTTAAATTTATAAATGTTCTTTATTTAGAAATATTTTTAGAATATTGCGATATTTTTAAAATGTTCAATTATTTCAGCTAATGATACTTCAATATCTGAAAAATCATCTGTTTCTCAACATCAACAACATCAGGAAACTCGCCTAATTACACAAATGCATGCTGAAATATTGGAACAAGGCGGGTATCATTTGCGTATTCAACTTCAGTTGGACGATCAAATGAATAGACAATTGACTGCACCACTTAAGGAAGAGGACACGGCTGAGACATTATCGGAAGAATTGGTTCAGCATGGATTTGTTTCTGAAGTAATGGTTTTATTATATTTTTAAATAGGTATTCGATTAGAATTTGAGTTAAATGGGTCCCTTTGTTATAGGGAAAATGATAATTTTAGCCAAATTTTTACGATTTTTATGTTTGATGACATGGATGTTACATACCAATTCTCAAAAATCGAGGGTGGAAGTAAATAGAATTAGGACAGAGTTAAGCGAGATTTCCACTTGTACTATTCTTTTCGCTTGAGAATATATTATAAGCTTGTTAACTCTGGATTTTAGTAAAAACTATATGCTCAATTTTAGAGTAATTCCTTGAAAGTGCGAGAACTTTTGGACTCAATTATCAGTGAATATCGATCTAGGAAATTGAAAAAAGCTGAGCGTTGAATGTATGGGATATAATATATATGTACTTTTTCGTTATTTCTATTGACCTTTTACCCAATCATAATTGCAAGGACGTAATCAGGAGTCGAATTTCTGAGGCTATAATAGGGGATACGCTAAAATTTCGGCATTTATTTTGTCGTTCTGACCCTGGATGCGCCCTTGCATAATTGTAATTGGTACCAGCCCTTATGTTGAATTTTTACATTTTTAAATAAATAAAAATTCAAAACTCGCTTATATACATATTTAAATATATTTATTTTTTTTGCCCGTAAATTTCCGCCCATAAATTTCCGTCACTAAAATTATCCAAAAATTCATTTCACACAAAAGCACAAACTAGTGCTAGTGGCGATAATTTGAGGGATGTCTCCGACAGTGATGTCCCTCTATTATTTCCACTTTTCCCATGCTTCTCAAACTTCCTTTCCTTTTTATGCTTTTATTTTTAAACAATTTTCCTTTAAAAAGATTTGTGCTTTAAAAAAAGATTTTTTTACAATTAAAATGTTTGTTTTTCTTGAAGTATAGTTTTTACATTAGACAAAAAATTGTAACTTTCTGTTAATAATCCTTTATATAAGGGGAACTTGATATAAAAGTATACCCATCCCATAAATATTTTATTAATCATTCTAAAAATGCAGTAAATAAATAAATATAGTAACAATTATTTGGTTGCCTAGGAGAAAACTGAGCTATATTTTTTTATATTTTTAGACAATAGAAATAATTGTTGAATTATTTTATAAAATTCTATAAAAATAAGTACATATGTACATATTTCTTTGTAAAATTTAAAAAGGGCCTAGTATGACAAACCGCTGCAAGGGCTGTCAATTTTTATATTATTTTATCGACTGAAACGGAGTCGTCTCACTAACAACAAAAAAGGAAAAAGAAAATAATATTTTTTTGTTATTCCTATAATTTTTATAAATTAACTTCCTTTTTTGAAACAATTTTTAATGGCTGATGATGAAGACTTTTTAAGTGAAATGCGTGGAAATGCTGATCGTCTTTCTGATTGTTTAAGTTCACTCCTTCATCGAATAGAGCAATTAGAAACACAAAAAATTATTAAAAATATTGAAATTAATTCAAATCATAATGAAGAAATATTATCATCACCTACAACAATTACGGATAAATTGGTTTTAAATTAAAAATTATAATTTGGAGAAATCGAAAATTAGAGGCGAATTTAAATAATTTAGTTTATGAGAGGAATTCTATTTATAAGAATTACTGTCAGGCCTTAAGGTTAAATTAATTCTGAGTTAAAAAATTAAAACTGAACTTAAGTGTTAATACACAAGTAATCTATCTAGCCGACATAAAAATTAAATTCCCGATCTTCGGGAATCGGATCGGCTAGAACCCTGGTATACACATTACTAACTACCGCACAGTGGCTAACTAAATTTAGGAAAATGTATCTCAAATTAAGGTTATTTAATAGTAAGTACAAATACTATGTAAAATGAGGTCCGATTGTATAAATATTAAGGCGGTATTTAATAATTTATTACATGGTATTAAAAATAAAAATATTTAATTAGTAGGAGAATAAGAGTTAAAAAATAGGTATGGTAATTCTAATCTGTTAAAAATCTTTTCTCGGATGTAGTAATAAAATTCGTCTAGATTAAATTAAGTCTTTAATTTTTTTAAAGACTTAATTTTTAACTTTTTAGTTAAATGGGAAAGGAAAATTTTATGATAGTCAATTAACCTCTCGTCGTGAATACCTCAGTGTCGATCCATTTTCTGGTCAACGCAAATTAGTTACTATAACTGAACGTCCATTGCCTAGTGGCCCTTTACGCGCCCAATCACCCACACAATTAAATAGTCCGGAAACGGAGCAATTAATTCAAAATAAAAAACATTTATTGGCTAGTGCTTATGAATCTAGAATTGTTGAAATACAACCAAATTTACTAGAAGGATTAGAAGTAGAACAAATTTGTGGTAATTTTTGATTTAAAATAAATCATTTAAAATATTAGACCTAACTTTTGGATAGCTCCTGACCTAATCGATACTTTTATTTAAGATAAACCTTATCTCTATCCCTCATTATGCTACTTATCCCTTAATCACCCTTATTCAATAAAGAACTCCTTCAATCGGAGGATATCATGGATATCATTCCCCTTCTATAAAACAAATCCACTTATATCTAACGCCACAATCCCCATATACCTCCTTAATCCTCGAAAAATTTTCGGTTCGGTTAACCGAAAACTTCGTTTCGGTCTGTCGATTCGGTTTCTGCTAACCGAAAAATTTGGTGAAACTGACAACCCTACGCATAAGATGAAAATTTTCCATCTTTAGGCGTACTATTTTATATTGAGTTTACTGTTTCATTGATTAATTAATCTTTTAAAATATTTAAATTCTGGTTAAATAATTATCTGATAATAGATAGTATTTTTAGGTCAATTTGTAGCTGTTAAAGTAACTCCAGAATTAACAAAATTTATTAGACCAGGAGATACACTTGTTGAGGTAATTTTAATTAAATTGTTAGGAAAATCAAAAAATTTATTTTTTAGTTAGATGGACAGCCATTTATTAATAAAAAACAAATTTATCAACCTAAAGGAGCTGTTCAAATAAAATTAGTTTTGTCTGATTTGTATTCGGCTCCAATGGTTTTTAAAAATTCAATTTAACAAAAATTAATTTTTTAAAGGAATTTTGTCGAGTTTTAGATGATTATAAAGCTAATATTATTTCTGAAAATATAAATCAAAATTTATTGCCATATTTATCTTTTTCCCTACAACGTGGGGATATACTTCAAATTCTCTCAAAAAATGAAAATTATTTTCAAGTAATTACAAAAAAATATATTTTTAAGAAAAAATTAACATTAATGATTACTGATACTTTTGGCCCCTTCAGAAAATTTTGGAAAGATCAAGGGAGATATCCGAGAGAGACATATTAAGGAAGATATACGTTTCTCAAAATAAATTTCATCTCCCTTGATATCAGCGGTGGATATTGCCAAAAATGGTTGGGGATATAAACGTTCAGGATATAACCTAAAAATTATTTGAATACGGTCATTAGAACTCAGTAACTGTAGAAATGCCTGATAAATTCAAAATATACTTACTATATAATTTTTAAAAATTTAATCCCCTCTTTTCCAAAAAAGGCCAGAAAAGTTAATGATTTATCTACTTCTGGCTTTGTCCCAAACAATATTCGAACTCGCCCTGTGGCAATGTTATGCCCTTATGGAAGAAGAGTTATTGCATTAATTGGTGCTAATGGGGTTGGAAGAAGAACATTAAAGAAAATGTTAATTGAATATAGACCTTATGAATTTGCTGGGGTTGTTCCAAGTATTTTATTTAGAAAAATCTTTATTTTTTAAATAAAAAAAGTTACTTCACGAGCACCAAAACAAGGAGAGCAACATGGGAGAGAATACTTTTTTGAACGAAAGGAGGACGTTTTACAATTAATTCGTGATAGACAAATGATTGAATGGGGGGAATATAATGGTAATAAAAAATAAATTCGGGGCTCATAAAATACCCCTTAGGGTTAGAAAAATTGCATCTTATAATGAGGTATAAATCAATGCTGGGTATGGCTCCTGGAGCTAGCTCCGGAACTATGATTTTAAAATCCACGGAGCCGGAGCCAAGAGTTTAAAAACCCCGGAGCTGGAGCAAAATTTAAAAAGAATCGGAGTCTGAGCCACAAAATACCCAATACCCAAAATTAGCGTACACCCCGAATCTCTTCTCAAGGACTGACTGTTATATAAAATTATATTATTGTAGACCAACTTTATGGGACCACAGCAGAATCTGTCCGTCAAGTTATCCGTTCTGGACGTGTTTGTGTTTTGGATTGTTCACCAAAAGCAATATCTAGTTTATATAATTCTGAGTATTTTTATTTATTTTCTGAATAAAAAATATTTCTTTTATAAAAGATTTATGCCATTTATTGTCGTTGTTGCCTCACCAGAATTAGACGAACTTATCCAATTAAATAAAGAACAAACAAATAATTTAGAAAAGTTAAAAAATATTTGTGAACAAAGTTGTAAATTTGTTAATGAAAATGAGTGGGCAAAACAAGCAGATTTACTATTAATTAACAGAAATAGAGATATTTCTTTAAGAAGGTTTAAAAATTGTTTAAAAAATTATTTTTAATTTTTTGCAGACTTTTGGATGCATTAGAATCATTAAAATCAGAATCTCAATGGATTCCTTTAGAATGGCTACAAACTAATTTCCAAGCCCCTCCTCAACAAACTACTAAAGTAACTAAAAGGAAATAATTTTGATCTCTTTCAATTTTGTAGAAATTTTAGTTTTAAAATATTTTTGATTACAAAATTTTGTATTTTTTAAAATATTTTTATTAAACCCTGAGAATAACTTCCCTTATATTTTCAAATTTAAAAGATCTCCTCCTTATTTTCTCTGTGTATCTCAAAAATAAATTTAATATTAATTTTATTTATAATTTTCAATAAATACTTACACTAAATAAACTTTATTTTTTATTAATTTAAATAAAATGTTGTGTAGGGGGGAATTGCTAACATTCATTAACCTTCTTTCTAGGTAGTCCGATCACATTTCCCTTTTAATATTCCCTTATATTCTGGGCATGGTTCCTGCACGACTTCGGCACTATATTTTGGAGAATATGGAAAATAAAATATAATTTTTAAGAAAAATACAAAATAATTCAATTTAATTATTAAAACACAAAAAATAAAAAAAACAAAAAAATTTCAAACCACTGACAAATTTAAAAAATAATTTTCAAAGTTTTTTTAGAATAAATTTAAAAAAATAGCAAAAATATATTCACGTGTATTTTATATTAAATTATTTAAAAATATTCAATTTTATTAGAAAGCAGAGTTGGTTCAAAATTTATCTTTGGAATATTAAAGCTTCTATCAACATTATAATCAAAATACACGTGAATATATTTTTGCCAAAAATGGAATATAATATTTAATAAAAAAAGATTTAAAAAAATAAATCAAAAATAAATTGCTTAAAAATACCCAAACTACAAAAATAATATTTTTAAAAAATAAACTACCGGGGCTTATTTAAAAAATAAAAAAATTTAATTTCTAAAAATTACCCAAATTAAGTATTCAAGAAAATATATAATTTTGTGTTTTGTATTATTTTTTGCAAAAATATACTGAAATTAATAAAAAAGAAAATCACATGAAAAATTTAAAGCAAAAATAATTATTTAAATAGTCATAAAAATATTAATTTAATTAATAAATTAAAGAATTAAAAATATTATTTATCCCTTTAATATAGAAAATATTCTCAAATATTTTTCATGAAAATTTTAATTAAAAAACTTTTTTTACCTTTTTAAAAATAATTTTTCTTTTAATTTATTTAGTAAAATCTTTTTATATTTATTTAACCACAAATGAAATACCAGCCCTATTCGATGTCCACTCAATGATGGGGTAGTGAAAAATAGAATCTTAGGACTACTATTAGTACATACCGTAAATATCCTAATATAAGCCCTGGGCTTATATTTTTCAATATCCCTATCGGGTGGCTTCTATTAGGGCATGGGCTTCTAATAGGGCTTCTAATAATTTTTAAATAATTTTTAGATAAATTAAATAAAAATGAAATTTTTGTTTTTCAATTTTTTTATTTTAATAATTGTTCTAATTAATATTGGAAATCCGTCATCAATTGTTTTGGCAAATAAGAAGAAAGTTAAGAAAGGCAATTTGATTTATGAACAAACTAGACAAAAACGCCAATTTGAAAAGGTTGAAGTAATGTTGAAGAAAGGAAAAATTGGAGGATTAAAAATAAATGATGGGCAATAAGATGAAGAATAATAAAAATAAAATAATGAGGATTTATAAAGAAAAATTAATTAAGAAAAAATTTAAAGAAGAAATTTGGGTTAAAATTATTTAAATTTGGGATTTAAATAAATATTTTGATTATTTTTAAAAAAATAAAATTACCTAAAATGATTTTAATTATAACCAAATGAACATATTTATAAGAGGATACGGCAAGGTAATTAGCGGGAAGAGTAGCAAGTTCCATTTGTTCTTTATTTTCTTCAACAAATATTTTTTAAAGTTGCCAAGGCAAAAATGGGAGCAAATCGAGTAAAAGATTTTTGTTTTTTTTTGTCTTCAACTTGGGTAAATCAATTTGGGCAAAATTCAATAATTAATAAATAGAGTTTATTTTTTCCTGATTTAAAATAAAAGGGAGTGTAGGGGAAATTGCTAATGGGCTTGATCAACCTTGAAGCCCTTCATAGGTAGACCAATTACACTTCTTTCCCAATATCCCTTTATATTATGGGTTGGAGAATATGGAAAAGTTTGTAGTTTTCATCTGAACTCAAATAATTTAAAAATCTAAATAAAAAATATTTTCTATTTTGAATAAAGCAATATGTAAAGCTTAACTGGGCCATAGCTATTTCTCCCTAATCTAATACAAAAAGTTATTTGGCGGCAGAGAGCGAACCAGCATTTTTAGGTGACCACGCCGCCTCATTCGTAGCGTTAGGAATTAAGGTTGGCGAATCCAGATATCCGAAGATTTCCAACCATCCGCCAACCTTATTAGGAATTAAACAGCTAGAAGCTTTACATACATATAAAAATACAATTTTTAAAAATAAAAAATAATTTCTATAATTAACAAAATAATTCTTCCTCTTCTTCATTTTCTGTTGTTTTGTCTTCATCTGGACTTGCAATTGTACAAACTTTTTTTAAATTTTCTTTTTCTACAAAATCATTTTTAATATTTAAATTAATTCCCCCATTTCTCCAATTTTTATTTTCTTCTTTTTTATTTTTTAATTTAAATTGTTTATTTAAAATTAATGAAGGATAATTATTATGCCATCCAGAATGTATTTCTGATGAAATTGAAGAATCTGAGAATGAACTTGATGAGAGCCGCTTTCTTTTCTTTTTAGGGGCTGAAATTGTTGTTCGATGCAAAATTCTTTTTAAAGTTGCCTAAAAATTTGAAAAAATATTGTTTTTGATTTTATAGTTAATTTTTGTTTACGAGTAAGCAATTTATAAACTTTTAGGCCTTAATAAAAAAAATTAGAATTTTTATCTAAGGTAATTTTTAAAGTTTGTTATTACAAAAATTAATTTGTTAAGATAGTAAAATGTCAAATAAAGTTGATTCTTTTATAGTCCTTAATATTTAATTTATATTAGGGTTTGACCCCGAACGCTCGGGGGCGGGTATGTCGGGGTACGGGGTTTTCGAATTGTTTCGGGGCGGGGTTCGGGTCGGGGGAGCAAAATATGGCCGGGGTTCGGGTCGGGGTACGGGGGTTTAGTGGAAAAATTTTTAGAGAAAAAAATGCTCAAAAATAATTAGAAATCGATATATTTTCGTTGATTTATTCAAAAATTAAGTAGGATTTGAAGAAATTAGAGGGGATTTGAAGGGATTAAAGTAAATAACTTGGGATATAAGTGGATCTGGAGGGATTAAGTGGAATTTTTAGGGATTAAATGGCATATCTAGGGATACAAGGTTATCTGGAGTGATTTTTGTTGGTTCAAGGGATATTAGTTATTTATAAAGATATTGATGTATTGCGGATTAGGATATTTGGACGGATATCAGGAGATATCTTCGATTAATCCTTAAATCTCCCACGAAATCCTTGTTAATTCCGTTAAATTCCCGTAATCCTTTCAAATTCAAATCCCATTAATCATTTCCTACGCCTGATATCAAATCCGCCGGTAAACTCCTAGCATTATAGCTGAGGAAATAAAGGGATTTTTGTATTAAGGACGGTTACTAAGGATACAGCGATTTGGAGAGATATAGAGGGTTAGGGATTTGAGGTGAGGGATTTGAGGTCAAATATTTTGAGAATTTGGAAGGCAACGAAGCCAAATTTAATCTTTTTTTTAGCGCCGCACATGAAAATTTTTGAAATTTTAACAATGAACAAAAATCTTTGCATTGTTTTTTATGGTTGATAATATTTAAAAATAAGATTAACATTTAAAATTAAAATTAAACTCTTCATTTTGTAAAGAAAAATCCAAAAACAAAGAGTTCAGCTTATTTGGATCCGAACCCAATACTAAATTAATGGAAATATAGGCTAAAACCAACAACTAAGCCACTCAACCACAAGTATCTTAACACAGCAGTAAAGAGAATTTTGATATTTCATTCATTTTTCTTTCAAAAATAATAAAAGTAAAGTAAATTGGGAGGAAATTTTTTAAATTTTTCTCTTAAAATTCTCCCAAAAATGGCATTTTTTGGGTATGTAAAACCCCGATAACCCCGAAACTTTTCGGGTCGGGGTACGGGGTTTTCACTTTTTTTCGGGGCGGGGTTCGAGTCGGGGAGAATCGTGAAAAAATCGTTCGGGAACGGGGTCGGGGTTCGGGGTACGGGGTCGGGGTCAAACCCTAATTTATATTATTCATTAAAATAAATCTAGTATATCGGATCTTATTTGCACGATATCCATCATAGACGAAAAAATCTATGTTAAAGTGTGATTGTCTTATTAGGATCTCGTACAATTAAGGTTCACTGCAGGGATCGAACCGAAAGAAAATCAAATTCACGATTTTCGTGAATCGTGAATTGGGTCGGCGCAATCCCTGGTTCACTATATAATTTTAAATTAATATTTATAAATAACTACTTACACGAGTGGCTATAAGCATTGGTTTATTACAAACACAATAAATTGGAAATCGAAGAGTGCTATAAAATAAAAAAATGTTTTTATATTTATTTTAACCAAACCTCGAAAGTAATGTCAAAATAGGAATAATATCGTTGGCATAAGAATAAATTGGACGAAACTCATCTTCAGTAAGTCTTTCGGGCGAAAATGTTTCAAAGAAGGTAACAGCAACTTGTAATACTTTAGACATTAAATACATTGAAACAACTGAAATTAGTGCTCGTGTTGCTGCTCTTAAATTCTTTTTTTGTGTTTGGTCTTCAATTTTATTAATATTCTGAAATTATTAAAATTGTTTAAAATTAATTTAAAAAATTATTAGAAATATTCTAAATTTGTAACCATGACACAATGTAACCATGACACAATTTAACACCATGACACAATCAGTCCTAATCAGATAGTCACTATTTTTTAGCTTGCGAGTAAGGTTGGCGGATCCTGGAAAATCTCCAAAATCTGAACTAATACTTGGACAGAAAATTTAGGGTATTCGGAGTTTTTTTGGTTTCGGATACCTGGAACACCAAACTTAGTTGCGAGGCATTTATTAACAAGAACCAGTTTCAAAAAAAGCGAACTCAGAAATCAACGAAGATAACACAAAACTTATTTCGTCTGTCACAGATTAATGTCCATCTGCTATTTACTTTCTTATTTAATTTTTCTTATTAAATCAAATTTTAATTAACCCAAAGTCTCAGTAAAAAAATAGTTAAACTTACAATTATTTTTTTATTTTTATTTCTTAGCCAACTCTTATTTTTCAAACTTTCTCTAATTGATCTAAAACTAGTATTATTATTAGCCTTTTCATATCCATTTAATATTAATGAATTTTGTTGAATATTATTATTACATAATAAACATGAAGAGCAAAAATTATTAGAATGTTGTGAGCAATTTTTGTTGAAATTATTTTGATTAATAACTCTTTTACTTTCTCTTCTTAATGCGCGAACAATGTGGAAATTTAAAATAACTAATATAAAGAATGGCAATATGTGATCAACCTTTTAATTTAAAAATTTTTCTAAATAAAAATAGGTAATTAATTACCAAATTTCGAATAACAAACATCATCCAAAATCTTTAAAAAATAAAATTAAGTTTCGAGTCAAATTTTGTTTTCGATATCCATAAAATTAAGGTAATTTTGAATTAAGGATAACTTTTTTGAAAAATTTTCTCGACAGCGATAACCACAGTTTAAGACACCTTATTATGAGATCTATTCTTCAATTCTAAGATAGGGTTTGATTATTATTGGTTTGGGTTTGATATAAGCAGAGGTCGATCGAAAATGAAAAAGGTGCCGGAAATCGGAACTGTCGGAACTCCAAAATTTTTCCAAAATTTCGGAAATTGAAAGGAAAAAACGTCGGAAATCCGAATTCCGATCGACTTCTGGATATAAGTACAAATAGGGTTTGATTGTACTTAATAGGATGTGCCAGTTTCGATTTTAAAATCACATTTTGGCACACCCCTGGTATTTACTACATATTATTTCCAAAAATTATTTTAAATTAAAATAATTTAATTTTACCTATAATTAGCAAAACCAAACAGCCTAAATAAAGGATTAGGATTATAAGCATGAACAGCAGAAATTACTTCAAATTGTTCAAATCTTTAAAAAAATATATTTAAATTTAAATATTCTAATTAATTAATTTACCCTTCACACTCTTTATTTTCAATTAATTCAATTTCAAAATAAGTACATAATTTATATGCAAAAGCTATTGAAATTACAAAAAGGGTAACTTGCCTTCTATTTCTTTCCAAAATCCTTTGAAATTTTTTCAAAATTATTTTTAAAAATTCAAAATTTCAGTTTACTTTCTAGCTTTTTTTATTTGTTTTCCCTCAAAGGTAAGCAATAATCTTTCTGTTGTTGCCAATAAAATCATCAAAACAGAAGCAAAAACGGCAAAATTTGAAAGTGTTAACATTGGACGTAAATATGAAACAAATAAATGATAAAGCCAAAGCAATTTAAATTTGTCCACTTTAAAAAAATAAAAAATTATAGAAAATTTCTATTTAAAAGTAGGATTCAATACCCGTCCCCAGAAGTACACAAAATTTTGTGTACTTTGAATTTTATAAAAATTCCCCGGGGAATTCCCCGTCCCCCTCAACCCTCGTTCCTCATAAGCCTTGCCCCCGCCCCGTAATATCGAACCCTATTTAAAAGTAGATCTGGTCAAAAAATTATTTTTTATACACAACTCTCTGCTAATATATTTTTAAATTAAGTAACTATAAGCAGGCACTGCCATTAATGCAATATAAAGCCATGCCAAAGCCAAATCTAAAATTGCCAAAACACCAAAATAAAAAAGTGGAGAGCGGCCAAGTTTTGGATTTAAAGCAAAAACTAAAACCTGAAGAAAAAATTTTTTTTAATAAATATTAAATAAATTACAAGAAAGGCATTAAGCAAAAAAGATATTAAAGCTAATCCACTAGCAAAAACACCAATCTGAAAAAATTTTAAAAATAAAAATAAAAAATAAATTAATTTACCAAAATAAATTTAACTTCAATATATTCTGTCCCCTTTAAATTAAATTAAAATTTTTAATTAATTTATTTTCCAGTGTAAGTACCTCATAATGACAATTACTTTGTTCTTCCATAATTAATGAAAGATTTTTATTATCATTGCTATAATTTTCAGAAATGTTTGATAAAATTTTTGTTTGATTAATTGTTGAGCTTTCCATTTTTATATGGAATTAATTATCTAAAAATATTTTTTAATCAAAATATATTTAAATAATAAACAATTCTAAACGTATATTAAATCACAACAAAGAAAAGATAAGAGGTTAATTAATTAGGAAGTAATTATTTAAATTAACAAATAAAAATAAAGAGTACATATGTATGTACATATATTTTTTATTTAAAAAATAAAAGAAAATTTTCTTTATAGAAATATTTTATTAAAAAAATATATTTAGTGTATAAGTGTAATTGGCAGCTTTACACAATTCCAAATTATTTAGAATTTTTTTTCGTTAGAAAAATAGATAATATAATTAAGAGTCTGTTTATTGTCAAATACAGAATTATTAATTGAAAAATAAAAAACGGAAGTGGAAGATGAATAAATAGAGGAGAGAGAGGGACGATGAATATGTATATTTTTAATAACAAAAAGAATAAATAAATTATTTAAATAAAAATAAATGTTTCGATTTTAATTTTTTTTGAAAAATTATTCATAAATACACTGATACAGCAATAATGTGCTGAAACAAATTTTAAAAAGCGAAAGACAGAAGTCGAAATGGCACACCCCTGCGATACAAGTAACAAACTTACCTAACAGGACAACTTTTTGAAGATGTTCGACTGTAATTTTTTGCCAACACTTGTAGAGGAACAACCCTTTGTCCTTAGGAAAATTATGGTAGAGAGAGGAAAGGAGTAGAATGCAGCAAAAATTCATTTTTGCAGAAAGTCATTTGCGGACATGTGGATCACGAGCTGGACATTTACCAAATGTGCCAAAGAATTTTAAATAAATCAGAACATGTTAATATATTGAATTTTTAAAATAATTATTTAAAAATTTAAAAATTAACAAAAAGAATATTTTTTTCAAATATTAAATTAATTTAATTTAAAAATTTAAATTATTTTTAAATTTAAATTGATTTAAAAATAAATAAATAATAAACAAACAAAAGGAATAGCTAAAAGGATTTAAGTTTTTTAATGAGTTTTGTCTCACATTTCTTTTCCTTTTTTTAAACTTTTTTTTGTAAAAGCCATCTTTGAGGGTTTATTTTCCCGTATATTTTGTGTGACGCTAATGAAAATAAAAAAATCTTTTTTTTAAACAAAAAACTAAATATTTTTTGGTTTTTAAAGAAAATGAGCTTTTTTAGAAGAAAGAAAAAAGGTAAAATTTACCATGCATTTTTGAGTAAAAAAACAAAAGAATTTATTAAATATAACTCTAAAATAAATTGACCAAAGCACAGAAGAAAAGTTTATTTTATTATTATTCTCTCACGACTAAAAAATTTTTTTGTCGGTTTTTGGTCTTTTTCTTTGTTTTTTAATTTACAAAATATTGTTTCAAGAAAAAGAGAAAATAGATACAAATTTACGTGGGTACGATAAGTGGTATTACGTAGGTTCTAAGGGGAGTGCAGAAACAGATTTTAAAAAAAAGCGAAAGACGAAAGTAAATTTAAAAATAGGGTTGGGGTTTTCAGTCGGGCAGACGTTCGAGTAATTTTTCGGACCACATTTTTATCGGGCCGGCCCACCGAGTCTTCTTTGGGCCAAAATTCAATGTCCGACTCGATCTTTCGGACCGGGCCGGATCGTGCCCCCAACCCTGTTTAAAAAGCGAAATATGAAAGGCGAAAAGCACATCCCTGGTATGTACTTGTACATATTTTTAATTAAAAATAAAAATATTAGTGAAGGGAATATCCTCTTAATTAAAACTTCTTCATCAGAATTAAAAGAGAATGAAAACAAAAAATAATTATTTTGTCAAAACTTTGAAAATTACTGACAATTTTTGTGTATATTTCTTAAAAAATTTTATTTTTAAATTAATTTACATAAATTTTTGCAGAGAAATAAATTAAATTAAAATAGCCAAAGGAATTTTTTCTAAATAAATATTCAAAGAACAGACTTAATGAATTTGTTTTTTAAATAAATTCTTTTGTTGAAAAGCTTCTCCTCTCGAAGAACATTAATGGATGCTTACTAAATTAATGAAAAAAAATAAAATAAAAAAACCTTTTTTGGAGAACTATGGGGCAATGGGACTTAAATTAACTCAAAAATATTTCTGGAAAAAAATATAAAATTATTTTAAAACTTATTTTGAAAGCAAAGGACGTTATTCTTTCACAGAATAAACGTGCCCTCTAACTGGTGGTCCTTTTAATTTCTTTCAAAAATTTTACTTCCTACTTTTGTCCTAAATATTTTGAAGTAACATTTACATAATTTAGAGACTTTGGAGCTAGTTGACAAATGATTTATAGACCAGACATTAATGAGGCTAAAATAAGCTAAGAAAATAAAAATGGAAGAAATATAAACGTGGGCGCTTGGAAATTATTTTATAAAAAAATTAAATAAATTTATTTATCTAATAAAATTAAATAAAGTTAATTTGCTAAATATGGCAAGTAATTCTAAAATAAAACTTAAAAGTTGTTGCTATAAATGACGAAAATTAATAACTGGCAATCCTTTTATTTGTTTCCATTTATATTCAAAATTGGTTAATATTTTGTTAAAATAATTTAATTAAAAAATAATAATTATTTTTTATAAAATTTGACGTAATAAATGAACAAATCTTTAAAAAATTAATCATACCCTATTAAAATTAAAAAAATTATTTTAGAGTAAAATTGAAGTTGAAGTGGAAATTCCGAAAATTCTACAATAACCAAAATAAAGATGAATTAATTTTTGAATACTTGTTTAAATTTGTTTTTAATCTATTAGCTATTAAATGTGAAATTTATAAAAATTTCTAATTAGAAACAAAAATTAAAAAAAATTAAAAGAAATCAGGACATTATAATTTTTGTAAAAATATTTTTTCATCATTTCTAATAAAAATTTAGATTTTATTATTTAAATATTTTATTGAATAAAAGTTAAAAATCCAAATTATACCCTCAGGAATAATTAACAAAATTAAAATAAAATATTAAAAAAATTAATAAGTAAATGTGGGAGTCTGTAGAATAATAAAGGAAAAAGTACCCAAAAAGGCTTTTTCACAAAAATATATATTAATAATTCAAAAATATTTTTGGGTATATTATTACGTAAAACGAAAAACGGAAAAAATTTTTTTTTGATTTATTAAAGTAAAATATATTTAAAATTATTATAGTAAAGTCATAATAATTTTATTTAGAATTATTTAAAAAATATTTTTAATTTAAATTTACTATTTTTATTAAAATTAAATAATTAAATTAATTATTTAAATATTTCTTTTATTTCCAAAAATTATTTATTAACAAAAATAATATCAAAAATTCGTGACAGAAACCTTTCAATTTCAACAAAAAATTTTTATTTTATTTCCAAAAATAGCAAAAACAAAAGACAGAGATCTAATTTAAATGTGTTTTAGTTTGCTCTGTTTTAGTTTGGTTCAGATCTTTTACAATTAAAAACACATTTAAAAAAAAAAGAATTCTGAAAAAAAAAGAAAATTTATTTAAATTAGTTGGGGACTAGAATTAATTGTGGTGGTCTTTGAAAGGGTTTTTTAAATAAAAAGAATTTGAAATTCAAAAAAAAAGTTGAGGAATGGATTTCTTTTAAATAAAAAACTTAAAAAATACATTTTATAAATTAAATTAATTTTTAATCGAATTATAATAAAAAATTAAATTTAATTTTCAAATGGAAATTAATACTAATAATTTTTGATAAAAAATTATTTAATAAACATTATTTTCTGTAATTTTATCAGGTTTAAGCAGGGTTCAGATCTTTTACAATTCACTAAAGGAAGAGACGGTAAGAGTATTGGTTTAAGTCAAGTGTAATTTTTCATTTGATTGTTCGGATTTCCATAATATGATCATTAATAATAAAAAAATTCTCAATTCAATTGTTGGAGTCGAAAAATATGACGCATAAAATAATTTTAATTCAATTTTTGTGTTTGAGATCGCCCGCCCCTGATCCGAACCCTGATTTAATATTTTAAATAAAAACAAATTTAAACCGTTAAATAAATATTCTATAAATAAAAATGTTAAAAATAATTTTAAAAAATTGTCTGTCCATATTTAAAAGATTTACTAAATATTTTGAAAAGTCTGAAAAATAAATATGCCTTCAGCTATTAAATAGTCACATAAATTTTTTTAAAAATAATGGGCCAATGATGAAAGTAAAATTTTTTTTTATTCCTTTTCCACAAATCGGAAAAATATGAGAAAATATTATGTTGAATTTAAAAAAGAAAGGAGGAATTAGTAAATTAATTTTCTTTATAATTTATTAAAATTCATGTGGGAGAAAATTTTGATAATTTTTGTGAGGGAAAAGAATAAAATAAAATTTTAATTAAGAAAATTTTTAAATAAAATATAGCTTTGAAAAATATTTTTAAAATTATTTAAAAATAGAAATAGAGTCGAAGTTATGGTCCATTTTAAAGAAGACAAATTGGGCTACAAAATGAACACAAGATGATATTTATAGGAAAATTTTAGATAGTTTTACAAAGCTTTGAACTTTATAATTTTATCCATTACTCTAACTATACCATATTTAAAAATAAATAATAGTTAAAATAAAGTATATAAGTCTTCACTTAAATAATATTCCGTTATTTTACATATGGGACACTAATTACTAAATATAAGGATTTACACACATAAATTGTTTGACAATTTCATCAATTTAAAAAAAGCGAAAGAATGTTTCATTTCCAGATGGGGTAAAATAAATTAATAGAAAAATATATTTTGTTTGTCTAAAAATAATTTAATAAATAAAATTTAAAAATATTTTAGAAAATTCAAAGTTAAAAATAAGAAATAAAAAAATATTTTGAAAAAAAATATTTTGAATTATAATTATTTAAATTACAATAAATAAAAGAAATATTGCCATTGTTATTTAGAAATGATAAAAATATTTATTATTTTAGAATATCACGAATTTGAATTTTTTTTGAAAATTAAAAATTCCGAGAAAAATCTAAAATAGAAATAAAAATTTTAAAAAAATAAAAATTTATTTTAAATTTTTGAAAGGTTTCCTTTTTTATTTAATTATTTTTTTATTAAAAAATGATTGTTTTGGTTTATTTTAGAAAATATTTCTAAGAACAATTTTAAAAATTGTAAAAATATTATCTTAAATGAAATATAGAAGAAAAAGAAAGATTTCGAGATCGAAAAATTTGAGAAAAATCGAAAACATTTTCTATCAATGGGTGGCATTCGTGTGCTTATGTTTGTGTAGACAACAGATATTTTTAGCCCTATGAGGTACACGGAGACAGGCTCGACAGTGGGTATTCTTATATTTCATGAAGCAAAGTCTCTCTAATAACAAACAAAATTTAATTTAGAATAATTTTATTTAAGCAATTTTAAATTTACTAGATAGTAAATTTCAAAAGAAAATTTAATAATTTAAATGAAAAAAAATAAATTTATATATTAATTTTGAATATTATTATTTGAGGCAGACATTTCATCCATCATTTCTAATTGTTGTGAAATACTTCGAGGAACCCGCCCACCAATTATTAAGCTCTGAACAATTAAATGAGGTAATCCATCAATTTCTTTGTATAAATGAGGGTAAATAGGGGAGGATGTTTCGTCTAATTCACTTAATGTTTCCATTTCTGTATTTTTTTGGAAAATTATTTTAAAAATTATTTTCAATATTCAAACCAGCATCAACATTTCCAGAAATACTTTTATTATTAAAAAAATCAAAATATGTAAAGATTAAAAAATATAATGTTAAAAATAACTAGAATAAAATATGGCGCAACATTATTAGAGTAAAGAAGTAAAAAATATAATGTTAAAAATAACTAGAATAAAATATGGCGCAACATTATTAGAGTAAAGAAGTAAAAAATGGAACAATTTAAATATAAGAAAATTATTAAACTAAGAAATAAAAATTGAAATGATCTATTGGAATTAACTAATGTACAAAAAATAATTATTTTACAAAAAAACGCAACTTTAATGTAAAAAGATCTAAAAAATGTAATTTAAATTTACAACCAATTATAAATTAAAAACAATTACTTAAACAAAATCTGGTGATGTTATTAGACACTAATGATATTAGAGTAGGAAAGCTAAATTGTTCGAATTTAACAGACATTTTATAGTATTTATAAGAATAAAATTAAAAAATATAATTAAAAATATTAAATATCATTAGGTGTAAGTATGTATTCCAGCCAGAGAAAATACACAAAATAGTTTAAAAATAAGCATACATAATAACAACTTTATTTTTTAGCAAAACAAAACCTTTTTAAGACATTTTATAAAAATTTAATCACCCAGAGTTGTTCTCTAACCCTGCTAGATGCCTCCAAAAAACTTTAATTTGTTCCACCTCTTTTGCCTCCAAAACACAAATTTGGAAGTAATCTGTTTTGGCTGGCCCGTTCTAAAAATGTCAAAATTTATTAGGTATATTAATTTATTATAACTAACGCTAAGACTAATTCTAATCACTTTCGTTTCTCCAGAATTGAAGAATCCATGCACCGGTACAAATCCATACTCAATGTTGTTAACACAAATAATTTTAAAAGCAAATTTTCTCTGAAATAAACATGTTTTCAGAAACTAATCGTGTTTTACCTGCCCGATGTTTTGAACTTGCAAAAATTCAGTATCTCCACTCGGATTAACCACAACTCTTTTAGGAGAAATTCTGAGATCTGACGCAGCACTTTGAGATTGTCCCATTTTAAAAACAAGAATAATTTACTACAATTTAACAATTTAATTCCCTAAAATTCTCTAATTAACAATTTAATTCTCTAAAATTCTCTAATTAAATTGTTAAATTGTAGTAAATTATTCTTGTTTTTAAAATGGGACAATCTCAAGGTGCTGCGTCAGATCTCAGAATTTCTCCTAAAAGAGTTGTGGTTAATCCGAGTGGAGATACTGAATTTTTGCAAGTTCAAAACATCGGGCAGGTAAAACACGATTAGTTTCTGAAAACATGTTTATTTCAGAGAAAATTTGCTTTTAAAATTATTTGTGTTAACAACATTGAGTATGGATTTGTACCGGTGCATGGATTCTTCAATTCTGGAGAAACGAAAGTGATTAGAATTAGTCTTAGCGTTAGTTATAATAAATTAATATACCTAATAAATTTTGACATTTTTAGAACGGGCCAGCCAAAACAGATTACTTCCAAATTTGTGTTTTGGAGGCAAAAGAGGTGGAACAAATTAAAGTTTTTTGGAGGCATCTAGCAGGGTTAGAGAACAACTCTGGGTGATTAAATTTTTATAAAATGTCTTAAAAAGGTTTTGTTTTGCTAAAAAATAAAGTTGTTATTATGTATGCTTATTTTTAAACTATTTTGTGTATTTTCTCTGGCTGGAATACATACTTACACCTAATGATATTTAATATTTTTAATTATATTTTTTAATTTTATTCTTATAAATACTATAAAATGTCTGTTAAATTCGAACAATTTAGCTTTCCTACTCTAATATCATTAGTGTCTAATAACATCACCAGATTTTGTTTAAGTAATTGTTTTTAATTTATAATTGGTTGTAAATTTAAATTACCGTATTTTTCAAAAAAGCCCCATTCTTAATCAGAACCCCAGTCTGGAGGATAATTAAATTTTTTCGGGCATTTCATCATACTATATTTCTTTCCTTTTCTTCAATTCTTTTTTCATTTTTCTTCTTTTTTACTTCCAATTTTTTCATCAATGGAGTCAATCGTTTGTATTGTTCAGTCTTCAACAATTTCAAAATCAGGGTCATTAAATAATCCAGAAAATCGTTGGTCAGTTAACTCTAAAAAATATTTTTAAAAATAGAAAAAGTTTTAAAACCATTTTTGAGGACTCTCCAAATTCTTCTATAAAACTAGCATCTAATTGTAATCTACTTGCCAACTCTCGATTGACTTTAGGCAATATAACAGAAGTTGAACGCTTCACAAATCAGACTTGACGTTCTTTTTTTAGTTTTTCTTTCAACTAAAAATTTTATTTAAAAATTTTTTTAAACAGAAATTAGTTATTTTTAGATCAAAAAATATCCAAAAAAATATTTTAATTTCTCTTAAAATTAATAAAAAAATTAAAAACTCTACCTTTTGTTCCCTATATTCCTCAACAGCACTTAATTCATTTTGCCCTATCGCCTTTGTATAAGCTTTCATTTCAATAAAATAACCATGCATATATGCTCTTGCCGCATTAGTTCCAATTAAGTGTTGCAGACCAAATTCATCCATTTGTGTTCTTGTTACAAATTTAAAATCATCGTAAACTAAAAAAATAAATTTTTTAAAATTATTTACAAAATTAAAATGTTTTAGAGATACTGGCAGTAGAATATTTATATATTTTAAAATAACCACCGCGGCGGTCTATAATTTTTATTTTGTCCACACAAGTTAAACACAATTAAAGTTTAACAAGTTATACAAAAATTGGCAAAGATATACCCAACTTACCCATTGAATATTCAAATGAAAGGGAATTAAAACAGAAAATATACCATTAGATTTCTTCGGATATTGATTCCAAATGTGAACACCATTTTGGAGCTGGACCAAGTGCAGGAATAAAATATTGCTTGATTTTTGGATCATTAGCGAAAAATATGCCTAAATTACAATTATTTGATAGAATTTATAAAAATTTAAAAAACCAGAATTTTGGTAATGAGCAAAATCATTGAGGTCAGAACCAGGTTCAATACGTACTTGTAAAAGGTTGTCCATTGTGTTCATTCCATATTTTTAAAACACGTCCATCCATGCTCAAAATAATTCTTGATGTGAGCAACAACAGCCAAATGGAGTGCATCCTTGAAACAAAGACTGGAAACTTCAATTGACGACCTAAAATTTAAAAAATAACATTGCAATATTTATGTGAAAACCTGCTATCAAGATTCAATTCCATAGCAATAGCCTTAGTTAACACACAATCAAGAACAGCAGCAATTGATCGATCACGATAATCCCATGCTTCAACTTTTCCATCCGTTGTCCCACAAACAAAAAGTTGGTGGTAATCATTAAACTGACAACATGTTAAAGTTGTCAACACGATTGACTATGCAAAGGTTCATGAAAACGTCCACAGGTGGCGCAAATGTCGCGGCGCAGAAGACAGCAGCGTTAAATGTCGCAAACTCCCTTAACTCACTTGCGTCGTGTCCGAACAAAATATCGAATTGTTAATATCTCGGCACGGGTAAAAAGTGGTTAAAATCTCGAATGGTTAAAATATCGGAACGATAAAATGTCGACACGGCCAAAATGGGTTAAAATGTCGACCTCATTTAAATGGTGCTAAAACTAGAGTAGAAAGTTTGGAAAATGCCGGATCCGGTTTCCAGATTTTTGAATTTTTTCGATCCGGACCGGATTTTCCTGATCAAAATCCGGGTTTCCTCAAATACCCGGATTCCGGACTACCGGATCCTGAAAACCCAGATCAGGTCTACTCAGGGTGACCCTTTTACCCTATTTATAGGGCATTTGCCCTATTTTTGACTTTTTCGCCCTAGTTTTTCCCTATTTTACCCAGGCGCATGATCTCATTATTTCTGAACCAAATTTACTTAATTTAGTTCAAAATGGTGAAAAATATGCGGAATCAAGCTTTTTATTATAATTTTAATTGTTTTCGAAGTGTTTTAAACAATGCCCTATTTTTTGCCCTATTTTTGACCATTTTCGCCCTATTTTTGCCACATTTTTGTGTGGCTGCGCCCTATTTTAGTAGTTTGGAAAGGGTCACCCTGGGTCTAATAAAACTAATGCACGCCACTTTAATTTTCCGGATCAGGAAATCGCGTTATGGTTTCCGGATCCGCACGCTCATGCCAGACCGGATCCGGTCGATTTTTCATGACTATGCTTATTCTTATATTTCGTGAGGACAATGGCGGCACAAAGGCAAAAGTCTCTGTCTAATAACAAACAAAATTTAATTATTTAATAATTTAAATGAAAAAAAATAAATTTATAAATTTTGAATATTATTTATTATTTGAGGCAGACATTTCATCCATCATTTCTAATTGTTGTGAAATACTTCGAGGAACCCGTCCACCAATTATTAAGCTCTGAACAATTAAATGAGGTAATCCATCAATTTCTTTGTATAAATGAGGGTAAATAGGTGAGGATGTTTCGTCTAATTCACTTAATGTTTCCATTTCTGTATTTTTTTGGAAAATTATTTTTAAAATTATTTAAATATTCTAACCAGCATCAACATTTCCAGAAATACTTTTATTATTTATTTGTTGTTTTTCCTCATTATTATTTAAATATTTTTGTATAATATTTAAATTATTATTAACAACTTGAGAAGATAAAGCAGAAGAATCAGTTGTTGTTGTATTTATTACATAACTAGAACAACTTAAAATAATTTTTAAAAATAATTTGATATTCTAATTAGGTCTAGTATTTTTTGGTTTAAATTTTGGTGTTAAATTTGTTTAAAAGGATTTTAATGTTTAATGACAAGATGAAGAAATACTTGATATTTTTCAAGAGTAAGGGGTAAGAAATTCAACCACAAAGTACCCAATACTTTTATCTCATTATCGAAAAATTGTACTGATGCCTAACATCCGCAGAACACAAAATTTGTAGCTAATTATTAGAGCCCAGCTCGGTTTTTTTATTTGATCGAATCATTAATCGACAATCTCTATATCCGGACACTATATTAATTGTGAATTCAGACCTTATCGACACATTATTGCTTTGTAAATTATTTATATTAATTTCCTGTTCAGTGTTAGAAGTAGGAGGCTCTGGAGGTGAATAACTTGGAGGGGCTATCTAAAATTAAAGATTAATTTTTGATAACACTAAAAAATAACCTCATATTTAGGAGGAGTATATATTTTAGGTAAAGGGGAAGAAAGTCTAAACATGTAATTATTAGAATGTTTAAAATATCCAGGAATTGCAAGTAAATGGTCATTTGTAGCTGTTGAGTTAGATATAAGTGTCTCAAAAATATTTAAAATTTAATTTTAAAATATTTTTAATTTCTATTTATTTACTCTGTCAATAGAAAGTATTCCTTCACTAATTGTTGTTGACTGATCAAATTCTGCAATATCTTCTTTTATTGTTTCACAAAAATTATTTGTGCGATTATCTTGTTGCGGAATATGTCTTTGATTTTCTCGATCAGCCATGAGTAAAATCTTTGAATTTTTTTTAATTATTTAGAATTTTTTTTGAATTATGGTTGTCTTTCGTGTCTTTCGTGTCGCACGAAAAGTTCCTCCGATCCCTCCGACGTCGGGGATTTTTTATTAATTTTCATTCAAAAATTCAACAAACCAAAGCAGGCACCCTTTTTTTATTTCCTCCAGTTAAAGGCAAAACTTGTGTTTTCCCTCCAGGTAATGCCAATCTTCTGGGAGGTGGGGGGCTTTGTTCGGCAATATTTGAAGTAATTGAACGTTTAAAACCAAAATCATTTTGTTGATTATTTATATTAAAATCACTTTTTATTAAATTTCTTTTTTGTTGAGTTATTGGAGTGAGAATTTGATTTTCTTCTTTGATAGAGTTTGTCTAATAAAGGAAATTAATTTTTAAATATATTTTGAGAGGAAAAGGGGATATTTGAAAATTTTATAAAATTTTATTAAAAATTATACATTTAATGAATTTTGTTTATTTAATTCATCAATATTCGAATTGTGATCATTTTTCAACGAGGTTGATGTTTTGGAAAGAACTGGTACAGATGTTTTATCAGTAATTAAAAGTCTACGCTATAAAAATATTTAAATTATTTAAATATTATTCCAAAAAACATACTCTTTCTTCATTACTACAACTAAAAAGGCCATTTTCATATTTAGAGGAGTAAGGCTGTTTTCTTTTATTTGATTGTTTTGAACGTTTACACGGTAAATTCATACAACAAATTGTAAACATTAACAAAAACTTGAAAAAAGTAAAGTGTTAATTACTCTAAAAATTTAAACAATGACTTTTAAGAAGAGATTTTCAAATCCCCCCAAACTCAATCAGAATTTAAGGGGGAAGCGCGAACGCTGTCCCCCACACTCAAAAATTTAGCTGTGGGCCTACCCCAGTTCGGAGCCGCCCTGCGGGTCAACCTCGCCCTCAAGTGCAATGGGGAAGTCTCACCACAGACGCCATGCCTTCGTGATCGCATGAGCGCCCCAGCCAGGTAAGTTTCCGAGCTCGAAATTTTTAATGAAATATTACAAATTTATTAAAGAAAAGAATCAGTTAATAAAGAGGGAGAAATTTTTATAAAAAAACTGTAGTATTTTTATTTTTCCATCATCCTTCGTATATATTTTTATTATAACACTCTTCTCCTTTTTTCCTATAACATGAGCACTATTTATTAATTTGTATGCTTGCCTATTTCCTAATAAATTAAAAATAAATAGTAATTTCTAGAAAATATTTTATGAATTAAATTATTAAAAAAGCCTGCAAAGTTCACATAGTGTTAATCAGAAAAAACAGAAATTTTATTAAACAGATAAAAGTTATTAAAGAATCTATTTACGAAAATAGCCTAGATTTAGACTTTAAGAAATATTGTAATAAATGCTAAATATTAACTAGAGGTATCGGAAACTTCCTAGAAAAATTATGAAAAACTATTGGTCTTGGATGTATTTATTATTTAGTATTTACTTAATTTCATTTATACACTCCTCTCCTTTTTATTGGCCTAATTAAATACTGTCATATATTTTACGTATATTTTAAGAATAATTCTTAAAATACATTTTTATTTTCTTACAAAAAAGCCAATTAATGCTGCAAATAATAAAACAAATTGGCCTAATTGAATGCTGTCAAATTGAGGAAGAATTTGCCAAAGGAATTTTTTCAATTCTCGGAAACGATGACTGCTATTAAGAATTGTCTTTAAAGAGGAGGAAGAAGAATTGTTTGAAGTAAATAATTGCTTTTGTTGTGGGAATTCCATTCAATTGTTTTTAAATAAAAATTCTCAGATTATCTTAAATAAGAGGGAGGAGATTTTAAAAGAAAAAAAATATTTTTTTTTAATTTTTAAAGACTTGTAAATGTTAAAAAATAAATTTAAAAATTTTAATATTAAAATAAATAAATATTATATTTCAATTTCCAAAATATAACCAAAAAAAAGAAACAATACTTAAAATTGCCAAAAATTTAAAATTGCATGAGAGAGCTAGTCGAAAGCCTTTGTTTTCCTTTTTTTATTTTTTATTTGACAATGGGTGAGTGAATTTTGTTTTTATTGTTTGGAAATGCCAAAGAGCAAAAATAACAAGTTAAAGTTAAAATTTGGAGAAAAATATGGAATTTATGTATATTTAATAGGGTTGTACCCCGAACGTTCGGGGGCGGCTATGTCGGGGTACGGGGTTTTCCAATTGTTTCGGGGCGGGGTTCGGGTCGGGGGAGCAAAATATGGCCGGGGTTCGGGTCGGGGTACGGGGGTTTAGTGGAAAAATTTTTAGAGAAAAAAATGCTCAAAAATAATTAGAAATCGATATATTTTCGTTGATTTATTCAAAAATTAAGTAGGATTTGAAGAAATTAGAGGGGATTTGAAGGGATTAAAGTAAATAACTTGGGATATAAGTGGATCTGGAGGGATTAAGTGGAATTTTTAGGGATTAAATGGCATATCTAGGGATACAAGGTGATCTGGAGTGATTTTTGTTGGGTCAAGGGATATTAGTGATTTATAAGGATATTGATGTATTGCGTATAAGGGTATTTGCACGGATATCAGGAGATATCTTCGATTAATCCTTAAATCTCCCACGAAATCCTTGTTAATTCCGTTATTCCTTTAAATCCCTTTAAAACTCCTTAATTCTTCGATATCTACAAATCCCTTTATATCTCTGATTCCCTTAACATGACCTCGATAGTTTACCAACTGTTATGGTTGAAAAGTGGTGATACAGAGGGTTTGAAGGATTAAGGGTGGTTCAAGGGATATCAGTTAAAAATAAAATTAATATTTTCAAATTAAAATTTAACTCGTTAATAATTTGTTTTTGTGAAAAAATATAAAAACAACGGAGCTATCCTTATATGGGTCCGAACCCAATCCTATATTAATGAAATATCGGCTAAAACCAACGACTAAGCCACTCAACCAAAAGTCTCTTAATAAAGAAGGAAAGAAAATTATGATATTTCATTCATTTTTCTTTCAAAAATAATAAAAGCCCAGTAAAATGGATGGAAATTTTTTTAATTTTCTTCATTAATTTCTCCAAAAAATGACATTTTTTAGGGGTATAAAACCCCGTAACCCCGAAACTTTTTGGGCCGGGGAACGGGGTTTTCACTTTTTTTCGGGGCGGGGTTCGGGTCGGGGAGAATCGTGAAAAAATCGTTCGGGAACGGGGTCGGGGTTCGGGGTACGGGGTCGGGGTACAACTCTAATATTTAAATAGAAAATATTAAAGGCAAAAAATCGTTTTATTGTCTCCAAAAATGTCAAATTTTATTTTTAAAGTAAAAATAAAATTGTCAATTCTTGGAAAACCTTCGTTTCATAGGTTCGGTTCGGTCCAGAACTGACAACCCTATTTATGTGTATGATCTCTGGTACATAATAACTAATCTTGTAGCATTGAGCATTAATGGAAATCTTGTAGCATTGATGGAAACTTTAAATTGATTTAAAATAATTTTTGTAAAATTTCCATCTTTATTTTCATTTTTTTCTCAAAATAATTACAAATGATTTAAAGGTTAAAGGATTAAAATAAAATCATAATATTACTAAATCAGTTTTTTGTTTCGAACTTGAAATCCGAGCAGAAACACAATATTGTGAGGCTAATCTCCATTCCCGGACAAATGTGGGTTGCTTGAAGTGACGGAGGTCAGAAATTGGAAATTAAAAAAATACTTCTAAATCGGAAGAAAAAACGAAAAGGTAAAAAGAAAGAAGAAAAAAGGGTTGTAAAATCCCGATATTACCTAATATTTAATTTTATATCAATTATGAACATTTTTTGTGCAATTTAAAATTTAAATAAAAATGAATAAAAAAATAAAAAGAGAAAAAGAGAACAAGCTTTTTCTAGCAAAATCAATGCTTCTTCAAAATGTTCCTCCCTACAATTACTCCCAAGAGGAAATAAACACAACAACCGAGAATTGAAGCAAAATTGCATAAAAATGAGGGTTTGGCACTAATAATGAGGAAATTCTTTTTTGATTTTATTTTCTAAAAAATTTTTTTTATTTTAAAGTAAATTGAGGAAAAATAAAAATATTTAATTTAAAAATTGAAATTTAAAAAAGAGGAAATTATTATGTAGTTAAAAACTCATCTAAAAAATTAATAACTTAAATATTTATTTTATTAATAGGTAAAAATTAATTTATTATTATTCAGGCTTATATCAGATTTTGTTTTTAAATATTAATTTTAAAATATAAAAAGTCAGTCACATAACAACCGCATCGTTATAAAAAATATTAGCAACATAAGTGCATAAATATAGTTTGCTTAGGTATATCATAAAACTAAAAAACTATATAGTTTTGCTGTTAGTTAGCTAAATATAATATTATTTAATATTTTCATCCTTTAGAAAGAAAAATAAATTATTGGAGGAAATAATTTGCAAATTAAAACAAAAAATTAATTTTTTTTTAAATTTTTATTAAAAAATATATACAAGAAATACATATCTACAAAAATATCACAAATTTTAAATTATTTTTAAATGCCGTATTTTCTTTAATAAATGCCCTGGGCAATTTATTTATTCTCAGTATAGGGGGTGATCAAACGAGGAAAGGTACTTAATCGAGCTGTCCAAGACTCTTGGTCTTGTTCTTGACTCAAGACTTTCCTTGGGGTTTTTTCGGTCTTGATCTTGGGGTAAAATCTTGGCTTGGTCTTAGAAAATCTTCAGTCTTGAGCATCTCTAGTAATTAATCAAAGAAATACGGCAAACATTTTTTTCCATTTTTTAAAGAAAAGTACTTGTTTGGCTATCAATACGTAACAAACAATGGATAGAATCAGAAGCATTAAATAATAAAAGGGATTTTTCTTCATCTTCAATTCTCTCAATATTATTATTATTTATATTTTCAAAACTTTTATTATTATTTTTATTTTCTAAATTATTTTCTTTTAAAATTTTTGGCAAAGAATGTTGTCTATAACGAAAGTTTTGTTGGTGATTATTTATTTTTTGGGAATGTTTTGAATTAAATGATGAATGTCTTTCATTATTGGACATTAAAAGAGCAAGAGAAGAAGACTGAAATTAATTGGTAATTAAAAATAAATTTTAATTTGGAGATATTTTGAGGATATATTTGGAAGATATATTTGGAAGTTTAGCCACCGAGCAGGATTCCTGCGAAACGCTGACAATGATCGCTTGGCCTTGCTCACATAAATGAAGGTGGTCTACCCCTGGGCTACCTGTGCGACGACTAATGTATCATTATCTTTTTAGATCGTTAAACCCCCGCCTAAGCGTTTTAAATGCTCTAGGTGAATCATCCTGTATTGATAGATATCAAACAGTTCTCATTGACTGAGTGATACAATTTGTTTTATAAAATTAAGTAATGAAAATATTGGAAATTTCAGAACACGACTTTAGGTAAACAAATTTTGCAAAGGAAGCCTCTAAAATATTTAAAAAATAATTTTTAAATACAAACAGAGCTGTGTGATCTTAATTGAGCAATTGAAGATGCTCGATTTTTCCAATTCTGAGAGCCAACGTCGGCAGAAATGGAACAAGAATTATTTCTTTGCCTTTTATTTGTTGAAAAACTTTGGTGGCGGGTAAATGGATCTTCCTATAAATTTTTAAAAATTTATTTTTAGGATATTTTGGATATTTTTACAATGCTAGAAGAATATCCAATAGTTGATTTAGGTAATAAAGTAGTTGTTGTTGTAGTTGCTGCACTTTCAGCATTACTCTGCCCATTTTGTGAAACAAATAAATTTTTATTTAAATAATTATTTTGTTGTTTTTGTTGTTCAATTGGTTGGATTATTTCACTTAAATGTTTTCTTCCATCCCCTCCTCCCCCAACATTATTTAATAATCCTCCACCCAAACAAGAATTTGTATGTTGTTGATGTCCGGTTACTATACCATAATTACCGACATTTGGGTGATATGTCCCGTGTCTTACACGTTGTTGTAATTGACCGTTTAAAGCACCTAAAAGAGAAAAAATGAGAGGAATTATAATTTTATCTTGAAACAAACCATATAAAATCCAATTTACGGCACTATTTGTAAATGGCAAGGCATGAATGAAGTACCTAAAATAAATAAATTTTAATATTAAAAATACTAAAATTATTTTCATAATTTTTTAATAAATCAAAATTAAAATAATAATATCTAATCATTTATATGAATTGGGAGAACAAGTATCAACCGGTCCCTGGACGGTTGTACCAAAATTACCAAAATTTTTATTCGTACTAGTAATTAGTACGAGTATGAGCAAAATCAAAATCTTTAGGCACTGCTAACAATATACCTATACGGAAAGAGACTTAGAATAATAATACTACGTATCTCAAATATTTGAATAATATTTAGGATATAAGGAGAGTGGTAGGAATTATTAGGAGAGTGGTAGGAATTATCAAATACAAGAAAAACAAACATAAAATAAACAAAAACTGGAGGTACTTGTCCATTTTGTTCTCCAGCATATTCTAAATATACAGCAAAAGCAGTAGCTACCCAAAATGGTGTCCAACAAATAAAATAAAAACAAGCAACGGCCATTGTATATAAAGAGATTCGAACTAATGGAATTTGTGAACGAATTTTTGAGCTCTAAAGATAGAATTTTGAAAAATAAATTTAAAGAAAATTTTAAAATGTTACTTTAAATTGTCTAGCATGATGATGTAATTTAGACAATAATTGTGTATAAAAGAATGTAACCAAAAATAGAGGAACTAAGTAACAGAGAACAAAAAGAAAACAGGTAAATATTGTAAATTTCCATCTAACCATATCCATCTAAAAATTTTAAAAAATTTAGAAATAATTTAACAATTTAGATATTAGTTACTAGGGTAAACCGTTAATTAATTAACTGACACCCTCGGTTTTCGGTTATCCACGGTTTTTGACCTTGACTTTTCGGTCCCGATTAATTGTTTGTCCAACAAGGCTGGAGAAAAAAAGAAGCCCTGTCAACAGGGCTTTTTTTTGAAAAAAAATTTCCACAGCCGCAATCCTCAGTTGCATCCAGCCCTGATGTCCAACCCCTATTGGTTTACTTATTAAATAATTTTATAAAAATATTTTAATTATCCGCAATAAATTTTTTGTAAAAAATTTAAATATTTACCATTGTACATTTTTCAATTCTCATTCTCGTTACTTTATTTGGACCAGTTGCCTGAATAAAATTATTTAAAAAATTATTTTTAAGAAAATTAATTTACCTTTTGGAATAAAATAACTTCTCGAGCTTCAAAATTGTAAAGTAAAGGGCACAAAGCTAATAAAGCATAAATTGCCATACCTGAAAATTAATTTAAAAATTGTTTAGAAAGTTTTTCAGTTAATTCAGATTTTGTTAATTTCCTCTCAAAAATACTTAAAATTTTATAAAAAATAATTTTAAAATTTTACCAATTAAAATACAAAAAGCAATTCTACGTGAACGAAGCATTCTTTTCTCTGAATGGCAAACACTTGCAAAACGATCAAAAGACATTGCTAAATAATTAATTAAAAATTATTTTTCTAATAAATTTTACCAGTTATAATTAAAGCTGAGAGAATTTTTCCAAAATTTTCGAGAACTTGAAGAAAAAAAAATAATTTTTTAAATAATTATTAAATTAATTTACCAGCATGTAATTTACACATTGTGGAACCAAACATCCAAAAGCCAAGAATTTGGTCAATTACAGTGAAAGGTAAAGAAAGACATCTAAATAAATAAATAACGTACGAGTGGAAAAGTGTAATTCATGAGAAACTAGCAAGAACCTTGCAGGGAGAAGATGCTCAAAACAACAAGGAAAATAGGGAAAAGCAACTTAGGTTACCTAGTTCATGTTATTCCAAATTAATTCACAAGATTAAAAGCCTAGTGTCCTATCAAGTAAAAGCTTATCAAGAAAACAATATTAGAAACTTTAGAAAATACAATCTCCACATAATTATAACCTCACCTTAAATTTTCGTCTTTCTTGACTTCTACCGAATCAATCGGGCTAATTTTTATTTCATATTAATTGATAATGATAACAATTCTTATGACCACGTTAAATCAAAAAAATTTCATTTAAAAATTTTATTAGCCTTTTCAAAATCGACCTCCACAGAATTATACCTCACCTACAGAAATATATTCAGCATCTTCTCCCTTAATTAGAGTAGCCCCTCTAAAATATTTATTAAATACTTACACTCCAAAATCCACAAAACTAAGCACAACCATATAAATTAATGTATTGTCTAAATTTGCACGTCTAGATCGAACCTTTATTTAAAAAAATTATTTTTGGAAAAAAATATTTTTTAACTACCATTTGATATATTGTAGTAAGTACAGCAACATTACCACAAGTCCCCAACAAAAATAGGAGCATATAACAAATAGCCATTACTTGAACCTTTTTAAGAAATATTTAAATTTAAGATGTTTACTTTAAAATAATCTACTTGAACATCATCATGATTTGGAGGGGGTAATACATCAGTAAGTTCAATTGGGGGTTGTAAAGCCATTAATAAATGCTTAAAAATTAATAATTAATTAAAAAATATTTTTAATAATAAAAAAGAAAAATAAAATAATTAAAAAATATTTAAAAATTAACAGAAAAAATAAATTAAATATTTTTATAGAATATTTATGTATACAGTAAATGCTGAAATAATTACCCTGGGAAATAATGTTTAATCTCTCGCTAGGGGGTAATTATTAGAGAAGAAGGTATATCTCAATTTAGAGAGAATCTCAATCCAATTAAGGCAAAACTGATTTATTCTTTTGATTTTAGTTCTTAAAGTGTTCCAATAATCAAATTTGATAGCAATTCTTTAAACATTTTTAAAGTTTGAGTAAAATAACTAGGGGGTAATTATTAGAGAGGGTAATTATTTGTTATTTTCGCATTTACGGTATTAGGTTATTTTTAAATTATCATTAATTTAACATCGTCATTTAGGTTTAGATGACGATGTTATAATTAGGTTATATAAATTTATTAGCGTATTACGCTTAAATATTTTTAAGCAATAAATTTCCTCATTTAAAAATATTTAAAATCTTCTTAGAAAGATTAAAAATAAATAAAAATATTTTTAATTAATTCTTTATTTAAATACTTTTTTTAATTTTACTCATCTTCAGAATTTACTCATTTTAATACTCTTTATATTTTTTTAAAGAATTAATTTGTAATAACAAATAAAAAGATTTTTTATTTAAACAAAAAGTTTATAAAACAAATAAAACAAAAATATTAAAAAAAATAATTTTGTTCTTTGGAGCTTTGGGGGTTTCCACGTAAAATACTTAATGTTTTATATAGAATTATAAATTCTATATAAAATGCCTTAGGTACTGCCACCCGCATTTTTACTTAAATAAACTTTATGTATTTGATATTTAATTATTATTAAATTCTAATAAATATTTAAAAGAATAGGTATATTATTAATAAATTAAATTGTCTAAAATTAATTTTAGAGGATGTAAGAATTCTGAAAAAGGTCGGGAGATTCATAGATAAATAAAGATGATCTATTATTAATTATTAAATGTATTTTTCGGAAATTTTTTTCTTTTTTTTTAATTTTTATTTAAAATTTAAATTTAATAATTTTTCAGAAAATTTATTAAAAAGCAAAATAAAATGAGAAAGACGAAAAGACAGTTGTAATAAGGGAGTAACCCTTCGGCTCTAAATCTTGAAAAGTCGAGCCGGCAAATTCCGAACAAAACAAGTCCCCCTCAAAGTCGTGGTTGATACTCTAAGTTAGAAAAGCGAAAACATTATTTTTATTTTTTTTAATATTTATTTATTTTTATTTAATAAAAATAAATAAATTTTATTATTATAGTTTTTTAAAACTAAATAAAATTCAGGCTTAATAAATCCTTCTTTATCATTTAACTAAATTTAATGGCCAATTTTGGCATATCCTTTTTTTAAAAAATAAAAAAGAATATTATTATTCCCAAAATAAATATTTTTTTAAAAATCTTTATGCATTTTAAAAACGTGTTTGTGTGTTCATTTTCCACTCTTTGGACATTTCCGACAAATTGAAAATAAAAAAAGAAAAGAGGAAGTTGCTAAATTTTTTTTCTATATTTGGGGAAATATTAAAGAAACTGAAAAATTTTAAATTTTGTCTTTTAATCTTTATTGACAGTTTTTTAAATTTTAAAAATAAATTTTTTGGGGAATTTTGTGAAGAAATATCAATTTATAAAAATGTGTGTATTGAATTTTGTTTGAATTATTTAATAATTTAATCTAAACAAATTCAAAATTAAATATAAAATACCTAACTATTTTTAAAATTCCTTAAATAAATATTTTTCTTAAATTAACGAGAAAAAAAAGGTTTAAAAAATATTATTGCCAATAAAGAAAATTATTGAATATAAATTTAAAAAATTGGATTATTGATTTAGTTTTAAAATTTAAGAAAAAATGAGATAATAAGGATTTTCTAAATTTAAATATTTATAAATAGACCTTCTCTTTTTAAATATAATACCAAAAAATAATTTTTATTAAGCCTAAAAAGTATGTATTACAGATTATCCCAGACAATCCCAAATAATTCTCTTACATACATAAGCTAATTTATTGGCTAAAATTAACATTTTAAAAGGTTGATAAAAATTAGTGAATTTTAAAAATCTTTAAATAAAACATTAAAGTATACTAATTGTAAATTTATGAAAGTATTTAAAGAGGAACTACTAACACATATCTAAATTTAAATTAAAAATAATTTTCTAAATAATAATATCCGTCCGTTGACTAAAGCCATAAAAATAAAAAAAACAACCACACATTATTATTAAATAATAAAATAAACAATATATTAATATTTATGTACTATTATTATTAAATTTTAATATATAAAAGTCTAAGTAATTGATAAAATAAAATTATATATCCGTTATAAATGAGAAATAAAGTGTGTGAATTAATTAAAATATTTAAAAATTAAATTTTTATTAAAGTGTGGGAAATGACATTAAATTTAATTTTATTGAGAAAAAAAGTAAATTTAATTTTTATTTAATTATTTATTAATTTTTTTAAAATTATGTTATATTTAAAGAAAAAGTTTATATAAATTTATTAAATAATATTTTAATTTTGTTTAAAAAATATATTTTTCTTAGAATTTTGGGTAAAAAAGTCAAAAATAAATCAAAAAAAAATTTAAAGAGAAAGTTGTTAGATGAGGAAACTTTTAATATTTTTAAATAATTATTTTTGTTTAATTAACAAAATAATGTGATGTGTAAATGAAAAAAGAAAAGATTTTTAGACTTAATTTCCCTAAAGAATAAAAGGGTTACAAAAAATTATTTAAAATGGAAGGTTTGCAAATAAATATTCGGAATTGTAATTATTATAAAAGAATATTTTGATTTCAACAAAAACAAAGTCTATAACTAAGGACCGGATCAAGACGAGATCTCGAACAGAAATTTTGGTTATTGAGAGTAATATTTCCGACTCTCGTACGACACTCCCAGTCCGATTTTTAATTAAAACACTTTTGAGCTTACCAATTAATATTTAAAAATAAAAAAATATTTTCAAGTATAGTAAATTAATTTAATATGCAAATAATATTTATACATAAAAACATTTCGAAACAAATAAATAGAAAAATACTTCTCTTTAATTTTCTCAAAAAAGAGTGTGAATGAAGAGTCCATTACTTTAATTCCCCTCTCTTAGTCCTTTTGGATATTGTTGATTATCCGAAAAATGTTAATTAGATGAGAGAATGGAAGAAATAAATAGAAATGAGGAGGAAATATATAATTCTTATTTTAATGAATACATAAAAATATATTATTTTTGAGATGGTAAAAAAGAAATTGAATTGAAAATTGAAGTAAAATAATGAATTAATAATTTTATTTTAAGAAATTTATTTTTATATTTAATTTTGTAAATTAAATATGTCTAGATAATTTTTAATAAGTTTTCCTATCAAGAAGTCTGACAGGAAATGAGAAGAGTAAATGTATCTAAGGTGTTGAGAAAAAAAGATTCGGTTGTGAGAAGAAATTGTAATATGTAAATCTATTTTTAAAAATTTTTGTGAAAAAAAATGTTTAACAATTTTTTGAAGTTAGAAAAAAAATATTTCAATATCATATGGGAAATAGATATAAAAATTTTTAAAATTAATTTTTTTAGATTTATTAAAGTCAAGAAATTATGGGAAAATATGGAAGTTATGAAAAAAATGTCAAAGAAAGTTATCTAAAAATATTAAAAAAGTTAAGTATTTTAGACCAATTGTATCAAATCGTGTAATAAAATATCACAAACTTAAGTTAAATGATGATAAATATGGCTGAGAAATTAAAGCATATACGTAAAAAATTAAGCAGATACGAGTATGAGGAAAAATAAGACATGTACGAAAGTCTGAAAAACCTAGCTGGGATCTTCCCTTAGATTCGATGCTAGAATTTATTATAAAGCGACATTAATTAGAGAAGGACAATTTAAAAAATAAATTCCAACCAAATATTAAAACAAACATCTGAAAAAAAATTTTACAGATGCATTGGCCCAACCCAAAAAAAATTATTAAAATGTTACAAAAATATATATATTCGATTAAAAATATTTAAAAACCTAATATCACTTAAATTTTTTTAAATAAAATTTGTCACAAAATTTGAAAAATTTTTTTATTAAATTATTCAAAAAATGTCCATCAAAAATCATTCATGTGAATATTATTTTTAGAAGAATGAAAAAAAATTTTTTAAAGGTTTTTGGTCGAATGAATAAGTCGATGGGAGGAAAGGGGGGGGAATATAAGGGGGGATATATATACCAATCTAATTTTGCAAAAAAAAATGTGAGAGAAAACAAAAGAAAAAATAAAAAGAAAATGAAAAAAGAAAAATTAAATTAATAAATATTTAAAAAATGAAAAGAATATCTCTTTAGTAATTTAATTTTCTTTAGGAAAAAAGAATAATTTTTGTATCCAAAAATAAGCATTTTTGAACCAGAAATTTTCGAATTAAATTAATAAACAATTTAAAAATTATTTATAATGTTTAATGTTTCAAAATTTTTGACGTAAAAATTAAAAAATTGTTCCTAAAAATTGTTTTTAATTTTTAAAAATTAAATTTAGATCAAGTGAATTAATATTTAAAAATTAGATATAATAGCTAAGGCTTTTTAGTTTTTATTTAAAGTATATCCATGATTAATCAGTATTTTAAGCCTGATGATAAATACGAACCTAATAAAGATATTTAAATGTAAACCAGAGATGTTTCGGAACAGAAAAAACTTCGAAAATCGTAAATTGAAAATAGAAACTTCGATAAAACTTTGATGTAAACTTAGACTTTATACTTAAATTGAGGAAGATTGAATGGTGTACATACTTTAGGTAATCTACAATTGTTATATTTAAGGTATTCTTATATTTAAGGTAAGAATTAATTTGTAAAATTGATATTATTTTAGCTTGTTTGACAAGATAAAATTAAAGAATAAATTC